GCATAACTTTATGATTTGGTCACTCTGTGCTGTTGACTTTGGATCACGTAGAAAAGCCATTGGAAATGGACATGAGGGGGGAACCTGGGTGGCTCAGTGGTTGAGCATCTACGTTGGGCTCAGATTCCAGGGTCCTGGGATCGAGTTCCACATTGGGATCCCTGTACAGAGCCTGCTTCTCCCCCCGCCTGTGTCTCTCCTCTCTCTCTTTCATGTCTCATGAATAAATAAATAAAATCTTTAAAAAAAAAAGAAGTAGACTATAATAAATGGAAGTTCAAGATGCAACACGTGCATCTTTGTTGTTCTATCTATGGCAAGAAAGAAGCCCCTTCATCTTGACTTCTAAGGCCTAACATGGTCCTGATGTTTATAGATAATTCCCTTGATACCCAGCATAGCAAGATGTCTCAAACTCATCTTTTGTAGTCTGAGAGGCAGGAGTAAGAAAACAAATACAATGTACAGTTGCCAAGGGACAGAAGTGTGCAGTGTCATCCTCAGCTTTTCCAGCATAGTCCTCTCACCTCCGTGACTCATTGTGAAAGCTGGCTTTCCCCCGATATCAAAATGCTCCTCCCCAGTGCAGGCCTCTTGTCCTCCGACCCCATCTCCAACCCAGTTTCACCGGACCAAGGGGAAGAGTTGATTCACCGCATACACGAAGAGGTCAAAAGAAGGTAGGTGGCTTGTATTTCTTGTACAATCACCGTGTCCTTTGTGGGGAATCCAAGTGCTCCATGATCTGTTTCCGCAGACAGCTAGCATGGACACCTGGGCATATATGCAGCTGGGCGCCCCGCGTGCATAGCTGTCACACGTCTGATCCCCCAGCTACTTGTCATGCATACACGACAAGTGGACACCTGTACTCTGTACTCAGTATATACTATAAATGTCTATGACCCCACCTACACCCCTATTTATAGTGACACATCCCTCTAAGTGAAATGGCTTTCCCTCTCTACGTCTTCCGTTTTTAAAAATTTTATTTTATTTTATTTAAATTCAATTTGCCAACATAGAGTATGACACCCAGTGCTCATCCTATAGAGTGCCCTCCTCAGTGCCCGTGCACCTTCATTTTTAAAGCATTTTCACTTTTGCATTAGGGCCGTTTAATATGCCCCCCGTCCTCTTTACCATCTCACGGTCTCTGTCACCCTGCTCATCCTGAGCCATCGTGTCTCTGTCCTTCCACGTTACTTCATGCCAGACTTTTCGCCACCAATTACAATAAAATGACTAAAGTTTGCTTGTCACTTTCATGATTTATGACATCCTTTTTTTTTTTTTTAAGTCATTGATTCATGGAGCCCTTCAAAGATTCCTCTTTCTTCTTGAAATTCCTATTTCCATCTTTCAGTCCCGAACTAGAGGCCAGCTCAACCCCTTTTCTCATCCTCTGCCACCAGGAAAGGGGTCCAGTTCAGAGAATGATTCTGGAAGAACAGAGTCACTGAATTGGGGCCTTGAAGCCTTTAGTCTCTCCATCTCACATTTCTGTCACTTGCAACCTACTACCATTTAGGGCACAAAGGGTGGGCCAGTGGGACAAACCTTGCTGATGACTCAGGGCAGTGTGGTGGTTTATGTGATTATGAATTATTGGAACTCGAGTGCATTTAGATGCACTGAGCACTTAGCAGTTCAGAGTAAGGCCCAGCCTTTCCTACTGCATTTATGCGAGGCCACACGTGTCCCCCCCCCCCGAGAGGACCTTGAGGCCACTTCCACTGGATGCTTCTGCTCCACCCTGCTTGTCAGGTCTTGCTGTATATAAAACCATTTCCTCTTTCCATGGCTCCTTGATGTCGTTGTGTCAGGGTGCTGTGCAGGCCTCCTTAATGCTCAGCGTAGTCTTCAGGTCCAGTCTAATCCCCCAAGTTCATAATTTGGGTTTGCATCTGCCCCGAAACTGTCTGTGTGACGAGATGCGGTCTTCCCAGCATCCCACCTCCTTGTGTGGTCCTCACTGCAAGCTCAGAGCCTCCTGCTGTAAACCTGGGGGGAGCTACCGGGTTGCCATAAGGTTCCAGGCCGTTGATATTATTAATCACTTGGTATTTTCAAAGTTATTTACTTTCTAAAATCTGGTATTTGAGGTATAATTTACATAGAGTGAAATCTACAGATTCTCGGTGTATTTCGGTCACCCTTGAAAAATGACCTAAACTTGTAGCGCCACCTCTCCTGCTAAAATATGGAATATTTCCATCACCTTCGGTGGTTTCCTAATGCCACCTGCCAGTCACCACAGCCCTAGAAGCAACTACTATTCTAATTTTCTAACTTAGCTACTTTTATTATTGATTTTATTTGTATTAAGTTTAGTAGGTATTAGTAAGTGTACAAAATTTCCTTCCTTCTTTGATGTTCGGCATGCTGATAATTTAATGTTTTTTTTAAAGATTTTATTTATTTATTCATGAGAAACACACAGAGAGAAAGGCAGAGACACAAGCAGAGGGAGAAGCAGGTTCCTCGCAGGGAGCCCGAACTGGGACTTGATCCTGGGACTCCAGGATCACGTCCTGGGTCGAAGGCTGGCGCTAAACCGCGGAGCCACCCAGGGATCCCCTTTAATGGGTTTTTTTTAGACAGAAAGAGTAGTGGGTAGAGGCAAAGGGAGAGGGAGAGAATCCCAAGCAGGTTCTACACTCAGTGCAGAGCCTGACAAAGGGCTCCATCTCATGACCCTGAGATCATGACCTAAGCCCAAATCAAGAGTTGGTGGCCTGAGCCACGCAGGTGCCCCAGCATACTGATACATTACTCCACATGCCCTCTTTCTAATTAAAACAAAATTTTAAGTGAGAATATTGATTCATTTGAGAGTTTAAATGATCTGTGAATAAAATAAGTGTATCTCAAGCTGAGAATGGATTTTTAACACAAAGCCTCGTGTATTATTGAAATTTAAAGTAAAAACATTTGTGAGCATTTGGGCGCCTGATGGCTCAGTCCGTTAGGCATCTGCCTTCATTCAGCTCAGGTCATGATCCCAGGAGCCCACGTCAGGCTCCTTGCTCAGCCGGGAGCCTGCTGCTCCCCCTGCTGGTGCTCTCCCTCCCTGTCAAATAAAGAAAATCTTAAAAAAAAAAAAAAAAAAAAAGGTAAAATTACACCAAAGCCAGTTTTCAGGCTCACAAAACCCAGATTTCCTTCATTTCTTAGATTTTCTGGGAGATGCTTCTAGGCAAAGTTTATTCTGGAAAGATAAATGAAGAAATGACCACGTGACACATTGGAATTTGAAACCTTGGCCTAGATCAGTGATAATTAGAATTTTATTGCATATTCCGCATGGATTGTACGAAAGACTTTACGCCCCAGGCTTTTAATCACTGCATGTTATAGTTGCTTATTTAGCACAGTGCTTTTTTCTTCTTCAGTTTTCCTTTCATAATTATTTCTCTGTGTCTCTTCTTCAATATACTTCCTCTATGTTCCACTTATTTTTTAAGTTCTAGATCATAACGATGATTATGGCCAACTCTCTTTTATGGCAGATACAGTATTTGGAAAACCTCGTTTGTCTTCCTGTCAGTGGATCTTGGCTATCTCGATTCTTTTAGCCTTATCTCCTCTTTAAAGACTACAGAAAATCAGTAGGTAGCACGTATAGTAGGCCTGGGGGGGGGGGAATTAAAAATATGAAGACCGTCTGGACAATAATTAGCAAGAGTTTCTATCCTGACTCTGCCATTTATTGGCTATATGATCTTAGACCCAGTACGTTTATATCTTTGTTTCAAAAATCTGATGACGGTAACTCCTGCCATATCTGCTGGTGTTATGAAAGTGACAAAATTAAATCATATGTGAGAGGCACTTTGTACATTTTGAAGACTGATAAAAATGTAACGTAACGCGATTATGAACCTTGCGTTTTCTAACCACTATGAGGGCTGATTTCTACTTATAAAGGAAAAAGAACAAAACCTCAGAATCAGCTTCCCCTGGCCTTCTTTTGCATGGAAGGCAGGAGGAGAGTAACCACGGACAGAGAAGAAGCGCTCACTCCTTTGCTCTGCGCTGCTTATGGTGATGGTGGTATTTTCCCAAAAGCATGTGTTTCTAGGTTTCCAGTATAATCCTTCCTTCATTATAACTCTCACTCCAATGTAAGTTAACTTTATTTAGATAACTGTCTACTTGATAAGGAGATCCTTGAGGTTAGAGTGCCTTGCCCAAAATAAGAACAGCAAGTGGATGGATGGGTGGGAAGATGTTTGGATGGATGGATGGATGGATGGATGGATGAATAATTTTTAAGAATGCACCTGTGAGGTCTTAATGACGTCCGCAAAGTCTTGAATGCTGTAATATTTCTTATTAAAAAGAAAGCAATCTTTCTCTTAACAGTTGGCACAGGAAATCCAGTTAATGGTTCAGGCATTCCTTTACTTTTTCCATTGAGTCCTCTCTAGTCCATGCTGAGCTCACCTAGGATATTCATCCAAGAGTGTCTTCTCTGGTCTTTTTCCTTTCTTCTCCTTTCACCGTAACCTTGTGCACTTTCTCTCTCTCTCTCTCTCTCTCTCTCTCTCTCTCCCACACCATCCCTCTCTGGGTCCTAGAGTAGTATGATCTAGTCTTTATTGTCATTTCTGGCTGGGGAAGCCTTTCTTTAGGTCTTTTATATGATTTTGAATAAGCATATACAAGTCAAAGGAACAATATATATTCAGCTCACTAATAGAGCATCACTTTGATGGGCCAGGCTAGCAAAGGTCTATGCTTGTTTAATCTGTTAAAAAAAATTACTCTCTAGGAGTTCATGCTGACTGCAGTGTTCAGAGACAGGGAGGATAGGATGTGGGAAAGACAGAAGTCCAATTATATAAATTAAATACAAATTTAATCTATTTTAATGATTTAATAATATGGTAGAAATGCATTAATCCAAAAAAGAAAAGCAATGATGATAGAATGTGATGTGGTTGGGTAAAGAATAATAATAATAACAACAACAACAACATTATTATTGTCTATAGCCACAGTCTTCTTGGAGTTTTGGAAAAGGAGAAGAAGTACCCTGACTTATACTTGGGACCTTATTGAATGGGAAGAAGAGGAGGTAAGATGTTAGGAAACCAGGAGACAGGAAAACTGGAATAACATGATGTGGAAAACTATTCACTGTCCTTAGCATCCAAGCTGGAAGCAGCTAAATAGCATTTAGGTTTTCCTTTGATGTTTTTTACTAACGAGATTTCTATTTCATGAAGTTAAGCGAAATAATTGATGAAGTAATGTAATTTTTTTCAAAGCACTTCCACAATCTTTCCTAAAATTACAGTAGTGGAAAATTGTGTTGATGAAAATAGAGTTTAGGGTTTATTTAGAAAATAATTTGCATTTTATTTTTTTTTAAAGTTATTTCTTTTCCAAGACTTGTTTTAAAAGTAAGCCAAAATCCAGGAATTTTGTTCCAACTCCTGGGTGATTTTTTTTTTAATTTATGTCTACCTAATAGGTAGGTAACTTTAGTTTCTCTTACAGGAAACACTCCGTCCCCAGTTTGAAGCCAAGTATTATAAGATGGAGAGAGTGAATCCCATCAGTGGAAAACCTGAGCCACATCAGCCTTCCTCAGACAAAATCACTCGTCTTCTTGTTTCTATCTCAGGAATATTCTTCATGGTAAAGTACAAACATCAATTTCAGAATGTCGTGGGATTCCGCATTTAAAAGGAAGTTCTAAAAAAAAAAAAGAAAGAAAGTTCTAATATCGTCTCATTGTGTGACCCTCAGGGTCAAACCATATCCAGTTCAGTACCTTCAACACATACTATTAAACAAAATTAAAATCATGGAAAGCCATAGAGTGATTACAAAGAGAATTTGGGCATATCTTTAAATAAAACACTCTTTGGAAGAAACAAAAATTATCTAAGGTAAAATGGAAATTATATGAGTTTTCCCTGATTAATTAAAACTATGCATTCCACTTAAAAGTGGAAATCTGAACAGTTTAAATCTTGTACTATGTATTTTGGCTCTCACATGACTCAATTCCTTAAAGGAAAAAAATGGATTTTTTTTCATCCTTTCTTGGAAAAATAAATTCCTTTCGCTCCGAGGAGTGTGTGGGGCAGTATATTGGTCTAGGGTATTGCTTTTGTTTTGTGAATTATGCAAAATACGGACATCTTCTCTGGTCTTCCATATTGCAGATTTCTTTGGTGATCACTGCAGTGTTTGCTGTTGTGGTCTATCGCCTGGTTGTCATGGAACAGTTTGCATCATTCAAGTGGAATTTCATCAAACAACACTGGCAGTTTGCAACATCAGCTGCTGCTGTCTGTATCAATTTTGTAATCATCATGGCACTGAATCTTGTAAGTGTCTACAGTTTTCAAAAGGTGAAAAGGCATGGGTAGGGGAGAGGTCTGTGCTTCCTTCATGCTTGGATTGTATTTCTAGGAAGCCAAATGAGCCCAACCCACATTTTCATCAATGACAACCTAGTTTAGTGAAAAAAAAAGTCATCTGTGTGGTTTGGATGATGGATTTTTATTAAAATCAATAACAGTTGTATTGTCTTCCTTGTCCTTTGAGTTTACAGTCTTGGTTAGTGAAAACTTCTATTCACTGAGGGTCTAGTGTGTGCTAGTAAAAGTGCTATGCTCTTTTCATTCAGTTAAGGGATTTTTTGATCCAAAAATTATTTCAAAAAACTGAACCTCAGTGGAGAATCTGTTACAAAGGTATAAGAAAATCTCTTTGAAATAGAAGGTTTGTTATTTCCAAGGCCTCCTGTGAAATAGAAAATAGACGGCTACTCCATTTTCTTTCTCTAGGTCTAAGCATTTTTCTCCTTCCTTTCTTCCTGCCTGCCTTCCTCCATCATTCCCTCCTTCCTTCCATCCTTTCTCTTCCTCCTTTTTTCTTTTTCTTTCTTTCTTTCTTTCTTTCTTTCTTTCTTTCTTTCTTTCTTTCTTCTTTCTTCATTTTGAAACTATGAGGAATAACAATAAAATGTTAACAACGGTCATCTCTCAGTAGTCAGATAATATTGGATTTAATGTAACTTTTTTTTTTGGTCCTTGCAAATGTTTATCTCTATGTAGGCTTTGATTTATGATCAGAAAAGAATAACCTTTATTTTTAAAACGTTCTACTATGATGTAAAATTTGGAATAAGTTAGAAATGAATGGAATGTACTTTATTTCTACTTTATATATGAGTCACCCATAAAACCACAGCCACCTAGGTAGCAGCTTTGACTCACTTTTTAAATTCGCTCTTTCACCAGGTAGAGAAAAGGTTTCCCAGTGGCCCAGCGGCATTCCAGAACGTGTGCGTGCACGCATGCACACACTCACTATTCCTGTGTGTGCGCCCTGCCCTCCTAATACTGCCCAGGCTCTCATCACTTTGTGATGCCAGTTCCTCAACTTGGTGTCCTGATAAAAAGCAGTGGACATTGGACACAGGCAAAGCAAAGATTAGCACTCAATCTGTGTGATCTCACCATACCACATAACATCTCTGAATTCTAATCTTTGGCATTTCAAATACCAACATTTTATTTTTTCCCTTTCTTTTCATCTTTAAATCATAGAGTTTGTGTATTAATCTTCAGTATCCATTGGTATAGAAATGCCAAGGATCTTTTCTATGGGCTTTCTAAATTCTTCGGACCACACCTGCAGTGATTTATTCATAATTTTTCACCTTTTTTGTTTAATTGTTACCTATTACCCTTTCATACATGTTTAAGTACTTGGAGTTGTCTGTAGAAATAGAATCACATCTAAGATGTTGTATTATGTCTTTTGATTAAATATAAGAAAAGTTGAAATATTTAATTTGTTCATGGAAAAATCATACCACTGTGCTAATTTTCAGCAGTCTTACTTGTTTTTTTAATGTATTTTCATCTTTCTGAAGTTTACTATTTTTATCTCTTTTAGTTTTGAATTATAAAATCAATACATTGTTATCATGTAAAGTACTGACACGATGAAAACAGTACAAATATCAAGAAAAGTCACTATTTTCTACCTAAAATGCCTCTCATGTCCCTTCCTATCATAAACTAACTGTACCCATTGGAGGCAATCATTGTGAATGGTTTCATGTCTATTTATTCCCCTCACCATCCATTATTAGTACCTTCAAAAGATTACGCTGTGTTCCTGTGTCTGACAGTTTGTTCCAAAGACCTACTGGTCTTCAAAAACGTCTTGAGTGAATTAATGAACTGGCCTAATACTCTTGAAGATGGAAAGGATTTCACAGACAGGGGGAAAAAATGAAAAAGCTGAATGTGTGTCATTAACTCTTGCTTGGGTAGGCAAGCATGACAACACTGGGAACAGAGCCTCCAGGCCCAGGATCCAGTCCTCGAGTCCTACCCAGTGGAATAACTATCTTTTCATTAGGCTGAAGAACTTGTCACGATCAGAACCTGCAATTGAGTAAAATGGGAGCTTTCACCTTCATATATTTTCCTTACAAAAGGAATCTTTCTATTTTCACCAATAGTGCAAAAAATCAAAATTTGACTGAAGTTTCCCTTGGTGTACCAGATTCCAATGTCCTATTATTCCAGTTGCTTCTTAGTCACCAGTCCCTTAAACTCTGACTCTGTTCCATGTCCAGCCCCCTCCTTAGTTACCACCTGTCCCCTAGAATCACGGTGAACCTACATACATACAGCCTTCTCTCTCTTAAGCTTCAGATACAGCTTCTTCTTACTAAATCTGTATATTTAATGAGGCTCAAGATGTTTTTTCTTCCAAAGTACTGGTTTGTACAGATAACAGAGGCTGAACTAGATGAGGTGAATCTCTTAGGGGTAGAAATCAGTCCTCTGAGGTAGATGAGGATAGTATTATTTTTGTGATAACAACAATCCTGAGGGGGTACCTGGGTGGCTCAGCAGTTGAGCATCTGCCTTCAGCTCAGGCCATGACCCCAGGGTCCTGGGATCGAGTCCCACATTGGGCTCCCCTTGTGGAGCCTGCTTCTCCCTCCGCCTGTGTCTCTGCCTCTCTCTGTCTGTCTCATGAATTTATTTATTTAATAAAAATCTTAAAAAAATATATTTTGAGGTCCTCACAATCCCACAGGAGCCCATGTAACTTCCTAGTGCTGTAACTCATCCGTGCTTCCTGAAAGAAGACATAACTGACTTTCTTTTTTCTAAATATTTATTTCTAATCGTTGGGAATTTTGACAGAAACATTTAGATATTGTTGGAAGTAGATTCAGCCACAAAACTTCTCCTTTGCCCTTGCAACTAATTTAGGAAAATATTTTTAAATGGCTTTTAGCGTAAAGGAAATAAACTACCCAACCAACTCAACAAATGTGGAAAGAATGTTATATTCCTCAGATTTAATCAGTGTAAAACCTAAATGTCCTTCTGAATTTATGTATCTCTTCCTACTCAGGATGTTGAGGCACTTCACAGATCATTAAACAGCCCGTCTGATTTATCTGAACCCACAGGATTAATTTAAGATCTTAATCAAATAAACATAAATTAAAACCATTAATATCAAAATGCCAACTCTAAAAAAAAATTATACCACCAAAAAGATTGACGTAGGATACCAAATGCTACCTCTTGCTATTTTCAGACCAACACTAAATAGCAACACATAAAAATGTGCTTTTTGTTTCTTAATAGCTAGACTTTGGGATTTCTGTGCTACCATATTCTCCAGATGACGGTTTGTCCTCAATCAAAATATTCTGCTAATCTAATATGCTTTTCCGCCGTCATCCATATGCATGAAGTCATGAAATATAGCATGGCAAAATAGTTTCAATCAGTCAAATGAGTTTTTAAATCAGGAACTTTAAATATTTAAGGTACACAGCCATGAATTTTAAGTCATCCATGCATTTCTTTTGTCTCTTTCATCACAAGTGCCTGTTGTGAATTTTGCTCCTATGACGTCTCTCTGACCCATTCCCTCTTCCCCATTCTCACTTCTACTTCCTTACTTCAGCTACTTGGCATTTCTAGCTTGAACTGTTGCAGTAGCCTTCTCACCGGTTAGTCTTCCTATCTTTCTCAACTCTTCTCATCTCCCTTGCACGCTGCTCTTAGAAGGACCTTGCTGGGGCGTCTGGGTGGCCCAGTCAGTTAAGCGTCTGACTCCTGATTTGGGCTCTGGTCGTGATCTCAGGGTCATGGGATCCAGCCCCCAGTCAGGCTCTGCGCTCAGTGGGGTGTCTGCTTGAGATTCTCTCCCTCTCCCTCTGCCCCTCCCTCTCGTGCTCTCTCTTTCAAATTGATAAAGATTATTTTTTAAAATTTATTTATTAATGAGAGATACAAAGAGAGAGAGAGAGAGAGGAAGAGACACAGACAGAGAGAGAAGCAAGCTCCATGCAGGGAGCCTGATGTGGGACTTGATCCCGGGTCTCCAGGATCAGGCCCTGGGCTGAAGGCAGGCGCTAAACCGCTGAGCCACCGGGGCTATCCGATAAATGTTCTTTTAAAAGAAGGATCTTTCTAAATCATAGATTTGATCACTTTGCTTTGTACTTAAAAATGCTTAACGGGTTCCCATTGCCTCTGGTATAAATTCTAAGTTCATTATCACAGCACGGAGGCCTCCCATTATTCAAAGCCCATTTCCTTTCTCATCTTGTTTAAAGTTGGATCTCACTCCCTCCCTCACACACTCTGCACTCGGGCCTACAAAATCACTGCCGCTTGCTTGCTCCCTGGCATTCTTTCTCACAGCCCTGGCTCTTGGTTCACAGTGTTTTCTCTATTCGCCTTTTCCCCTTTTATCTCTTTGGAGGCTATTCTTTTTATCTTCGGAAATTCCAGTAAAAGATCACTGCTCCATAGGTTTTCTCTTGATCCCATATGCAGAATCAGATAATCCCTTCTCTGTGTTTAGTCTTCTCACAAGGTGTTGGACACCCCTATTCTCCCTCCTTCTCAGACTCCCCGGATAGAATTAACCACTCGGTCCTGTGAATGCTCTTCTGTTACAGTGCTTGGGGCATGCCTTGGCTCCCAGTTATGGGGGTGTAAGCAGGGCCTCCTCACTTTTTATCTCTAGGTCTTTGCCCAGGCCTAAAAGACACATAGACTATATTCTTCTAATAAACTTTAAATATTTTATTCTCCAAACTTCCTAAGCATCTTGGATAGTGTTCACATTCCAAAGATCTTAGTGTCCCGAAATATTGTTCAAAATTATTCTGTTGTTACATTGCATTTTCAGTGTCTTTCACATTTGCAGCACTTATGATTTTCAAGCAGGTCATTAAATAATATGCATCCTCTAAGCTTTCAAAACAAATAGATCATGGCATCCCAAATAAATATTCAATTAGGGTGAAAATAATTACAATGTGATTACAAGTCCATCTTATGGGTCATGAAGGTAACTTAAAGATTGTTTCCTGTTCTTATTGTGCTTCACATCACCTGGAACACTTGAAAAACTAGAGATCCCAGAGACCCATTCCGAGTCTCCTTTGTGGAGCTGGGAAATCTGTATGTAAAACAAAACATTCAGAATATTCTCCAAGTGATTCTGATCATGTCAGTCCCTAAAATAGCATTAGGAAATCACTGGTTTAAGAGATCTGAGGTCATTTTGACACACAGCCAAGATCAAAAACTACATGTCAAAGATAAATTGCAAATAATTTAAAAATGATTAAAACTTCAATTTAAAAAAAAGAACAAAAAAAAACACTTCAATTTATTTTTTAACACCTCTTACCAGACACATAGCTAAAAATCTATAGAATTTTAAAAGTCAGAATATGAAACCAATAATTACTCTTCACTAATCCCATCCTTTTTGTCCTTTATGTTGCTGCCCTGAAAATGCTGTAGTAAATAAAAAGTGCCGTAAACAGCATAGTTAGTGTCATATTTCTAAGAGGATTTTAAATTTCCAATGAAATTTAAAAACATAAAATTTTTCCAAAATATATATTCTTGTTGCTTGACAAGCAAACTTTAATGAATTAAAGAGTAGGTTACAGGGATCCCTGGGTGGCACAGCGATTTGGCGCCTGCCTTTGGCCCAGGGCGCGATCCTGGAGACCCGGGATCGAATCCCACGTCGGGCTCCCGGTGCATGGAGCCTGCTTCTCCCTCTGCCTGTGTCTCTGCCTCTCTCTCTCTCTCTCTCTCTCTCTGTGTGTGTGTGTGTGTGTGTGTGTGTGTGTGTGTGACTATCATTAAAAAAAAAAGAGTAGGTTACAGTAGCATGACAGCTGTCTGGTCTCATGATTACTGTGTGATTTTAAAGAAAAAAATAGAAAAACATCGCAGAAGTACCCCTGTAGTTTGAAGTATCTGGGATTAAGGCAATTAAACCACTTCAATATTGTCAACAAAGGAATGAACTCTTGGGGCAGCTGGGTGGCTCAGTGGGTTCAGGGTCTGACTCCTGGCTTTGGCTCAGGTCTTGATCTCATGGGTCGTGAGATCGAGCTGGCATTGGGCTCTGCGTTCAGCTGAAGTCTGCTTGAAAATTCCCTCCCTCTGTCCCTCCCCACTTTAAAATAAATTAAAAAAAAAAAAAAGAATTAGCACCTTTTGGTATTCCTCTTCTCATTTCAAACTTCATGTACTGTGTGAGCACTATAACCAAAACAGCAACAACTACAACAAAAAAGCAGCTCCAACTACGTTTAACTAAAGTACTCCGTGCTGGTTCTGAACTCTCTCACATTAGCGATTTATTTCCATCTCTAGATTCGAGAACATACATTCGTATGTTTCTTTCATGGGCCTAACCATAAGACATCAAATGTACCTAACTTCCTTAACACCTTGGTTACTAATTACAATGCAAATTGATCATTGTGGAATAAGGTGAATCAAAGGGTTGAACTACACATCTTAATGTGGAAGAGAGGTATTGCCAACAGGCTCATTTAATAAGAAGACTGGCTTTAAAAATATATATGTATATATTTGTTTAGTTTGTTCATGTCTATATCCATGCTTTCTAGAAACTCAGAAAGGTAGATTATTGGGAAAGAGCAGTCTATCTTTGATTCTGAAAAACTCTGTTTTGAGCTCATTTTTACAGCACAAGTTAGGCTGTAAGGCTCTGACGCAGAGATGAAGAGCACTAAATCAAGTGTACCCCTTCCCCTGGTTGGAAGGAAAGGGTTGGAAGGAAAGGTTGCCCTTTCCCTGTTTTTTCCATTCTAAATTTTCCCCCAAAGGATTTCTGAGTAACACCCCAAAACAAAGCATCAGTGGGAAGATGATGACTTCTCAGCTCAGAATGAATTCTAAAGACCTTCCCATGGATTACCAGGCCCTGAAAACCTGTTTTCCTCTGAGGTCTCAATCTCTCTCATCTCTTACAACCTTGCTCCTTTACTGCCACCCCTCCTGATCCTCCACTTGCCTTACTCTTCATGAAACGTATTGAGCACATCCCGCCACAGGGCTTTTGCACTTACTGTTTCTGGTCTCCAAGGTACTTAGCTCACATCTCTTCTTGGCTCCCTCTGTCGCTTCGTGCATGAGCTCTAGGCTCAAACGCTACCCTCTCAGAGAGGCTCATCTGACCATACTATAAAATAATACTCTGTGCCCACCGCACTTCTCTGTGCACACAGCCCGCTGTATTTTCCCTTTTCTGACCAAGTACACAATTCACTTGTCTCTAACCACTGGAATTTAAGGTTCGTTACAGTAGAGGCTGTGTCTGTGTCTGTCTGTTCACTATATGGCTCATTAGAAATTCCAAATATTTTTACATAATTAAAATCTATGACTAAGAGAATTTCAGCTTCCTGAATGCAGGAGTGAGTGATGTTTAAAAGCATAGGTTCTCTAACATGAGATCTATATATATATAATGTACATACACAGTGTAGTGACCCCAAGGGTCCCTGAGCCCCCCTCTCATTCTCTCCTCCCCCAAATACATATCAATTTTCTACCCTACACACACACAGCCCATGATTGCTGTCATACACCATATAGTGGATATATCTAAATTATGGTTTCTTGCTGCATTTTGTGGTTTTGGAGTTAACAAGTCAGTGTGCATGGGTTGAGTTTGTAGTTCATCATCATGGTGGTGCCAGTCAGCTAACTTCTGGGCCTTAGACGATGCAGTTTCTTGGGTGCCCCAGAAAGCTTTCCAAGAGCAGTATTTCCAGGGGTGATACAGCATTTTTGGTGTGATTTATAACACTCTTTCAAAGGACATTACAATCCACTGGGGGCATCAGCTGTAGATATTCCCATCTCAGGCTTGCAGACAGGTTCTGTGTGCTAAGTATTAAGACAAAAATCTGAAATGGTTTCTGTGACAAGGCATAGGATAAATGGTACAAGATGTAGCAAAGGTGTTTTCCCAACTAGGTTAACTTGGAATTTTGTGCAATATGTCTCCTTTTCTTAAGTCTGCACGAGTGGTAGGCTGAGTAGTAGGGGCAGGGGGGAAGGTGGAAAATGTTATCGTAAAAATAACATGCATGTGACTTACTTATGGATTCAACAGGTTTGACTTACGGTCTGGTTTTAAATAACCACCAAACCAAAGTTGTTCTTTAGGAATGCGGACTAGCACCCTATGTGTGTGTTAGTTTGGAAAATTCCTGGTCAATAGTAAAGAATCCAACCTCCCACTCAGCCTTCCAGTATGGTAAAAAGTACGTATAATTGAGTGATTCAATCCCACGTCAGCCGTTGACCAGTTGAATGACTTTGGTTACAAAAGGTTTAAAGTTTGTTAAAGTCCCATTTCCTTGGTTTGTAAAGTGGAAATAAAGATAGCTCCCCCCAAAAAGCTTCCTGTTACCGAAATCAAGTGTGTCTGTGTATATACAGACACGTAATCATAGCAGGTTTACATCACACGCATTTAGTGTGTGTATATTTGCAAAGCACCACGCAGTAGGTTTTAAAACATGTTCCACTTGATTAAAAATGTAGCCGTTTTGTGGAATACACTCTAGATGTTTCCTTGAGCAGTGTAAATAGCCTTTTCTAGAAGACAAGAATAACATTCACTATTTGCTCTCTCATTATAGGCTTATGAAAAAATTGCTTACCTTCTCACCAACCTCGGTAAGTCCTTTGTTTTAACTTCACTCCTTAGGAAAAGAATAACATGTGGGCAAATCAGTCGGAGGCTGCTTGGTGTACTTTAGCATTTCGAATGTCAACTTCAGTTTTGTGAATTGTCAATCAAAAGGAAAGACATGCATGGGAAGTTGGAGCATATTGCATACCTACAGAGAGGCGGTGTGTTGCTACAAAATCTCCTTCCTACGACTTACTAGCAAACCTACCTCTCCCTACATGGGAGGGCTTTTCTTCCCCTACCTTTTCAGTTCTTTGGGTTTTTCCCCCACTATTTATTTTTGTTGAAATATTATACTACATGTACACAATTTAAAAGGCAAAAGAGTATAATTAAGGACACAGTCAGTTAAGCCTCCCACTCTTGGTTTCAGCTCAGGTCATACCTCAAGGTCCTAGGATCAAGCCCCGAGTCAGGCTCCATGCTCAGCGTGGAGTCTGCTTGAAATTCTCTCCCTTTCTCTCTGCCCCTCCCACTTGTGCGTGCTCTCTCTCTCTCTCTCTCTCTCTCTCAAATAAGAAAGTAAAATATTAAAAAAAGAAATTTATAATTAAAACCAGTACTTGCCACATTACCCATTCTTATTTTCCACTTTCCTGAGAGATTACTTTTTTTTTTTTAATTTTAGCAATTTCTTTTCTTGTTTCCTACCCTGTTTCTAAATAACATACTTCTCTGACATTCTTGGACTTTCCAGGTTTGGGAAGCTATTGCCTTAGGTCTTAACATTCCCTGCAGTGTTCTTTCCCTGCACGGTTTCCCACTCATCACTTGTTATACACACACTGTCTCTTCCCCCTTCCAAGTAGTTCTGTTCAACAGATTTGAAATTTTAGCCAAATTAATAATTAGTGCTTACATCATTGTTTCTATATAACTACTTTTATATGTCAGGCACGATGTGTCTATGATTGTTTCCTTTCTTATGCAATCTTTATATTTTCATGAAATGAATAATATCACTTTTTTCTTTAATTTTCAGCATAGTTTCTTGATTTATCCCAAACTTCCCATCTCAATTCTGAATGGTCTCTAAATATGTAAAGCTATAAGGTTTCCTACTTATTTTGTTTTCTTAGAGTTACCCATCCTGAACCCACATTCACTCCACTCTCAAGAGTCTACCCTCCCTGTGGTCAGCAGCATCTATGCTTCCTCTCTCCCACATGCTGAGTTGTATCAATTGGATACCACTATTTGGACCCTTCTGTCTTCTTTTGTCTTGGCTTAATTCCTTTTTTTTTTTTTTTTTTTTGCCTGAAAAGTAAATTTCTTGAGACCTTATGTGTCTGAAAATGCATTTTTTCTATCATCAAACTTGATTTTTTGGTCTCTCCATTCGGAGGACAAGCAGAGCTATTTGAGCAGTGATCTTTTATTGTTGCAAAACTCATCAGATGCCAGGCACTGTGCTAGACACCCTGCATTCATTATTTTGTTCTACTGACATCATAATTCTATGACAGTAGGATCCCTATTTTATGAATTAGAAAATGAAGATAATTAAGTTAAATATGTAGAATTTAAACCCAAATGTGGCAGCGTCCACTTGCTTATGGTGGAATAACTGTATCACTAGACTCTTGCTCCCCCTATCATGTATTTACAAGTACAAGCAATAACAAAAGGAACATGGTGTAGAGGGAAGAACAAGCTCCTAGGTCATGCTCTGGAAATAAGTGGTCATATCACTTGGAAATTACATGACTATGAGCAACTTTTCTCTTTTCATTCTTCCTTTTCCTCCGTCCCCCATTCCCCCACCACCATTTCTTTCTCTTCCTTTGGTTCTTCCTCTGTTTTTTGTCTTTTTGAGTCTCAGGTTTTGTTATTGGTAAAATGAGAATAACAGTTCCTATTTCACTGTTGTAGGTTGGCTGCCCAACATGTGACAAGTGTTCAATAAATGGGAATGATCTGTCGCATTGTTCTTAAATCCTCTGAGCTAGTTTCTTCAGCAGGATAATGATGCACTTGAACTAGATTGTCTGAAAGCTTTCTTCTAGCTCTGATTCTTTATATTTGTTTGATTTTAAAGTATTTTATACCAAGGATGAAAGCAACCTAAGGGAGTGATTTGGAGGATCACAATAGTAGGAAATAGAACAGTTATTTGTGTTAAGTACCAGGAGAACCAAAGTTTGCACTTGATATATGATTTTTCCATCTATAACTTATGACACAATGCCTATGGATTCATAGCTATTAAATTAATAATGAATGGACTGTATTAATTTAAATTAACAAAAATATTAATCTATTGTTTATTTTTTAATTTTTAATATATTGTTTAAAATGCTGTGTATATAGATATAAATACATATTTTTAAATATTTGAATATTTATAGGTACATATAAATATATATATGGCATTGTATTCTGTGTAATTTTAGACTGTGCAAATTTGTGCTTCAAATTAGAAATTAAGTGTTTCCTCCTGGAAAAGGTCACACATTTTTTATTTAAAAGATCTTTTAAACTTTATGTTTTTTGATTTATTTTTAACCACATATTTTACTTTCAAAGGTCATAAAAAAACAAAGTTTCAGTTCTATCACATTTTTTATATGAGAAGAAACATATAATATTTGATTCAAAGTGATGTAGTTTTTTTCAGCTTGGTTTTATGGTCCAAATAACAAATCATTTATAATAATGAACTATCTATAATATGAATTATCTATGAAAAGTGAGCATGGATTCCAAGAAACAAATTAAGCCAACTGATGGAAAGAGTTTCGACTGTGTCAGAGGTCAATTCAGGAACAACAACAACAACAAAGTTATTTCAAGATAATAGTAATAAAATCAGATGTTGCCATGTTAATATTAGGCAAACCAGAATTTAATATATCTTTGAGTGAGAAAGAAATGTAATATATCTTTGAGTGAGAAAGAAAGATAAGTCATTCTGATAAAGTCTGTCAGGTCAGTATAATAGTCATGATTTCTATACATCTTTTTATAAACCTTCAAAATATAGAAAGCAAACATGATAGAAATACAAAAAAAAAAAAGTTGGCAAATCTACACTCAAATATAAGCCAGGATATAAAATACTTGAATATCATAACTAACAAGCTTTTCTTTAAATATATATAAACTGTATGCTCAACAAAAAATATATGTATTCTTTCCAAACACTTAATACATTGACAAAATATATCCAAGTAATTTGGCCACAAATGAAACTGCAACTTTGTTGCTCCAAAGCAGAAATCACAAAGGAACATTTTTGGATCATGATGCAGGAAAATTAGAAATGGAGATTCCTCCCCAAAAAAGGACACAATTTTTTAAAAATCCATATTCTCATTTCCAAAAAAAAAGTTTTGTGCTAAATTTACACAGTGTTTAGAATGAAACAATCATGAAAACAAAACCTACCAAAACCTTGGGGAAATGTGGGCTCTCCTGGCTGCTGTCACCAGTGCCCACCCACTAGCAGCATTGGGGATGCCCTGCAGACCCCTGATTTTTGGCACCTATTCTAGTCAGGCTTGAAATCCCCCAGGACCTATTCCTAATCTGTGACTGGATCATGCACACAATCTGGCCCATCTTTTCCTCAAAATCAGATCCCATCTGTTTTATATCTTTCTAGAATTCGTAATGGCATGAAAGTATGTATCAACTGTGCATACAGATCCTCTACCATTATTTGGGTCCTGGGTGGAAGCAGAGGTTGCAGTCCACACGGCCATCTTAATTCAGTCTCTTGCATAATTTCGTTTTGTTTTAAGAGTCATAGAAATAAAAAAAATTAAAAAATAAAAATAAAATAAATAAAAAATAAAATAAAAATAAAAAAATTAAAAAAAGAGTCATAGAAATATAGGATGTGCGAGTATACAGGTGCTTGAAATCATCTTGTCTGGACTCCTTGTTTCACAAATGTTAAAACTGGTTGCAAAAAAATGTAAAGAGATCTACCTGGCATTACCAGAAAATTAGCTATAGAATCGAGACAGGAGCTTAGCTCCTATGACTGACTTTGGCCTTTATTCTTTTTTCCATTCTACTTCAGTCTGCACAGAATATCCACTCCTCAACTCTGTGAACAATGTAGGTCCCTCTTTAAGCATAGACAGTTTGAGTGAAGGACTGAGCCAACCATCCAAGTATATGGTGACTTCCAAATGACAATGCCAAGCAGAATCCCAAAAATCTTTATATATTATTAATAACAGGCATCCTATTTTTGTAGCTGTGGGGAAAGTCTAAAGATTGTGTCATTGGATCCTTTTATCTACCAAGTACAGTGACATTACCATTCACGTTTTGCAGATACCATAGAATCCAGACACACAGACTACCTCATAGAACTAGTATTTGTCCATATTTCTTTTTGTTCACCTCCTCTATGTGAACACATCCCATTTTTCTTTTAGAATATCCTCGAACAGAATCTGAGTGGGAAAACAGCTTTGCTTTGAAGATGTTTCTCTTCCAGTTTGTTAATTTAAATAGTTCTATCTTCTATATTGCTTTCTTTTTGGGAAGGTAAGTCAACTTTATGTACATTATCTTTTCAGAGTAAAGAAAGACTGCCAAGGGTTCCATTGTTGATTTGTTAACAGAGATGGTAAATTCTTGTCCCCTGCCTTGGAAAACTGCTAGTCAGTCTTCACATGCATATTCCATCAAAAGACTTCTCAGTATAGTGCTTCCAGCTGCAACTACCAATTAAAGTTGGCATAAAAAAAATAAATAAAACCTATGTACTATGTTTGGGTTGGATTATGATCATCCAATCCTCAGTAATGGTGTGTTAAATAAGAAAGTGATTTTTGTATATCCTCAGGTTATAGCTCCTTAGTGTGGAAATTTCTCCTACTTATCATGTTAACATTTTTTGCTGTCTTTGCTGCACAGTATGAAAAAGAAGCATATTAAACTATGCTTAACACTCCAGCAGTGCCATGGAAACATACTAAAGCTAAAACCATTTTAAACTAAACAATCGGGCACATTACATTAATTTTCATTAGCTAGGTCAGCAACACATTAAAGACCTACAGGTGAAAGTGGAAATTTTTCCTTTGGTTAGTTTGTCTGTACTTTCTCTCCCCCTGGCATTGAATTCACACACCACTTTTTCCTCCTTAAGTCAGGTACTTTGATGTGTAAGCGTGGCCTAGGTCTGCAGTTTGGGGACAGGATGCCCCAGCGAACATTTATATCTACCTACACATGCACTTGCTGTGGTACATTAGTAAATGTTCTTTGGCCAACCCCACATAAATGCTAATGAATTAAAATGGCTTTTTACAGATTTGTAGGCCACCCGGGAAATTACAATAAACTTTTTAACCGGTGGAGACTGGAGGAAGTAAGTAACCTTGTAAGGGTGGATGTGGGACTGGGTGTGGACCGGGGCCAATGATGTAGGAGGGAAGCGGGTGGGAGGAGAGAGAGAGAGAGAGAGAGAGAAGGTGGGTACGTGGAATCTCAGGCATTTTTGGTAGAGAGTTCCTATGGGTTCAGAAATAAAGGAACTATGTCTTTCAAAAAAAAAAAAGAGTGTGAATTAAAAGGGTAAACCCCCAGATCCTGACCTTAGCTCTTTAATTTTCTGCCAAATCCATTTCCTCCATTCACAAAGCTCAGAAATTTAGCTCCAGGGATTTTTCACTTTGGGGGAATTATTATAATCAATATAGTGGGGTTTTGAACTTTTAAATATGTCAGATTTCCTTTTAAGCAGGGAAACTTCATCCAAAAGAAATCATACTTAAAACACCAATCTGTAGACAATAGATCTGTATCTTCCAAGTCTCGTAATTGTTTTTTTTTTAATTTATGGATTTATAATATGTACGTCATGGAAACAAAAGGTCTAGTATTGCTAGATCACAGGGTTGAGCATATTGTATATTGTCACTGAGACTGACAAATTATCCCCCAAAATGCCAGCCCCTACCTGCAGTCTGTGAGCCTGCTTCCTCAGACTTCTGCCAACAGAAACATTTTAATTTTTACCAATATAACATCTGAAGGAGATCTCCTTTTGATTTCAGCTCCTTGAATTATGAGTGAGACGGAGCATATTCTTCATATGTTTGTTGAATATTTTATATTTCCGTGTTCTATTCTTGCTCATTTCTACTAGACTATTTTTCTCTGTCCTAAAAATTTATAAACCTTATACTAACGTTAGGCTCTAATCTTTCAAATTTGCTGCAGGTAAGTTTCTCATCTTCTTGGATGTCTTAATTTTGTTTTGTTACATTTTTTTAAACCCTATAGCATCTTTCAAGTAAAATATCACTGCTATTAATGATTTCAGGCATTTATATCATGCCCAAAAATGTTTTTTTTTTTCACTTTAGAATTTTTTTAAAAAGCTCAGATTTGTGAAGTGTGAACTTTTCACTTAAATCTTTGGTGCATTAGAAGCTTATTTTTGAGTAAAAGGTAATCAAGATTCTCCCCCCCCTTCAGTTGGCATCACATATTTAATTAATAATGTATTTTTTATCAGCAAAATAAGATTTCAAGATTTATCATCTTCTGCATCTTGAAATCATGTCTATGTCTGGACCCTGTCCATTCTCATTGGTCAGATTGATTATTGCTTCTGTAGTTCAAAATTGTTTTAATTATTCTAATGTAAAATCCAATTTAGTATATGGTAATATTAATAGAAGGTCATAATTTAGAGAGAGGCTAAGAAAAGATTCCCTGAGAAAACAGATGTTTCCAGTCTCTAAAAAGTTCCCCCCAAACTCAGGGTGTCCTCATTGATGTTGTCTCCCTAGAGCCTTCTAGTTGATTGGAATACATGGAGAAAGCCCCCAAACTTCCTAAATACAACATGCTTTACATCACAGAAAACTGGGCTCACCTGCTAACCTTGCTACTTATTAATTCTTTGCCCTTAATTTAATCCCTCTGAATATCTGTCTCCTTGTCTCTAAGCTTAGCAGTAGTAATACTTAGGTTGCAAAGTTGTTTATGAATAAGAGATAATTTGCATAGCACAATTAGCACCACCTCTGGACTTTGGCAGGCACTCTATAAACTGTAGCTGATAGTTATCAATGCTCTATCTCCACAGCCACCTGGGTGTTATCCTTTTAGGTAAACACAGATGAAGAGCTTCCATAATTTCAGACCTCCAGGAAGTCCCCAAATCAAACTTGCAGTTTTCACTCATGGCCTAGACTATATCTGCTAAAAGGTTTTTGTCTACCCAGATTGCACCCAGAGCTTACTCTTTATCGGGAGTATGCAACTGGAATTAGTAAGGGGAGTGTGGGGAACAGGGTGGCACAGGCAGGTAGATCTGCATATTGATGCGATGTTAGAAATTGCTGTCGCCAGTAATTTTAATTGGATATTTTCACTCTGAAGTGTAAAATTATTAGAAGTCATGTTTCTTCTTTGGGAGTCCCAGGGAAATAATTCTGATGCTGTTATCCTAGGGAAATAAGTCTAATACTGGTGTCAGGATAAATGGTTCAGAACCATCCTACACACTTTCCACAGTATGTGTGGCATACATAAAGGGCGTATTATCCAACAAAAGATTTCTTTTTTTTTTTTTTTGGAAAAGAATCAGTGAAATGACAAATGTGGGTTTGTGTTTGTGATAGACCCTAGAAATTCTAGAAGTGTACACATAACAGAAGATAAGAATTGACCCTCTGACTTCAATCCTATAATAAACATTTACTGACACTCCATTCCAGGCCTCTGTTGGGTAATATGGGGTATACAGATGAAGAAGTCCCTTTCTTTTCCTGGTGGTGCTAATAGTCCCGAAGAAAAGAACATAACCACGCTATGTAACAAGTATCGTGTCTTTGGAGTCTCACAGTCTACATTCTAATTATTCCCCGCCCAAAAGCATGCTTTTAGTATCTTAGTTTCAGTTTTCTCTTTTGTAAGTTGTGATAAGAGTAGCTATCTGGGTAGGATTGGTGATAGGTGGATAAAACTGGATCGTGCACGTAAAATACCTGGCACAAATAATAGTAGCCATTATAAAGAAAGCAAAAGGTACTAACATGCTAAAACATTGATGAACTGACTACACTGACCTTTCCTCATACTGTACTCTATAATATCTCACATAAATATTTTATGTAAATCTATGTAAAAATAGTAACAATGATTAATATTTAATGAGTGCTTACTATATGCCAGCACATTCCAGCAATTGTTCTTACCTGCTCTACATAGATCAATGCAAAAATTCTGCTATTACCCTCATCTTGAGGAAACAGAAGTTTCGACAGGTTATATACTCTGCCTACAGTTATAGAAACACACTTATAAGCTGATGCAGTCGTCAGTTTGATTCAACCAACCTAGCATCAGAGTCCACACTCTGAACACTGTGCTTTCCGGTCACCGCTGGGATAATAGCATACAGGCAAAATCAGGAACATCAAGGAAATTGATAAGAGCTTGCAGAATGATTGCTGACTCGCACGTGTAAATTGGATTTAGAGTAGACATACTTCATGTGAAAGGAGCATGGGTATCAGAATCTAGTAGTCCCATCTGCCCCTTCACATCATTTACAAAACGGAAATGCCAACACCCATCTTATGAGGTTCTCAGGAAGAGCCAATGACAAAAATACGTGAAGACGTCCAGCTATGGGTTGTCCACAGTCATACGATTTGGGGGGCTGCAGTGGGAATGAAAGCCTGGGTCTCCTGCCCACTCACCCATGCCCTTTTACTCATTCTAAGTAGCAGCTCTCTTATCGAATGAATTTTAGAGCATCAAAGGATTGGATCTTGCTCAAGGGAACTATTATTTGAGGAGGGCAGACCCACAGAAGCTGTTGGATCCCTTTCTCCGCCCTATAAATCACAAAATCATGAAGGCTCAAATTAAACAAAACTATAAATGGCCTGTCATCCAGCCTCCCCACTTTGGCCTGCGGTTGTGGAGAATGAGCCAATCACACGGTTCTGTAATGGTCTTTTTCCCTTTCCACATAGTAATATGCTTTGGTAAACCAGCCCTTCAAGGCAACAAACACATTTGGTAAGTAGAATTCATCTTTAGCCTCATGTACAGGAGCAGAAGACCAGGGTGCAGGAGACCAAGGCTCGGGATTCCATACCGACAGTCAATATCCTATGACCTTGTTGTGACCTTGTAAAGACCTTACTTTATGTCTTCCAGTCTCTATAAAAATGAAGAGTTTCATCTCGCAGCTGTGATCTAGGCCTATGCCTGGCCCTGTAGCTTAGTAATTATTGTGTCTCAGCCGTTCTGTGGAACCCATCTATCATCCGTACGTGTCAGAGCTCAGGGGGTCCTGAATTCATCCTAGAGAGAAGGGGTGTGCTAAAATAGGAGAACTGAGACTTCTCTACACGATAAAAATTGCCACCGGCAAGCCCTCTCTCTGACTCAGTTTAGGGAGTTTTAAATTACTGGGCTGGAACCGGAAAACCAGGCTCTTCGTGTCCTAATTATCTGTTCCCTTTGAAGTCCCACTGGTACCAATTTGACAGAAATAGAAACTGGATCAAAGCTATAGTGACTGTTGTTCTTATGAGCAGGACATGAACCCATTTCTAAAGAAACAGACCCACGCTCTCCTACCCAAGTATCTTCTGCAGTGCAAAGTTTTTAAGCAAAACACATCAGCTGTGATTTTTCATTGTAATCGCATTTCTGTTTGTGGGGGTTTCTGGTTCTGACATTTATTGGACATCTGAAAAAGCAGAGGAGCACAGGGAAGGCAAAATGGGGATCATACTGACAAGCCATTCTGTGGCTTTTTTGTTTTTTTCCAGAGGGAAAATTTTCATTTTTTTTCTTCAGATGTTTACTTAAATTCTAGTTAGTTAACCTTCAGTACAATGCTGGTTTCCGGAGTAGAATTCGGTGATTCATCACTTACATACAACACCCAGTGCTCATCATAACAAGTATCCTAATGCCCATCACCCATCTAGCCATCTCCCACCCACCTCCCTCCACCAACCCTCAGTTTGTTCACTATCTTTAAGGGTCTCTTAAAGGGCTTTTTAAAGAGCTTTTTTCCCTCTCTTTTTATTCCCCTCCCATATCTGTGGCGTGTTTTTATCACTTAAAAGCCCATTCTAATATATGTAGATCTTCCCTTCCAAGATATAGAGCTTAACACCTGCCTCCTATCTTGAAGTCGGACTAGACTTAAGGACTCACTTCAGTAAAGAATAGGGAAAGGGACAAATGAGTAACTTTACAAATACCTGGCAAAGACCCTACCAACCAGCTGATGAAGATTAATGTCACCAGTGATGTCGTGTGGCTGTCATGTAATTTCCGAGGGGAAATAGTGAAAATGGCACTTTACGTCTGTGATCTCTGCCCATCGTCAAAGCACATAAGCCCAGTCTAGACACGTGAAAACATCAGATGATGTTGGTTTCTCAGCTTTGACAAATATACGTTGGTAATGTAAGGGGCGATGGAGGGAATTGGCTGAAGCATGTATGGGCATTCTCTGCTCTTTCTCTGCAAATTTGCTATACTTTCAAAACTATTCTGAGTCCAAAACATTATTTATAAAGACCACATTATTAACACTTACATGTTTTTCCATCTCCCAGTTGTTAATAGATACACAGTATTCCACAGCACTCCTTAAAAGGGATCATGCCTAGTACAGAGCTTGGCAGATAGTCAGTGCTCATTAAAAGTTAGATTCATTGTTCTGTTGTTAAAATTGTGATCAGTATTCCACCCTCATTACTGAAAATTCCCCTATCTGGTGTCTTTATACATGCTATTTCTTCCTTATTTTTATTTATTTTCTTTGTGCACTGAGATAGAGCAGCCTGGCTTTTAGAATTTGCTGTACGATCTGAGGGTGGGGACATGTAACCTACTGAGAGCAAGATCATTGTTCTTGTTCTGTTCCAGTGTCATCCCAGTGGCTGTTTGATAGACCTCTGCCTCCAGATGGGCGTCATCATGTTTTTGAAGCAAATATGGAACAACTTCATGGAACTGGGATACCCGTGAGCACTTTATTTTTAGACTTGCCTTGTATATAGCTACGCACAAAAAAAGGACAGGTAGTGTGAATAATTCTTAAGAATTGGGGCCTGGTAAGCAGACAGGTGTGGGTTCCATTCCTGCTCTGCTGCTCACTCAATGTGTGACTGTGTGTGAGTTTAGCCTTTCTGAGCCTCAGTTTTCACAGCGCTGAGAAGGGATCAGTGGTTCTCTGCTCCTCGAGAACACTTGTGAGGATTAAAGGAAGGAGTAGATGTCAAGCACATTAAGAGGCTTGTTGCTCTTCTTAAAGCACTATTGACAGTACGTAGGTTCTTAAAGATAAAAGTGACTTTCTGGTTTCTTTTGGCCACCGAAAGACTGAGGTCATGGCTGTTTAACAAAGACAACCTCCATGTAGGCTCCCTCCCTGAAAAAACAATAAAACAAAGATAAAATTCCAGATAGGGAGGTTTTGTACTCTTCATTACACAGAAAGAAAAAAAAAAGTCATTAGGACAGGATTGATTTCACAAAACAGTAGCATTCTCTTTTGTCCCTTTGGATGGAGCTTAATGGTTGTGGAAGGCTGATGTGGAAGGGTGTTGAATGCCCACTTCTACGTCTAATAAAAATATATTACTCCTCCAAATACACTGGAATCGAGTTTATGTCAAACAATGTGTTGTGGAAGCTTTGAGGCCTAACCAAGGTTGTTAGAAACATTACTATTTTGAGGAATTTCTTGACTATAGGAGAACTAGTTAATTGATGATACAAGTAGCTTAGGCTTAGTCAAGTAGCTTCCTCCTCCTTGCGGGCCTACGAATGGTGTTGTGACATTCCGAGTAGACTTGAGGGCTGCGGAAGTGATATCCACCCTGCAATCTGCCGAAGAGTGTTGTGTTAAGTTGCGGGCAGTCTTAGAGCATGGACGATGAAATGACTGGGACCTGGTTCATGTTCCTCCTCTGACTCTTGCTAAAGATGATTATGATTTACTTGACCTATTTGTGACATTGTGGGGTGGTTTTTTTTTGTTTGTTTGTTTGTTTTTTAATTTAGAAAATAAGGGAGGAGATTACAGGAGATGCCCAGTGGTCTTTAAACCTTTAACAATAAATGACAGAACCGTTTTGTGAAGGGATTCTCATACTGATCCTCAATATTCAAAAAGGATGAAAACCAATCTCTTATAAGTGGAGAGAGCAGAGGGATGGAGGATTGGGGAGCCCAGCCCATTGTCTGTATCCCTTCCTACCCCTGACTCAACTGTGTGAGGCTCAACAGATGTGGAAAAGTCATTTGAAAATAACTGAGGAGATTGGGTAGCAAGTGGCCGCCACAGGATCTGACCTGCTGTGAATGCAAGAGCTTCATAAGCATATGAAAGGTGGTAGAGTGGTCATTATAGTATTAAGAATGATTCTTATTGTCATTGTCCAGGTGCTTGTGTCCATACCATGCACTTTGGGTACACGTTTTCACCATGACCTTGGGCGGCTGGGACTGTGTCTCTCAAATCCCAAATGTACCATGGTAAGGGACATCCTGTTGGTGTTTTTCCAAGTCCAGCAGGAGTGGACCAAAGCAATGATTTGGAAACTTTCATAACACAGTTCTCTTTTTAAAAGTTAAACCTTATGCAGACTGTGGTAAATAAAACGGAACTAAGCGGGCCTCAATCCCAACACCCAGCACCTTTTCCATTTTCATGAGGTCTCAGAGGCAACCTCCATGGGATGTATACTGAAGAACCAATGACCTCAAGTTCTGGTCTGTGATGGTTCTTCCAACACCCACTGAGTTCTAGGTCCATGGTTAATTAATACTGAGAGTTCGGTGCACTGTGCGATTCACTTCATTCTAGAGGAAATTTTCATCTAACTCTTGAAATAACTGCTCAGGAGTCCCCACTATGGGATATTTCGGAGTCACATAATGTACAGACTCCCCCTAAGCTCAGGAAATAGTGTTGTTTATTCCTTTCTAGGTCTTTTAAATGGACTCAGACACAGATCCATTGCCTGTAAACTATTGCTCACTACAGAAGCAGAATGGAATAGTTAATACGCAAGCCATTCATGTTCATAAACCCAGAGAGGTGATTATCAACTTACTAAAAGTCACACAGCTAACACCTCACAGGGTGGAGCCTTTATCTCTTGAAACCTTATCTAGGGCTCAGTTGTTTAGTGCAGGACATGATTTTACTCATGTTCAGAGAGCACAGCCCAGAAGATTTGAGGTTATGAGCAATGAAGGGCTCAGATCCAATCACAACAGGCAACACAGAAGTATTTATATAGGTTGGGGAGGTAGGGAGGGGAGGAATCATAGAAACGGATATTTCTCTAATAAGTATAGGAAGCACCTAAGTGTATGGGGAGATTAATTCCCAGATACATTATGTAGATGTTTATAAGGTCTAGGAAGGCTGAGGCCTATCCTCTCATCCGGAACTTGGAAATGGAGACCATGCAGATATCTCCAGCACCCAGCAATGCTTAGTGGTATCTCTCTTTCCTTAATACACTATAAATTATTCACCATATAGTTAAATAAGGGCTCAAAAAGCCTTTGTTTGCTCTGTGATGTAGGTTGATCCAGAACTGGTGGTCACGACATAAAATCAAGCGGGGAATACAAGATGCGTCCATACCTCAGTGGGAAAATGATTGGAACCTGCAGCCCATGAATATTCATGGACTGATGGATGAGTATTTAGAAATGGGTAAGGAAGAAACTTCTATACAGCTATTTGGCCGTCTTGATACATTTTGTTTGTTTGTTTTTACTTCATACGGGCTTTGATCCAAGAGAGAAAACCATCTCTCTCCTTTCCAACCCCAAGCATTCTAAAATACATCTATACCTTTATCTCAACATTACGAGGGAAGATATTAAACCAGTGTCCTTGGAAGACACAAAATCTGTCTTGTGTCAGCCATAACATTTGAGCAACGGGAAGGATTTTCTCACAGTAGAACACCTAGCTTTAGGGCAGATGTTTGAAAGGAACACAATAAAGCAAAACCCATCCCTATGCCAAAAACATGCCATCTTGTGCAAATAAAGCAATGATTATTTCTTACAATAAACCTTCGCTCAGACCTGCTGAGAGTTTAGCTGCTTTGAGAAGCCCCATTATTTATATTAAGCAATGGAGGATTCTCACTCCAACTCTAAAATCTTTGTGTGCTGTCTTGATATTTGCTTTTTCTCTGACCTATTCTCACCTTAAAAAGAAAGGATGAGATTAGGTGTCTTGAGTCCCTCGTAGAGCTAAGCATTTTTCTTCAAAGCCTCCTCTTTGACTTCTTTTTTCTTCACTCTTTCTTCATGCTGGAGAGAGCACATGGACTTTCAACCCATTAAGATCAGAGTTTAAATGCAGGTTTTAACTTTTTTTTTTTTTTTGATATCCACCCTTTAGCAAGCTTACTGAACGCATATGAACTCTAGTTATCTCAACTGCAAAATATGATGAGCATATTTACCTTGTAGGGGTATTGGAAGGATTACAAGCGATTTATGTAAAGCACCTAATATGGCACAAAGAAAGCACTCAATAAATGGTATTGTTTATATTATTAATGTTGTGATGCTCTGTCTCCCTGGACAGTTTTGCAGTTCGGTTTTACCACCATCTTTGTTGCGGCTTTTCCTCTGGCCCCTCTTTTGGCTTTGTTAAATAATATCATTGAGATCAGGCTGGATGCATACAAATTTGTCACCCAGTGGCGGAGGCCTCTTCCAGCTCGAGCAACTGACATAGGTAAGATACAGGAATTAAATGGTTTTGGCCTTGCTAATGCCAAGAAGTGCCATGATCTTAGCACCGTGTGGGTTTCTATTGTTGGGGTCCCTTCCAAATTGAACAAGACTGAGCAGTTTGGGTCAACAAAATAATGAAATGGACACAAACTCAGTAGAGAGTTATGTGTATACTAAACATACTATCTCACGAAGTTGTTTATAACAAAAAATCGTCTCCCATCCATCTTCCCATGTTAGTATAGTTCTGTCTCATTCTTTATAATTACTGCACAAATTTCTATTGCATGTTATATGACATTTCTAAAAAATCATCCCCTTAACTGAAGACGCTTAGATCATTTCAGTTTTTTCTATTATAAACAACACTGAGGTGAACGTACATCTTCCTATGTACTTTGATCATTTCCTCAAGATAAACTCCTAGAATGGAACTCCTTTGTCAAAGAGCATGTAGGCATTTAATTTTTTTTTACATTTAAATTTTGATATTTTCTCAACGTGTTCTCCAGAAATATCGTGCCAATTTATATTTCCATCAGGTATAATAAGGGTTCTTTTTCTTTTGCTTTTTTTTTTTTTTTTACTGTTCTGTCCTCAATAATCTGAGGAGGGAAAATGATATCTTGCTTTATTTCCTTGCATTTTTATAATTATGAGATTAAATATATTTGTATTTCTTCTTTACGGTTTATGACCTTTGGCTATTATATCTGATTTGGTAATCTTTATCTCTGTTTACAATATTAACCTTTGATATATATTCAGATGCTGGTTTTTAATCTTTTACTCTATCATGAGTAAGGTTTTAGTGTGTATATAATCGCACTGATATATCTGTCTTACAGTTATTATTTATGACATTCTTAGAATGTCCTTTAGAACTCAATTTTTCACTGTGTTTTAGTTGTTTTATATTTTAGATGTGTGTGTGTGTGTTGTTTGGTTATCTGTTGGCATTTTAAGATTTTATTTAAATTGTTGATCTAACTGGAATTTGTTGTTAACAAAGGGGCTGAAATTAAGACCCAGCTTGTTTTCCTTCTAAAGGGTACAAAACATTTATTAAATATTCCATCTTTTTTTAAACTTGTTTGAATTATCTCTATTTTATGAAACTATATGTAAACTTAGTTATATTTCTAGAATCCCCACTTATCCCTTTGATCAGACTACTTATTATTGGCATACTGTTTTACTAAACTATAGCTCTGAAACAGAGATTCTAAGTATGTGAAAAAGCAAATTCATAATTTCCCTCTTCTTTTTTGGAGAATTTTCTGGCTATTATTGCAAAGTTGCCTTTTCAGTTAATTTTACTCATATATATGCTCCACAGCCAACAAAGCTGATTAAAATATTCTAATCTATAGAGATTTAATGCTATTCAACTTGAGTTCCCATTTTTTTAAAAACAACTAAAATTATTATTGCTATTTAATTTAGACATGTTTATTATGTCATTATTAAAATAATATAAACACATTAAAGAAAATCTAGAGAATAAATCAAAGAGGAAAAATTCAAACTCCCTTTCCAGCTTTAGTTAGTGTTTATTGCATTTTCCAATGCAAAAATTATTATTTTTTTAAACATCAACTTTGACTGTAATCGATAGTATGTGGATACCGTATACAATTTCAAAATCTTTTTTCTTATACCTGTATGCCAGACTGGAAAAGTCAACTAGTGATTTCCATATCTTGACATCAAACTTTTACATTTTTATATTTTCAATGTAAAAAATTCTTGAAACAATTCCTGATGATATTTTAATTTTCAGACCTCCCTTCATGGGTTCTATCTTCCGTCTAGGGAAAAGTATTCAGTAGATGTCTGATGTGTAGGGAGATAAAGTAAATAATGGACAGAGCTGTAGCCCCCAAATAAGTAAAACATTCTTTCCAAAGATGATCCATTCAGTTTTAATTTTTTTTTTTCCATTTCATCCCCTATCTGCACTCTTTCTCCTACTAGGTATCTGGTATGGCATTCTTGAAGGAATTGGCATATTGGCTGTGATCACCAATGCATTTGTAATTGCTATTACATCTGATTACATCCCACGTTTTGTCTATGAATACAAATATGGCCCCTGTGCAAGTCGTTTTGAATATGGTGAAAAGTAAGGTTGAAATTTACACATTTTTCTGATACGTTTTATTTTTGTGATTGAAGTGGGAACTCATTGGGAAGTTTTGTTCTGTGACCATTACGGGCAGTGTTTTTGATCATTGTACTTACCGTGTGCTTATTGGAGGAAATCAAGCGGATAAAAGGGGCGACAGTGCTTTTTAATCAAATAATTTTAGAGTCTCTCTGTGTTTTTACTTGGAAATGCATCACTGGCATCCAAATATTAAAAGCATTGTAATGTATTTAGAAGTTAAGTTCAGAGCTGGAAGAGACATTAGAAATCATGCAATTCAATCTTCTGATTATATATAGATGGGAAAACGGAGGCCTACACTAGTTAATCAATTTGTTACAGGGAATAAAGCTAGTTTGCAAGGAGATACAGAATAGGAGGGAAATGTCAGCTATGTGATAAAGGAATTTTCCAAAGGAATTTATAACAAGAAATTTGAAGGTGCAGAAAACGCTGCCCTGGATCTTTGTCTTTTTTTTGTTGTTGTTGTTGTTATTAAAATTTGAATCCACACTTTAGAGCAGCATTTCTCAACCTCTGTGCTATGGACATTTTAAGCCAGATAATTCTATTTTGAGGATAAGGTGGGGGCTATTTTGTGCATTGTAGGATGTTCAGCAGTATCCTTGGCCTCTCCAGTAGATACAAATAGCAGCTTTCCTACTCCCCAAGTTCTGACAACCTAAAATTGCCTTCAGACATTGCAAAATGTTGCCTAGGGGACAAAACCACCCAGTTTACAACCACTGTTGGGGAGAAATGGGTTTTTCACAGCTTTCCTTCTTGAAAGCAAGTATTAACAAAGAATACAAGACGGGCACGGAGGGGGACACTTGACGGGATGAGCACTGGGTGTTATTCTGTATGTTGGTAAATTGAACACCAATAAAAATTAATTTATAAAAAAAAGAAAGAAAAAAAAAGAAAGAATACAAGAGAGCACTGGACTTGGGGAACAGAAATTGGAGTTTTAGCTGGAGATTAGCCTTAGGTGTGGAAGTAGTGATGGGAGATAAAGTAGTGATAGGTGAAGCCACTTCCCCTCCTACCTCAGGAGCAGCGTTGGGCATGCATCTTCCTTAGATGTAGGGCATGTGCCCCAAGAAGCTGAGCTGTGGTTTAAGATGAAATCCACCCTGAGTTCTACTGATGAACTGATGTATTTCACAGAACACTGAAGTGCCTTTCTGAACAGAAACATCTGTCTTTCAGAGAGAAGTAATAAAGGAATAAAATATATTTTGGAGCCTTGTCAAGGGACTTTAACTTCAAATCAAATGCCCAAGATCATCAATCTGGACCTGTAATAAAGAAACAGTGTCTGAAGTAACATTTTATAAACTCTGAAAGACTATATAAATAAGTTGCTTTTATATTACTAGTGAAAAATCAAAAAAGCCCCTTCTTCTTAATTCAACAAAGTCTAGAAGCAGATTTTAAAGGTTTATAACATGTAGGCATATTTGGCAGCCCTCTTCCTTAGAAGCATTTTTTGCTACTGTCTTTGCTTCCCCCTAGTGGCAGGTGAAAATGAAATTGGCTGGATATGTGTTCTGTTTACTTTTTTTCTTTTCTTTTTTGATATTTTTTTAAAGGGTCTTTAAAATCAGTTAATTAGCGTATAACGTATTGTTGGTTGCAGAGGTGGAGGTCAGTGACTCATCAGTCTTCTGTAATACCCGGTGTTCATTACATCACGTGCCCTCTGTTACATTTCGAGTCCTGGCTTTCAAGTAGATGGCACCTGACACCTTCTCCATATTCATTCAGTGACCAGATATAGAATAACTTCAAGAAGAGATGCGCAGGGCTTGTATGAGGTTGAAGCCACATTCCTAGGGCCATCCTGTTATTTAATTTTTTCCAGATATGCTTAGAAGCTAAACTGGAAGTAGATTCATTCAGATCAGAAATTTTCAGGCCAAAGCAGCAAAAGGACAAAATGGTGATAGAGAGAAGGGTATTGGTAGAGAGCGGTTGAAATGATAAATCATCCCTCTGGGGAAGGAGGGAAGGGAGTGAAACCAGTGTAGTCCTGTACTTAAGAATTCAGAGTTTAGAATGAGATAGATTCACATTAGAATCCAGGTTGTAACAGCTGTTTATCCTGGGCAGATTCTCAACATGAGATCCGCAGGTCTCCTTCAGATTATTTTCATAATAATACTAAGATATTATTTGCTTGCTTTGCCAGATGGTACAAAAGCAACAGTGGGTAAAATGTTCTGTTGGCTTTGCATAATTGTATTCTTCACCATTGTATAGCTACCATTTAAAAAATGCCAGTGAGAAAATTCAGAATGCCCTCGATGAAGCAATAATAATTTAATTATATCAAATCTCCACCCTTGAATAAAGGGCTTCTCAGTATTCTATGTGACAAAATACAAAGTGTGATAAAGCACTTCTGCTACGGGCTAAAGTACAATGATCATCTCAGACAAAAAAAAAAAAACTTGCATGATTGTTGAATTTGCAAACTACTCAATTTTTTTAAAATTTTTATTTATTTATGATAGAGAGAGAGAGAGAGAGAGAGAGAGAGAGAGAGGCAGAGACACAGGCAGAGGGAGAAGCAGGCTCCATGCACCCGGAGCCCGACGTGGGACTCGATCCCGGGTCTCCAGGATCGCGCCCTGGGCCAAAGGCAGGCGCTAAACTGCTGCACCACCCAGGGATCCCCAAACTACTCAATTTTTTAACATGAAACAGTGATTGCCGCGTAAACTATGATTATTCAGACTTGGATATTTAGGAGTCAGTCTTATGAAATGAACAAAACTAGCTTGTCACTTTAGGGAAAATAATTGACAGTAATTATTGCCATTAATAAAGTTCAAGTTTTGAATTGAAAATCAGAATTTTGGATAACTTTATCTACCACTGAGCTTGAAAGGTTCCCAGTACTTACAGATTTTTTTTTCCTAATAAAAGTCAATGGTGATGTTAACAATTATTTTCATAGTCTGTAGTAAAAATATAACAACATTTGGAAGGTCTAGATAATTCAGGAAACAAACATTTCCCAAGTGACCCATACTTAATATTGCAAAATCATGTATAGATAAAATATAAATTCAAAGTACAAGATAGACCGGTGGATTTTAATGTAAAATCCATGTCAAAAGTTTATTGATACTTTAAGACTTCACAGTACAGTTAAACTTTAAGAAATGATCACGGGTAGAAATTTGGTGCAATGTCAATGAAAAAATATCCATAATTACTTGAAATGCTATTAAAATATCTTTTGTTTTAAGTACTTGTCTATGTGAGTCTAGATTCTCTACTTATTCTTCAACCAAAATAATATCCCGCATCAGGTTTAATGCAGAGACAGGAGATCTAGCTCTCTTCTGTTAAGGCAGGCATCAAAGGATTTGCAAACATGTGAAAAACGGTCATTCTTCTCACTACATCCTTTGGAACATATAGCTATTTTTCTTTAAAACTGTGCTATTTATATCAACTTGTAATGGATTTGATAAATTATTTAAATGAATTAGTAGATAAATATTTTCTAAATTTCTCTTTTAATTTCTAATGCATGAAACACCAATATGTGAAACCCTCTGCTAAAAACTCCTTGAAGTCCTCAGTAATTTTTTAAAAATGTAAAAGGTTAGCTGAGATCAAAAACTTTGAAAATGACAGGCTTAGAAGGAAGTTATTTAGTCTCTGTAATAGTTCTTTAATCTATATGATGGAGATGATAATATGTATGTTCTAAGGTTATTATAAAAGTTAACTCTGACCACAATTTAATACCTCACCAACCAAGATAGGGATTTTTACCTTTTTTTTGTGCATTGTCAGTCATCCAGGAATTTTTCTAACAAATTACAGGCCCTCCATAAATATATATTGAATACGTTAATCACAAATACACATGGTGTGATCAATTGGTTGCTTAATTATCATTAACTAGGTGGTATGTTATGCATACATATTTATAAAACACATACTTAGATTTTTAACACAATGCCAAGTGCATAGTAAACACTTAATAAGTGTAAGCCAAAAGAAAGGGGGAAAACAGCCGACAAGAGTAGATTAAGGTAAAATTACGGATTCATGAGAGGAGATAGAGACCTGAGTGACCAGAAATTTATAATTAGAATGGAAGAGTAATAGTATTTATTGAATCCTGTCAGGTGTAATGAAAGAATTGGACTCTAAATTTATGACTCTCTGAATCACATGATACTTTTTTTTTTCTCCCAGTTGTTTAAAGGGATATGTCAACAATAGCCTATCCTTCTTTGACCTGAGCGAGCTTGGTATGGGAAAATCTGGTTATTGCAGGTACTTACTTACAAATTATTGCTTTCATCACCCATCTCCTCCCTCTATATGCCTATGAGCCCATTTCAACTGTCATTTTGAAGTTTGGGCAAATTAAAAACATTTGGGGCCTTTGCACTTTGGTCTCTCTTCCTCAAATTCTTTGTCTTCTGGATTTTAGGTACCGAGACTACAGAGGTCCCCCTTGGAGTTCCAAACCCTATGAGTTCACCTTACAGTACTGGCATATCCTTGCCGCTCGACTGGCCTTCATTATCGTGTTCGAGGTGAGTCACAGGCTGATAAAATCACTACTGGTCAACGCTTTCCCTACTGATACAATAGTTGACTCTTCAGTACATCAGTTCCTCATTGACTTCCAAGAAAGGGCTTGTGTCTCTCACAGTAAAAGGTTTAAATACAGTGAAACTACTCTAAGACATGCAAAGAAGTAAGAGCTGAATGATGTAAGAAGGTAGGTCAGTGGGTATTTATACCAGAAAACTGGGATAAAAGAAGCTGTTAACAGTTGAACTGAAAACATTGAGCCTGTGAGTACCCATATTTTAAAAAAGGAAGATGAGAGAATCTATACTTATTCATGAGGGTAGAGAAACTTTTCTAATCAACTTAATTACAGTTGACCACACGTGTACTTGTATAAGGGACATTGCTTGAAAAATCTTTCCTAAGCTCGATACAGTGAAGCCTTTAGTCCTGGAATATATTGAGTATGCTCTAAGGTGCCACCAAGTTCTATGGAAAAACTTGGAACGCATTTGTTTTTTAGGGAGAGGGGGAAAAAGAAGTATCCATACATAAAACTTCTGGAAAAAGTCTTTTTAAGGCAGACCTGCCTCTCCACTGATCACCAGAAAATACCTCAAATTTTGTAGTGAAACATCCATCATCCGTAAAATGAAATGCTTACATCCAAGGTTTAATCCAGGAAGAAATTCTATTACATAATGACTCTATGAGCCTACAAAAATGTCTACTGATGAAGTGTGACTTTTTACTTTATTAACAGGTAGCATAAGAGGTTAAGGCATATTTCCAATCCACTGATTCTGAAAAGTCTTTTTATTGTGTTTTAAATGTGCACTTTTTTTCTTCTTCATCTTCTTTTGGGAACTCAAGCAACAGACTTTGTCAAATGCCTCGATTCACAGCAACCTGTCATCATGGATACATGTGATTCCCTCCTTATCTTTTCTTCTCCATTCCCCCTTGCTAATTCCATTACCCACCCACTCTAAAAACACCCACTTTCTTTTCTTTAGAAGTTTTTCCACATGTTTATATTTGAATATACATGTATTATATAGTATATAACTGTATTATATATTTACAACTATATCATATATAATAACTATATTATATATGTAATATAGTATTAAATGTTCTATTTTCAAAATTGCTTTGATAGTATTATGTAATAACCCATTTTAATCGCTAACTTTAGTTTTTTTTAGATCTAGAGAGAGATCCATCCATGAAGTCTATCCATATCATTTCTTCTGTCTACTTATATTTGATAGTTCATTGAATTTAAATGCCAAGTCCACTAAGGGTGGGTACTTAGGCCTACAATAATTCTACCTCCATAAATCTCTTATTAGGAATCTTGGACCCGTTACCTTCTAAACATATTTAAGAGTTTTTCAGGAGTATTATACTCAGGTGTGAAATTATTTATATGCATACTCGATTTCACATAATACTGACAGGTTGCTCTCTAAAATTCCCTTCGATTTTCACCAGATTTTCATATTGTCTGAATTTCTAATATTTTGCAATTGGATAAGAGTAAGGTAATATTGTACTTTAAATTTTTTGGTTTAATCTACTTACTTATGATATTGACTATCACTTTTATTACTAGAAAGCCATTTTGGTTTCCTTTTTGTGACTCTATAACTTTGATCTATTTTCGGCTGAGTTTCCAGTTTGTTTGTTACCAAATTTCAAGATTTTCTTATGTGTTCTACTTATTAGTATTTACCAGTTATAAATGCACCAAATAGCTTTTTCTCATCCACAACCTATTAATTTACAAATAATGTATAATTTTGATGTCATCAAGCCCATCGTTATTTTCCTACAAAGGTTTTGGCTTTTTTGTCTAGCTTCTCTAGGAAATTTTCCTATCTCAAGGTCAAAAAGATATTCATTTTGTACTAATAATTTTATAGTCTTACCTATCGCACGTCTTAAAGATATCAGGACTTTTTGTAGAGGGAAAAGCCTATTTTTCTTATTCTCTACATGGTGACATAATTTTTGTACAGCTCTTTACTAATATGTTATTTTTTTTACTGATTTGTAAATCCACCTCTGTAATATTCCAAGTTCCTCTAGAAAGCATGTGCCTGGCCTCAGTGTTCTGATTTCATTACTCTATTTGCCTGTTCCTGTTCACTGCCACACTATTTAAATGCCATGGCTTTGGAATATATATACTCATATCTGGTAAAGCTAGCCACTTCCCTCACCTGCCAAGCTTGCTCTTAGTTCTAAAAATTGCCTTGGCCATTTGGAGTTATTCATCACTCATATAGATTTCAGAGGCCATTTTTCAGACTCCCCCAAATATCATGCAAGGATTATGGTCAGAATCATATTTACAGAAAGCACGTGCTGACTTATTTACATAATCCGTGCTGATTCATTAATAAACATGACATTTATTCAAATCGTTCTTCTATCCCTTAATAGAGTTTTAAAATGTTGTCTTGCTTGTTCATTCTTTCTCATTTCCAAGAACTTTGTAGATATTTTTATTGCTGTTAAAAATACTATCTTAGCCTCCACCAGGATTTGATTGGTATTTGCTGGAATTCTAATGGTCTTTCTTAGATGCGTGTAGCTCCTTGTTTCAGTCTTTCATTGGTTCCAGTCTTCTGTCTGTGAAGTCTGTTAGTTTGTCTTTTCAAAGGATAATACAAGTTGCCAACAGCGACAGCTTTGTCCATGTACTTGGGAGACTTATGCCTCATTTCTCCTGCTTGCCTTGCTGTGTTGTTGGAAATTTCAGCATGGTATCGAATAGCAGTGGTGTGAGCAATTGTGTCTTGTTTCTAACTTCAATATAAATCCTCCCCATTTCTTTCTTTAATTATGATACTTGCTCTAGGTTTGTTGTTTAAGATAAATTCTGCCCATTTAAGAAAATTGTCCTCTGTAACTAGTTACAAGCTTGCCTTGATAAAGGATAATCTTTAGCTTTAAGAAAAAATGGTTCTTAAAAAATAGTGCATCATCTTTGCATATCAGTCTCTCCATGTGAATCAGTTTAAAGGGTCATTTATTATCATTGCATAGCACTCATTGCATATTCTTCACTCAAATTACAACACGTTTTTTATTTTTATTTCTATACTTTTGAGACACATTGCTGGATATTTCTGCGAATATTAAATATTTGATCAGGAAAGAATCTCCTGGTCTACTTTTCTCTGGGAAATAGGACCTGCTTTACCATGATCTACCGTGGAGGGCGGTTTCCTGAGACACTGATGGTAAACCCCATGAAAAGTACCTTGAGTTCTTCCTTTCTGCATAGAGAGACAATTGTCACAAAGTCCTATATGTAAATGGGTTTTTTCCCCACACATCATCTGACTCTCTCAGTATTTCCTTTTCTTTTCTGAGCGATTGAAAGGTCTACTCTCCTCCACAGGCAAAGAGAAAGAATGCATTTATTATCACAGGAGCTGATATTTTAGTGGTGCTAATACTGCACCAAGCCCTTCATGTACAGTTGCTCATTAAGCCTCAGCACCACCTTTAAGAGATACTATTATTGTCATAATTTTAGGGATGAGACACAGCATAGGTGATTTGCGTAAGGGTGACAGCTAGCGGGTGTCAGGGAACGGTTCAGGCACAGGTGGTCTCATTCAGCCTCTGAACTATCAACCATGAACTTATTACCTTTTTGGGTTTTGATCCTGTCTTTTTTATATACAATACCTTTGTCAGTATGTTTTTAAAAATTAATACATTTTTATCAGAAAATAATTCTGCAGTAGAGACAAAATATTTCACAACATCTGAACTTGCTAGAATAGAAATTCCATACAATGCATATGCAGGAAGTTGAGTCCCATGCCAGTGTCACAGACAGACAGTATTCCATGTGCCTCGTACCCTGCAATTGTGATCTATCAGACGTGAGATTTCTCTGGATGCGATCTCTCATCTGTGTATAATCATGCGTGTCACAACAGGATTGTGTATTATATGAGGATTGTATAGACGTGACCTTCAGGTTCATTCAGTGTTTATAAAGTGATATCAACAGGTGGCACCCAAAAGAGGAAAGAATTCTGGTTTCTCCTAATACTGATGTGATGGAAAGCAACAGTGTAGAGGTCTCAATGTAATTTCTGGAAAAAACAAATAATATTCTGGATTCATATTCCATCGTAGTAGTTCCCAAAAGCAGCTACTTAAAAATCTGGATCTCTATTTGGCAGAAGACTGCTCCCCTTTTAATAGTATCCCAATCTTCATTGTCATACATGGAAATAAATTGGTTCTGCATTACAAAAAAAAAAAAAAAAAAGTTCATCCTGAGTTCTGCTGCTTGATTGAAAGGCAAATGCAGCATTGTTTATGACCTGTTTTATAATTGGCCTTCCAGAATCTTTGAAAACTGTACTTTCCCCTCTTAAATTTGCAGCACCTTGTTTTTGGGATCAAGTCATTCATCGCCTACCTGATTCCAGATGTACCAAAGAACCTGTATGACCGAATACGACGGGAGAAGTACTTAGTCCAGGAGATGATGTATGAGGCTGAACTAGAACACTTGCAACAACAACGGAGAAAAAGTGGTCACCCCGTGCACCATGAATGGCCTTAGCTGATGCCTGTTGCCCAGAGGGGCAGTAGCATTAGCGGGAATGACAGCAACTCTAAGTGCTGGGTGGGATCCAGAAGGAAGGCATACCTTGCAAACCATGTGTGTGATATGTTAACTTGGAAATGCGTCGCAGCCATCTCTGGGATTTGGAATATCCAGGCTTCTAGGGAAGAAAAAGCTGACTCATGACCTTAAAAAAGGGTTCGATTGACAGTGCAGGAAGCCAGGATCTAATTCCCAGACCCAGCCTCAGGGAGTTGTGTGTTTGGAGACCTCCACCTTCCGTCATGCAGTGGGACGGGAAGGGTGACAGTGAGGTTTCTAGCGACAGATTTCCATGTAAACATTCCGAAGGCAGGTGTGGGTAGGGGATCACGTGGGCCTCGGTCACATACTCTGGAACCGTAGGCTGAGCTGAGATACTCACAGGAAACCACTTAAATCAGTGCTTGCCTTTGCTGCCAGAAACCCGTGTCCCTTCAGCTTCTAGGTTTGGGGAAATTCCCTTGCTCCCTGCCGAGATGACAAATGTGTGTCCCCAAGGAGTTTATGCTGCTTTACATTGACTGTGCAGTTGAAGAGTTGCACCCCACCCTTCGTAGTCAAACCAAAACCTGAGATTCTAAAAAAAATACCAATCCTTGACATACATCCTATTGCATTGGCTACGTTCAAATGCGTTGTATCACTGGCAGGACTAGTTGTGCTGCCTTTAAAAAAAAAAAAAAAAACTAAATTCTGAGAGAGCCACATACTTTTAAAATATGGGTGTTTATTCCCATATCATTTAGATCACCACTCACCAGGCTTTACGGTGGAAGGCTGTTTGAGAACATCTTTGATTTCTCCCTTTCTGGTTTATCATCACGACTCTCACGGAATCGCAGAGTAACTTGAAATGCTGTAAATATGTTGGTCTCCCTCGTACCTTTGCACGTTGGCGATATGTAATGCAAGTTACATTTTGTGCAGCCCTGAGACCAGTTATGTAGTATGCCGCTGTGACTTTATTCAGGAAAGCAGAAGCCAAATGCTTTGCAGCACTTTACGCTTTTCTAACAATGTGCACTCTTGTTCATGAGCTAATGAAAACAATGCATGAATATAAATTTATATTATTTGTAAAAAAAAAAAATTTTTTTTTTTTGGTTTATTTTCTTTTCATCCACGAAGGGGAGTTTTCTGTTATAGTTTCTTTGGTAGACTGATTTGGTTGGTTTTTAAAAACTCTCTAAAACCAAGATCAAGTCAATTGTGAAAGACGTCATCTTGCTTTGTTGTGGAGTTGCTGTTTCAGCGTCAGCTCCGTGTTATTGTTCACAGACAGATGAAGTGGAAAGGATGCAGCCTCCCAGGAAAGAAAGTCCGGTGGAGGCATAAGCAATGGGAGCAGGAGGGGAAGCAAGAGGAGAGCTGGAGGAAGGGAATGTGGGAGGCATCAAGGCCCCGTTCCTTGGCAAAACAATCCAAGTTAATCTCAGTTTTCCTCCCCTGGGAATTGGGTGGTGAAGCACATACACGCACACATTCACGAATGTACGTGCATATATGATTCATCATCTTTGACCAGTTGGGTTTTTGTTCAATTAAAGAAGCACAGTTATTTCCAAAATGCTTAAGGACCAGAGTAAAGATGGTGGAAATAAAGCCATTTTGTATACCTGCTAGCGGGTCCCCAGGAAGGAAATTATAAAGTTCCTCTAACTGGGAGACTGCTTTTTATCATCCTAATGCTGAAAATATGTTTTTTTTTTTTTTTTTTTTACTTTTTCTTCTTTTACTCCAGGGGAAAGCTGTGATAGGTTATGGTTGTTCCTTGGTTTGCTGATGTCAAAAACATTCACCTTCCTCCTTGGCCTCTGGTTCTGACTGAGCAGGGGGTAGGGCCCCAGACTCCCCCCCCCCCAAGCCTTTGTCATGTGGGACTTGGCCATCAGATGCCTCCGAGGCTCTGTGGGGCCACCTGCATGTTTGTAGCAGCTCATGCCACTAACTACACGGGGGGGGGGGGGGGGTTGAACTCTTCCATTTTTGTAGCATCTGCAGCATTTCCTCTTTCTCGTTAGCTAAATGTATACCATGCCTGAGAATAATTGCTCTGGATGCCTGTCAAGGCCATAAAGGAGCCTGACACTCATGCCTTCCTCAAATTAGGGACACAAGGCAAAGACATTTGCCTTACAGTAGAGCAAAGAAGGAAGATAGCCACGACCCTGAGAACTCTTTCTATTATTTCCGAGTTATTTTGGTATCACCACCATCCGGGTTTAAAATCCTACAGATTGCCTAGAGAAAAAAGCATGAAAAAGGGAACAATATTTTCCATTAAAAAAAAAAAAATTCTAGTACATTGATTTAGACATTGCCTTCCCTGGTAATTTCTGAGACGAATTGGAAAATAGGGAAACAATGAAAAAGTTATCTGGAAATTTCCTTTTGGGACACAAGGCAGTAGAACCCAGCAACGCCTTCGTCTTGTCGACGCAGAGTATTGGCGGGCCCCTCCGGCCCGGGAGTCTTGGATCACTCTTGCTTTCCTTGAGAGACATGTTTTATATCATAGTTTTCATATGAATACAAATGATTTCTCAGAAGATTTATATAGCACACACTCTTCTCAGGAATTCTGAATTCCACGAATGCTGCTTACCTATTTTCATATCCCAGATCGTTGTCTTTTCTAGCAGATGACGAATGCAGCTGTGCATGCAGGCCGCCTCGGCGAGGTGTTCGGGCCGCAGCTCTTCCGGCCCACATGGAGCATCGAGGCCGTGGCCGAGCTCCTCTCCCGCCCTGAGCCCGGGCACGCACTTTTCACACTTTTCTCACTTTTCGATGAAATGCCGCTGAGTGACTGCATGATGAGACGCACCTTCCGAATGATGCATTTTCTTTTGAAATGACTCTTAGCACAACCTGTTGTAGAATGGAATGAAAAGGAACCTTTTCCACGCAATAAATTATGTGATATGATATTTTTCCCTATAATTTGCATGTTACATTTGATCCCGCTTGTTTCTTAACTGTCAGTTCGGAGCGCCTCTGGGGAGGGGGGGGATTGCTCACTCTTCGAGCTCCAAAGGCTGTGGTTTCCCAGTCTTGAGAGCCCTTGTCACACTCCAAGAGAGTTCTGGCTGTGTGTCTTCTGACAAGCTCATGGTCATCATCACGGCATGTGCACATGAAACGTGCAGATGGAGACTCCTACTGATTCTAACAATGCTTTGTTCTAGAAACAGATGGGGGAGGGAGCTTGATGAGCTCTTAAGAAGTCAGTAAGACTTCAATCCTACAGAAGCATTTTCTTTCTTTCACACTTGGGCTGGCTCCACCAAGCACCTTCAACATGGTCTGAGGATAAAAATTTTAGCACCGATAAAGTTCAGGCCAAGGAAGGGGGACGGGTAGGAGCACTCTAGCCAACTGCCAACAAGAGGCTACCAAATTGCCCATTTTCTTTTCTCAATTTGGTCAAAATTGAAAATCCGAAGATCCAGGTTGCTTAACTGATGTGGCCAAATTGATTAGTCTGTCAATTGGAGGCAGGTAGATGGAGGCCCAGGGGTGGTGTGCGTGTGCGTGTGCATGTGCGTGTGTGTCTACACTGTGCAATACCCCCAATGCAGGCCTACTATGGTTATAAAGTGTTTCCACTCCGTTTTCCCCCAAATCACAATATTATAACAGGCTCTAGGAATAGTTGTAGGTTCCATCCAGGGGGCAGGTTACCATCTTAATCTTTCTGGTATTCTCAGTAACTCAGGAGCGAGAACCTTTTAGGAATGGCCTGAAAAACCAAGCTTCTGGTAGAAAGCGGTGAGTTTTCCTCCAGGAGTTTCTATTCAAATTGAAATGTGCCAACAGTACACAGTCCAACTGGAAGATCGATTTGGCTTCAGCTGGAATCATCGATCAGACGAGGTTCCTGCTGCGCAGGATTTATGCATTTGTAATGGTGATAAGTTACCTTCCATTGAACATGCCCTCTGGGTTCATCTGAAAAACCACACTCACAACCACATTCAATATATTTTTTTCTTTCCTAGAAAACACAAGTATTATAGCCACTGTGTTCCAGCCACATCCATATTAAAGCATCTTTTCCAGGGAAGTAAAACGAAAGCAGACGGGTTGATAGACAAGAGCCTCATATTTAGGATCAACTCCAATTTTTTGCATAATCAGATTCTACTCTCTGGGAGAAGAAGCGTGTCCAATAAACCTCACCTTTCTCTATGATGGTACCAGCGTGTGCTCTGGGACCATCCTGGACCCAAGTGCGAGCTTGAGGACAACACCCGAGAGTAAGCTGTGAGGATGTTGTGTTGCTTCTTTGTCTAAGATGGAAGTGGGGTCATATTTCCAGTCATCCCTATATTGACTTCTTCAGAACATTTATTTCCATCTTAATTCTCTCTGTGTTTGGGGAAAACACTTTTTCTGCTGTTTCACAAAAGGCAAAAGTTTCCTAAATTATTAGTTGAAAAGCAAAGTTTAATGAGATCTATTTAGACAGTCCCCATGAAATATAATTGTCACATGGATGGCTAGCCCCAAGTGGTTTTCAAACTGCCTCAAATCCTGTATAATTATTTTTCAGTGTCCATGCCACACAACACTATCAGATGAACACAGTAGACTAAGTTTATTATTTTTTGAGTGATTATTTTTTTAAGTAATCTCTACACCCAACATGAGGCTCAAGATCACAACCTCAAGATCAAGAGCCACACGCTCTATCAACTAAGCCAGCCAAGAACCCCCCATGTTAAGCTAAATTTTCTATCTTTCTTACAAGTAGTATGGACAGGCTTTTCCCACTTTTTGTTATGAGAAGAGGGAAATCGTGCAGCAGAAAAATCTGATGGCAAAGATAATTGTGGAAGCAATGTTTGGGGGATGGTGGAAGAGACTAAGGGACTTTCCTACCTGAGCAAAGACGTCCGCTTTGCACGTCCTATTTCAGCCTCTGCTGTGCCCAGGCTTCTTTCTGACGGAAAAACAACTGCAATTTCCTTCATCCTTTAACATTCAGAGAAATGAAGTTTTCTCCCCTTGTTTTTTTTTTTTTCTTATCTATTTTAAGATTACTAATTTAAATATGGTAAGCTTAGTTTTCAATGACAACTAGCCAAAGAATAACAGTCTCAATTTTCAATACTCAAGATGAAAATGCCCTTTAAATATATGCAATTGTATCCTCCTAGGATGTGTAGCTATCGGCTTCTAGTCTTGTATTTTTGAACTAGAAAGAAGCTGGAGAGTCCTGTGATTGAAGAGGAAATTTCAGGAAGAGACAGAGATTTCCCCAACCTTTTTTGTTCTCCCTAGGAGAACTTATGTTGCAACCACATAGTTAGCCAAGTGAACTTAAATATTAATTTTTTTCTTTGTACTGTCTGCAATTCCTCTGCGAATCAAATTACATACAGTGGATGGTTCATCATTAAAGACCCCTTCCAAACTCTCATGGGACGTTTTAAAGCCAATTTTAGGAAGATCTGCTCTACCGAAATAGATTGAATAAATTTCTAAGGTCGGCATTCTTGAAAATAGTAAACAATAAAGGCACATAAACCTTTATGATGTGGATTCCAAATCGGTCAATCACATTGCCTCTACGAAGTCTGCTGACCATCCTGTGCTGTTACAAATAAAGCATCTGTGGACCGATCGCTCACTTGTTTTCTTACGTGGTAGTGACATTAAGGCATTGAATCAATTTACTACATGAAATTATTTTTAGCTTTTTAAATATGTCAGAACAGATCCTGCAGTGGGGAACTGGATGTTCAGAACACCTGTGTACACAGTTGCTTTAACATTTTTTAAAAACAGATGAATGGTGGTTTCTGGAAATTCCCGAGGACAAATAGGCCGAGGTCCATAAAAGACATCACCACAATATATTGCTTTTCTTGATTTATAGTAGCCGATTAAGTCATAAAATCCTCTTCATGATTACTTCTGAGTGGGTGTGGGTGTGGGTGTGCCCTAAGCCCTGAAACAGCCCAAATATAGGCATTATCCAAAATATGTAGAAGAAGTCACGCTATATTACCATATGTCAAACCATATTTTGACGTGCATTTACTTGGTGACTTGGTAATAAGCCTGCCTTAGATTATTAGCCTTATATAAAAGCTTTTAGGGTGGATGATTATTTTGCATCCTGCTCCCAACCTGCAGAAAATAATCACGTTGGGCATTTAAATCCACTTCCATCTGAACTTACTTCTAAGAGAAATTAAATTAGTTATACATCTTAATTACATATCTATGCTTATTCTACAGGCATTTTTCTTCAAATTGAGTAGTTGCATAAATACAGCATTAAATTTAGAAGTATTTCATGGCTCTATGAAAAAAAAAACACAAAATTTGGAAATAGAAAAAAATCGTCTTAAATTTCACACTAATATACAGAAATATTATCAACTAACATTTCCATGACAGAGTAGGGTTATTTTTCTAATTCGTCATGAGCGTGCCACTAATACCCTCACACCCCAAGTAAGGGCCATGTTGTGACTAAATAGCCGAATATTTATATGTTTAACTCTGTCTCCTGAGGAGCTGATATTTCAAATGCCAGACGTGCAGTATTAGAAAAGCGGGTTTATGTGGGTGTGTTGTTCACATAGGTGTTTGCAAATCTAGATTGATATGGTCAGGAGACTGGAATACAGGAAGAGATAATAGCATTACCTCTTTCCAAGAATTACAAATAAAAATAACCCACTGGATGATTATTAATTATGAGTTACACTTGATTAAAATTGTGTATCACTTTAATATCATCGGTAACATCAGATAAATTTTAGTTGCCTGAAAATGAATTAGACTTCAGGGTCATTAGTGTTGGATAGAAGAGGTTGACTTTACAGTAAGCCAGCTACCTGGGAACATCGAGACTGTGCACATGAGATCTCTAAACATACAAATGCGTACATAGGGAGCTTGCATTTCTGTAACATTTTAAAACAATTATTTCTAGGAGAATAATTAAAAGGAGACCCGCTCTATTTCTTTCTATTTACTGATCTGATCTTGCAATAATGTTCAAGTAAGGTTGTCATAGCACGAAGATGGTTCAGTAACATCCTCTTTGAAATATCGCTTGCAGGCCCCCTGGTGTGTGGTTTATTTTTTTTCTTTAGAGTGAAACGCTAGAACCCTATGAAATCACAAAAGAATGGAATTTATATTCAAGTCACATTATTTTAATTAAACAAGGGAAGAGCCCTCGCCCCTCCTTGTCTGGAGAAGCGCAGCCACCGTCACCTGTGCCCGCAGTCACGCACGAGGGTTAAGACGCTGTTTACTCACCGAAGTTTACATGTACAAAAATACTACTTAACAAAGCGCAAATATGAATATTGCATTTTTCAGTAATAAACTCGTCTATCTTTATAAGAGTGGGGCTTTTTTTTTCTTTTGTCTCCAAGAACTTCGGACTTTTAGGAAAGGCGCTCTCTGGAAAATTATATTTCGTTTAAATTCACCATTAAAAAGGCTATACCATGTGGAAATTAAATGGCATGATTTTAAGTTGATAGCTTATGGTCACCTTGTTCTTGTTAATTCTCACACTCCCCCACTAACTCATATACTAGGCCAGGATCTTGAAGATTAAGAACAGTGAACCAATTTAACTGAAAATGAGTAATAAGTCTCACTTCCTTCATATGCTGCAGACTAACAAGTGCCAAGTGTCCCACGGGGGCCAGTCACCAGGCTAACTTGTCCGAGTGACTCCCCTCTAGAAATCCTCACCACGCCTCCTTTTAAATTGCAATCAGCAGAACTTCAGAAAGCCTTGCAGAAGATTCCTAGGCTGACCTGTGTCAGAACTTGCGTCGGAGCCTCAGCTGTCTCCCCTCAGTCCGTCCCCTCCACCAGCAGGTTGTACTTCTTGCCCCAGATGATAACAAAGGAAATACCAGCTCTCAAAACGGATGAATCAGAATGAAGGGAAGAGACACTGAGGCCATTGCATTTCATTTTTACCAACATTTGTCATTGACTTGAAAAGACGGAGACGGGCATTGCGTTTGGCGCACGGTAGGCCATCCCCATCCTACAACTCATCCCTCACAACCCCACTTACTGAGAATCCCCCCGGTCATTCCTGGGCCTAAACAGCCACAAATTTAACCCATTTCCATGGCTCCCATTGAACTTGACCCTGGGCAGATCTTACACGGCCCAGATCTGAGCTGCTGCCCCGGGAGGAGCAAGAGCGGGAGACACGTGCACAACCAAGTAGTTGAACGTACGACTGTGCCTCACCTTCCTTGCTGGGTAGCCACCCAGCAAATGTGGCTCCTGGACTCTGTGGAAGATGCCTTTCCTCTGGGACTCCCACCTGCACTCTAACTGCAGCCTTAGAGTTTTTTTGCATAGTTGATCAATTAGGAAGAATTGGGAGGGATCCTTATATTGACCTCTACAGGCTTTCAAAGTGAGAACTCTTCATACCATAGGTCCCATTCCATGAGAGAAGACAGAGCCATTTTTATAATAATAATAATAATAATAATCTTCCATTTGTAAGTCACGTTATCCTTTGATAACACTCCAGGTAAGAGCATTTGTGACTATTTAAAAAAAAAAAAAAAAGGCCTAAAAAAACTTTCTGGGGGAAAGTGCTGTCCTAGTGAAATGTTTGTGGGGTGATTTGTGAGTATAATTCGTGAGGAAACGAAGAACTATATGGTACATTTTGTTCTCATGTGAGTCCAAATGAAAGTTCAAACTCTTGAACGAAGTTTATATATATTTACGCCCCAGCAGCCTCTCCCCCAGGGCCCCGCAGGGCGTCAGGGGTGTCTGGAGGGCCAGCTGCAGGCCCTCCTGGTTCTTAGCCGCAGAGGCCAGTCTGCTTGCAGGCACCTGTGCACCTGTGCACCTGCTGGGGCGGGCGGGCAGCTCTAAATATCTGCTTTGGGGTCAATGAAGACTGTGATGTGCTCTCTGATGCTTGAGTGGCCAGCGGTGGGTTCAGTCCCCCTTCGGGTCAGCCCTTGGGGATCCCACTCTCCCCGCTTTCTAGCCATAGGCTCTCTGAAGGGCTTGGGGGAAAGGCAGCAGGCAGGGTGGTAACCCAGTTAGCTCTCCCTTGAACCCATAATGGGTCCCTTGTCGATGAGGCATGCCTCGGGGCGTGAGGGGAGGCCACAAGTGCAGCGGCTCCTGCTGATCAAACTCCCATCCTCTGAGTTGCTACTTCCCTTCCCCATCCTGAGATGTTGACTAAACCAACGACGTTTGGCCCAGATCTCAACGTTCACCTAATCTATTCTTGGAATGTCCCAACTACTGAATCATTTGGGAGATAATTTCACCTTTCAATTTGCAGATCCTTAGATCAACACCTTCATCAGCTTGTGGGCCTCAAAACAATGTTTCTAGAAATTCTGCTCCTTCTCGTTTTCAGATATTTTTTCCAAAATGTATTTTTTTTTACTTTTTCCTTCTTTCCTCTTTTTTTCCAGATGTATTTTTTTTTCTCCTCTCCCTTATATGCCACAACCCAATTTTCTCTTTTTCTCCCTCTATTCTCCTCCCCTATGGAGAGTGGAGGGAGAGAAGGCAAGCACTGGGCTGTGGCATATGAACTCCAGGGGTGTTTTAATTCCTTTATTGGTTTTTTCTTCCCCATATTTCCATCTTTTCTCCTTTTCTCCTTCCATCTTTTCTCCAAACACTGGTTATATACATTTTCCCCCATCTCACACCTTTTTTGAAGTTTTTCTCCTCCTGGGCTACATTTACACAGCACAGCCTTTGGGGCTTCTTATCCTTACCCTTTGGGACCATTTCTTTTTATTTCACTGATGTACTATTTCCAGGCCTTTTGATCTTACCTGGCCACCAAAATACTTATCTGCCACCTGCCCTAAGACAGCTGACCCCGAGACATTGGCCGACTTTCTCCTGTCCTCCCTCTGATCTAGCTCCTGTGACATGGTTCTGTTGTACTTTTCAAGGATTCCATTTGTTGTCCTCTTCCTCCAGAACTTAGAAAACTCTTTTCAAGAGTTTTCAATGAGTGGGGTTAAGAACTCAACCCTATGGATCTTTGCTTCACCCTAGCCCATGTCAGAGCTAAGTACAGCATCAGTGCTGTGCCGAGGTGTCTTCCGCCAAAGAAGACCCCATGACCCGGGAGATCCGAGGGCCAGGAAGCTATTTGCGAGGTGCTTTTCCACAACACTATCCTGACAGCCTCCTGTGGGACGTGCCTTTTTCCTCTTGACCCAGCCCTGGGGAAACCATCCGCAGAATCATTCTTTCCTTTAAGGTGATAGAAAGACAGACGTACACACCAAGGTAACAACGGGAACCGCCGTTTTGGTTATGACTGTTGCACTAACTGGACACACCAGTCCCTCTCCTGTGCCGAGCAAAATCATTCCTAAGGCCTGGTCAGGGTGCTGGAGGAGCCGGGATGATGGGAAGAGGCGGAGAGGCCGGGATGAGGGCCTTAGCGGCAGTTACGTGTGCTTAGTGCAGCTGCAGTTGGGGGTGATGTGAGACGTGGGGGTCGGGATGGATGGCACGCCTCCGTCCTATCAGCGGTGATGGAGAAGAGTCCTATCAGCTCTTACTAAGCTTACCCCCTTGCACCCTCTGCTTGTGAACTCCAAGATATGGGATGCTTCGAGAACTACCAAAAACAAGACAAAACAAAACAAAACAAAGCAAAACAACCTGAAGTTTAATAGGACATAAAGCAAGGGGCTGCCTCTTTGCACTGGGGTGACGCCCAGTCCTAACTCAGCCCAGGAGGAAGTGGCCAGGGCACCTACGGCTGGGCTGCGTCTTCTCACCTGAAAGTTGGGGTCTTCCAAAGACCGGCCGGGAATACCCAGGGGAGCAGCCTTCATGTTTGTAGTTATAAATAAGTATAAATAGACATCAGACAAGCCTGTCTTCTAGCAGTGACACCTACGCACGTCCCCTGACCAACAGGCAAGCAGGATGCAGACTGTGTGCGCCTTGCGCTCGCGTGCGCGACTTAGAAGTGGGTGACCTTCTCTAACGCCATAGTGTGGTAGCTTTTGTCCTTGGGATCGTGGCCTGGGTTATGGCCCAGGGTTTCTTGCTTGAGTCCATTCTGTAAGACAGATTCAGCCCCTCGCTTCCAGGAGCTGCCGCCCTCAGGGTTTTCCTGAGGAAAGGGAGAGACGCACATCAGGCACCTAGTCTTGACGCATTCCCAATGACACTGAGGGGACCTTGCTTAGCCCCCCCCCCCCCATGCTGTGACCTGGTCACATGCTCTGGCATCAGAGCCAGGGGCAGGAACTCTGAGAGCAGGGTATTCCCTAACCATAACATGGCGCCTCGATGCCTTCTGGTTGGATCTCTAAGACCACGAACACCTTAGTGAGCACTGGCCCTATAGCCTGGGTTGTGTGAAGCAATGCACGCTGTCTGTCTGTCGGCGGGTAGGCAGCCCTGGGAAATAGTCATGTTATCTCCTGAGGAGAGACGACCTGTGCCTCAGACGGGGTGGTCGCCTTCCCTGCTGCGGAGAGCAGGCCTCGTGATCCCAGCAGGGCACCTGCAGGCCAACCCCGCGGGGGCTGCCCCATGTCGCTCTTCAGGAAAGGAGCCCAAGGACGACCTACGAAGGGTTCCCTCCTCCCACCCCCAGCTCAGCCCTCAGGACAAAAGCTGCCCCTACAGAGGAGTTAGCATTCACTCCAGGAAATCCTTGCCTGGGAACGTAAGTCCGTAAGTCACTAAATAACTTGATTATGTGCTTCTAGAACGTCCTCAAAAACCTGCTTCTCCAAACAACACAGGCAGCTCAATCAGCTGCTTCCTCAGCAAACAGATTGCCTCCACAGCCTGAGCGCCCGTGCGGTGGCCCTGGCCCCACCTCACCGTTAGCTCAGGTTTACTCCATGTACGTGTCGGGTGGCGCTTGGGGGAAGGACAAGAGTGCACAACTGCGGGGACGTGACATGGGGGAAGCGGTCGTCCTCCACAGTACTAAGGGAATTCAATGTCTGGGATGGAAAGAATGCTGATCAGCCTGAACTAAGAAAAGGAAAAAACAAGCCTCCGACACTCAATGAGGCCAAGAGGACCGACATGACTAAGACCATTTGCAACATCACGTGGCCCAAGGTCCTGTTGTCAAGTGGCATAACTCTTGCCAAGTGGGCCCCACACAGCTTTGTTTTCATGCCCAGCTTCCCTTAGACTCCTCCCAGCATCCCTCAGTGGGAACCCGATCCCTACAGCAGTAAGTCCAGGTCCCTCTTGTCACGGCTGGGATTGCATTGCCTGCTGCCCTGGAGTGTGCCCACCCACCCACCCACCTACCCACTCCCCAGCGGTGTCACCTCAGTAAGTTCAGTCCCATCTGACCACAGGCTCCTCCGGGTGGTCTTGGGCTGCTAGGACCTCAGTGATTCCTGGATACTGTCTCTAGTCCCACCTGGGCCACCTGGGTTCTCAGTGGAACAGGAACAGTGTGCGCCCTGCTGCTTCTCTACCTCAACAGTCCTCCTAGTCAACGTGCCTCTACATTCACGTTTCGTGAGCTAGAGCTGTGTGCGTCCACATCTCCTCCCAGTTCCCAGCTAAAAGCTGAAGTTCAAGAGTAAACCAATTCACCCAAGGTGAATAAGACATGGAAGCAGGATTGTATCCAGGGCTGACCCTAAAGCCTACGCTTCTCCCCATGATGCTAGACGGCCGCCCACTGTCCTATTTCCTTGTCTACTGTTCATTTTTACAGCTGTCCTAGCATTCAGCCTCAGAAGGGTTAAACGGAATTCTGGAATCTGATCACTGGCAGGGCCAACCATTCACCCCAGGGGCACATTCATCTACCAACACCTTCACGCGCTCGAAAGCCAGTTAGCTGGGGTAACTGAAGTCGACACCAGACTCAGGGTCATACTCCTCGCCTTCCCCACCCACACCCACCTCTGCGGATGGTCTAAAGGGGCCAAAAGGGAATCCCTTTGAGTTTGCGTGTGTCTTTCAGAAGTTCAAACATCAGCTCACCTGCTCCGTCCCACCGTCATGCTGGACACCACACCAGCACAGTCTTTTGTACTTCTCAGACCAAAAGCAAAATAAATTGCAAACTGGCCTAATTAGCAGTGGTTGAACGTCCTTGCCGCTCTGGCGACCTATTAACGGAAGGACAGACGGGTGAGTCGTTGGCATGCTTCCAGGGCTTCTCTAAGGACTTAAGGACCGTGTGCTTCCCGAGTAGCCCTTCTTAGTAAAAGGGGGAAAATGGGTCTGACTGGGCAATAGAAATCGACAACTGCTCAGAGCGAGGGTGGGGATAGTTTTTAAATCTCCCCAGCTGTCCACTCAGGCAAACTCACAGACACAGAGCTAAGCAGAGACACCACACTTATTCTTAGATATGGATCATGGAAAACTCTACTCGTACCCTTTGTAGGTCACCAGAGGGGACAGAAGGAATCCTAATTTCTTCCTCTAGGAAAACTCTTGGTTTTTCAGCCACATCAGATATATTAGAGTCATCAGAGTTAATATTCATAAAATTAAAAAGGGTGTTTTTACTATTTCTTCTTCTTTCCATCCCAGCATCCTGAATAAACAGTACCCTCCCATCCCCTCCGGCCAGTCTAGACTTGCCTGATGCCTCCTTTCCAGTCATTAAAACATACCTGTGCAGCGTCCTATCCCTTTCAACCCTGCTGTGCAATAAGAGCCTCATTGACATTCAAACCAAGATTTGAAGGCTGACAATGTTCCCCACCTAGAACCTTTGTAAATCTTGGTATAATCATAACTGTTCACCAATACCCAATCTCATTCAATGGCAGTCTTTAATTCGATAGCCAGTTTCCTCTACATGTCCCTAGAGGGGTGGCGGAGTAGCGGTTACAACCTTGACCACATTCTTCTATGTACCAGACACTGTGCCTGTGCAAAAGCTTTTTCCAAATTCAGACTTCTTTCTAGGGACACCTGGGTGGCTCAGTGGTTTAGCACCACCTTCGGCCCAGGGCCTGATCCTGGAGACCTGGGATCGGGTCCCACATCGAGCTCCCTGCATGGAGCCTGCTTCTCCCTCTGCCTGTGTCTCTGCCTCTCTCTCTGTGTGTCTCTCATGAATAAATAAATAAAATCTTTTAAAAAAATTTATATATATTTTATTTCTAGAAAGAAATTTTTTTCATATATATATATATATATATATATATATATATATATATAGAGAGAGAGAGAGAGAGAGAGAGAGAGAGATTCCTAAATCTCCAAATTGAAGTTTCAATGATATACTCCCTGCATTATGTCCCTCTGTCAAAAGACATTCAGCCAAATAGAATTATACTACCCTTAATAAGAATATTTATTAGTGAGCGCCTTCTGTGTACTAGGCACATCTAATCTTCATGAAGTAGATACTGTTGGGGTTCCTTGGTGGCTCAGTCAGTTAAACTGAGCTCAGGTCATGATCTCAGGATCCTGGGATCAAACCCCACAGTGGTCTCCATGCTCAGCACAGAAGCTGCTTCTCCCTTTTCCTCTGCCCCTCCCCCTGCTCGTTCCCTCTCTCTCTTTCTCCTCAAATAAATAAATAAATAAATAAATCTTTAAAATATATATATATGGTTATTCTCATCTCATAAATGAGGAAATAAACTCTTCTATGATCTAGTAAATGATGAAACAAGAAATTAAACATTTGTGTTCTTAAAGCCTATAACACTGCATTTTCCTTAGCGTGCATGAGTGGTGGAGGAAGGAATCATACAACCTCAAACTTCTATCCAAGGGCAACTCTGAATAAGAAGAACTTAATACTGACCCAAACAACCATTTCCAAAGTTTCATCAGAGAAGACTTTTGTCTCCTAATAGGCCACAAAAATACCAAAAGCTTGGACAAGTAAGATAGATACTTTGTCTCTAAGGACAAGAGCTGAGCCTTGCTAAGGAGAACTTTACTTCATGTGGATTTAGAGTTGGTTCTGTTCTTGGGGGGAAGAAAGCTGTTGGGAGATAGTAAACAATAAAAAAAAATCAGAATTTAGGGCTGCAGTTCTCATGGGGTAGGAAGGTTAAAGATGAAACTGGAATTCAAGTTTGGAGCTCTGTACTTGTCCTCCTCAAGAGCATGTATAATCTGTTCAATGAGCAAGACTTTAGGGATTAGGCATCAAAGAGTATCGTCCCCTCCTGGCTGAAACTGGGTCTGTCAACAGAAAGTACGACTATGACAGGCCATATTTCATGAGAAAGGATGAGTGGGTTTCTCCATAGGAGAAAAAGGAGTTTACTCTTGAAATGTCACCAGTTGTATTGCAACTTTGAGAGAATTTTTAAAAGACTCCCCATATAGTATCTTAGTTAAAGTTCACCCATGAGATAAGAAATGGTTATGAGAAAAACCCTAGTTTCTTACTGAGAAGAAGGGGAAATTGCCACTCTTAATATTTAACCTTTCCTACTAATTATTAATTACAAAGGATTTTTCATACTCTGGCTTCTGGGGGCCGTGTATTGAGATATCACTTCTTTTCCCCATAATATATGGGGGATTTTTTAAATGTATATTATAATAAGATACATGATAATCAAGAGGATGGCTTTGTATTATCAACTTGGAGAGAGTAGGCACCTGTCTGGGAAGAAGGGCTTCTTGCAGTGGATCCAAAATCACACCAGTAAGACATCCACCTTGTCCACCGATGCATGAGGCTAGCCCATGTCTCCTTGGCCCCAAGGAGAGGAATCCAGATAACCAACCTGTTATGAAGCTGATGATTATTCCAGCAGCAATACATCCTAGGCAGCCCACTGCACTGTAGTAAAGGTAGGAGAGCGAATACCAGGTGTCAGCGATTGCAGGTCTGTGGATGACAACAGCACATGTCAACAGTTCCATGAGTTCTGATGCTACGATCCATAGTGACGTAGAAGACTGCTGAGGGTTCATGGTAGGGCCTGGCATTTCTCAAAATTCCAACACTTTAATTTTTTGTCATTTGGCTTTTTTTTTAAGAATTAATTATAGACTAGTTGTGCTTTGTATTGCACTCAATCCAATCCATCCTTGCATTACAAGTGTTGACAATGTATATACTAAATGAGAATAAATACAATGAGGACAGCGCCTCCCATTTCTTTTGTATTATTCATTCTGCAAATATTTGTTAAGCCCAGGTTTAGTGCAAAGAATTGTGACAGATATTGGACATAAAGGATGAGAAAGCCACGAAGTCTACATATAGGAGCTAAGGGATCATCATAAAGTAGAGTGGTAGCACCTTGGTGGAATAGGAGCAAAGGATTGTGGGAACCTTTAAAAAGAGCATCAAACTCAGGCTCTTGTGTGAGATAATATCTGAGCTTATTTTTAAAGACTAGTTAGCAGCTAATCAAGCAAGGAAGATAGTTGGGGCCAGGATTTGGCCCTCTAAGAAAAGAGGCTAGAATAAGCACAGGCAGGAAGGAAGAGAGATGGTGGACCTGGGAACTCTACTAGGGTTGTATTATTTGCCTGTAAGATTTATGCAAAAGAATGGTTCTAAACGAAATGAAACTCAGAGGCAAATGGAAGCAAGATAACAGAGCGCTCATAGACTATGTAGCCAGGACAGTTCTAGGACGCGGCCCCACCCACTTCATCCCCCAGTGCCGCCCATAATAATTTTCCCACTCCATATGTAGAGCTTAGGAGCTCTCCCACATTTCTTAGGTTTATTTCTAAAAACAATGAGAGTGTGAGAATGTGCACTAATTAAAGTCAGGGACAGTGCTACCGGCTATATGTCTTATCTCATTTAATCCTCTCAAAACACCAGCAAAGTAAACATTAATACCCTCATTTTTCTTTCAAAGACTCTTGGGAATTTGAGAAGTGACAAGTAACCAAGTTGTGCAGACATAGGGTGGATAAATGGTACCACCCACACCCAAACCTGCATTTCTGATTTCAAAGGCCATGGTCTTCTCCCTACCCCATATTATCTTCTGTATTTTAGTATCTTAAGTTACTTATTCCAGCAAGAAATAGAAGGAGAATCCTTTGTTAAATTCAGTTTAGTTTGATCTAGAAGCTGCAAGTTCAAGGCAGTGCTGCTAGCTCAGTGTGTCCACAACCATTCTCCACATTGCTCCGAAGCCTGTTCTACTCAGATGCTTTACTCCTTCAGGGGCACCATCTCTGATCTTCCTCTCCATCCACTGATTTTCAAACCCCACCCCCCCACCTACTTCTCCTGCTTTGCACTTATATTTCCAATTAACGCTTTTGCTGAGTTCCCTCTTGTGAACCCCGGGATGCAGGGTAATGGGTTTCTACAGAACGTTCAACAGCCCCGTCTGGTGCTCTTCAATGCTGGGCACTGCCCTGAGGATTCTCACTGGAAAGCAAGATCTGGCTCATCAGACTCAGCCCTGGAGAATGAATCTTCCTCTAACCGGGTCACCTACCCCTTGGGACCGAACACCAAGGTCAAGGTCCACATACCTGCTAGGTAGCGCTGTGGGCACCGTTTCTGTCACATTTGATGGGACACAGTAGTCTGTGGATAAAGGCAAGGGCCATGTCTTGGAGTCTGGTGCAGGGTAGATGAAGGCCCCAATGGCCACCCAAAATGACAAGGTGATTCCAGTCAGAAGGCCACCTAGTGCACCCTTGATGAAGGGAAAGAAAAAGTTAAGGAGAGATTTGACAAAGCTGTTGAAAGAAAAGAGGAGATGGGGGGTCCATGTCTCAGAGATTCCTACTGTCCACCTCAAGTCTTGGCCACATGTGCTAGAAACAACCCACCCAAATTGCCATTTTTTTTTTTTTGCAACTCCCACCATGCAGTTTTATTTAGGAGTAACTAGTTCCTTAAATGGAAGTAGTGGAGAATGTTATAATGGTCACCATTTTTAGAATTCTAGCAGGAGGTTTTTCCCCTCCTTTTTAGCTTCTTCTTACCATTTAATCTGTTGAGAGATGTACAACGTGATGACTGTAGTTAACACCACTGCACGGTATATACGAGAGTTAAGAGAGTACATCCTCAAAGTTCTCACCACAAGGAATGACTTGTATGAGATGATGGTAAACTAAATATGGTAATTATTCCACAATATATGCAAGTCAACTCATTATTCCATATTTCTTAATCTTGTACCATGCCATATGTCGATTATTCTCAAAACTGGGGGAGAAAACACCTGTTGAGACCCCCATTCCCAGCAGAAGAATTTCAGAAGCTTGGGAGAACCCGAGAAAATGGAGACAATGCGGTCATTTTTCACTGACGGCTGTCATAGAGAAATTGTTTCTCCCGTATTTCTTCCCAAGTGGTCCTGGCAGGTCCCTGACTCACAAGCGTGGAGCTTTTTGTTTGAGTCTAAACACTAGCAAGCATATTTACTAGTCTTGCCATTTAAGGGTTGTTTCCCTTGATAAACAGTGAAAAGCCAGTGAGTGAGTGAGGCTTTTCCCCTGTAAAGGAGACAGAGTGGTCTAGCAGTGACCGGGACTGGGAAATAAAATCTGGATGCCCCCAGACTCCACTGGACGGCTGAGCTTTCTCAGTGCAAGAAAATAACTTGGTAGTTTCTCTCTTGATTCAGGAAAAGACTTTTTGGTAAAAGAACCAGAATGTTTTGTTCATTACTGTTTGGGGAAACTAAAGCAATATATGTGATTCGAATACTCATGCCTTGGTCCAGACCAGGGGTCCACACACTTCTATTACAAACGGCAAGCTAGTCAATATTTTAGGCTTTGTGGGCCACCCAGTGTCTGTCACAACTACTTAGCTCTGGCCTACAGCACAAGGACAACTATACTCACTACATAAACAAAGGACAGTGATTAGGACCAGTAAAACTATTTTTGGGCACTGAAATGTGAATTTCATATATTCGTGGGTTATGAAATATCATTCTTTTCATTTTTTCCAATCATTTAAAAATGTCAAAACCATTATAGGCCATAGGCTATACCAAAAACTGGATCCTGGCTATATTTGGCTTGAGGAGTATAGTTTCCTGACCCCTGGCCTACCAGTAAAGGGTGAATAGATTTCAGCAGGAGGTTCAACCCTCAGAGATGGATAGTAGCTGTCTAGAAAGTGATGCTGAGAAAGAATCTGGGGTTGCATCCACATTCTGTGGAAAGAGAGCCATGACTGGTTAGTAGGATCAGCCATGGCCAATGACAAGGGAGGAGGTGACCCAAATTTGTAACATTTACTTTCCTCTACCTAGAACAAAGTGGTTTTCTGGACTAAATGGAAGGACCACAATTCACTAATATAGATAACAGGTTAATGTGTAGAATGACAAAGATGTTATATATCATTGTTACTTTTGGGGGGCTAAGGAACTGCCTTCCCTCATGTCATCTTCCCAAAATATAGTTATCCTTGTCAACCTCAATATCAGAAAGGTTAATTAAGACTAAGAAAAGCAAACAAACAAACAAACAAAAAAAAAAAAACTGTAAGGAAACACTACAAATTACCAAATGCTCCCTACCTATCCGTGCTCTTTACCTAGCTCCATAAGATTTATCTAGAATAGAGGTCAGCAAGGGTCAGATAGCTGCATAGACTACTTAGATATATCACGTGACTCACGCTTCATCGAGCACCCTGAAGTATATTAAAAAATATGCGGAGTCAGGTTTTTTTCTGGTCTAAAGGCTTTTTTTTTTTTTGTAGTCTAATGACTTTCTAAAAGTATATGCATGTAAATGTATGGATGACAATAAGTAAAAAAAAATACAATTTTACTAGATTGAGAAAATAAAGATTTTCAAACTAATTTAAAGTGTATATTATTTTTCCAAATAAATATTAATTTTGGTTTACATTTACTATAAAGTCATCCAACCAACATTTAAAGATATACTATTAGCTTGTAAGCCATCAAAACCAAGGAGAGCCAGCCATCAGAATATACTGGTTTTGTTTAATCCTCTCTTCCTAATTAAGTTAATTAAATTTGTTATAATTTTAGGTAAAATATAGAAAAAAAATGAAATTTACATAGTTTTTTAAGTTTTCAAAATTATTTTTTACAATTCAATATATATTTTAAATTTCATTTTGTGGGCCTTGAATTAAGAGACAACTTTAAAGAGTCAATTTTGCTGCCATGACATCTGGTACTTCATGTCCACCTCTTACTTTCCCTATTTTTGGCTTCTAAAAAGGCTTCACTGAAGTCAGAGATAGGAGGCCTTGGGTTCTCCTGAGTCCTACTGTGGAAAAAAGCCCCCATTTTTTTTTTCCTAGTCCAGAGAGATGGCCATTCCAAGGAGAAAGGGAGAGATAGAAAATGGCTGGCCTTCAATTTTATTTTTTTATTTTTATTTTTCCAACAATTGGACCAAGAGATTATTTTATTTTATTTTATTTTATTTTATTTTATTTTATATTTCATTTAAATTCAAGCTCGTTAGCATATAGTGTAGTATTGGTCTCAGGACTCAAATTTAGTGACCCATCACTTACATATGACACCCAGTGCACATCTCAACAAGTTGGGCTTCAGTTTTAGCTAGGAATCATGGAGCAACATGCAGGATCCTTACCTTCCAGTTCACAAATGGGAACAAGATTCCCAGAGAGAATAAGCCCAGCATTGGTCCCCCACACATGCCGTGGATGCTGAGAGCAGCCTGTGGAACGAGATAGATCAGATAAATGCGCCCACTCCCCTGAATCCATGGTCACCTGGGATCACTCTCTCTCTCTCAGACTCAGGATAAAATTCAGTCCTCGTCCTGATGGTCACACTCATTAATCATGTACCTTATGGAGGTCACTATTCCCTTCTGGGGAGATAAGCACTATGTAAAATAACAAAAATACATACAAAGATGCATTTGTGTGTGTGGGGGTGTGTGTGTACACATACACACAGGAAATTTGGATTTTGTAGAGGTGGTTTCTCCTTCAGGTGAAATTCATTGATTTGTTTACATTTTATATCTTGTCAAAAACAAACTTTCTTTTTATAATGCACCACATAAATATACCCATAACTTATATTTCATATCTTACATGACTGCTCGTCTTTTCTAGTTTAGTTTGAACAATTCTATCATTCTGATAATAGTAGATTACCCCACTCCTACCATCCCAGCCAGAACACATCAAGGATGTTGAAGCACTAAGTTGGGACATGATGGGGGAGCCCACTGGACACTTCATATCTCATATCCCATTTTTACGGCTCTGTTTTCTTTGGAAATTGAAGCAGTTTGACAAGTGCATTTCCACATCTCTTAGCCTCTAAATTACACCACCGAATTGGTAAGAAGCTTTCATTAAACTAATTTGCGATTGCTCGGTAGCCTTGTGCCATGGCGATCCAAGAGTCTTGGACATATACAAATGTGCTGATATGCATGCTAGTGAACAGGTGTGTGCGAGTGCCAGCATATGGGCACGTGTGTATGCATGCACACACGCACACAGCTATCCCACAGGGAAGCCCCTATCTTGCTCTATCAAAGCAACTGTAGGGCTGTTAGATCAATATCTAAGAATAGGATGCTCTAAAGATCCTATATATATCTTGGGTTTGTCAGGCACCACCTGCATGCCAGATGGTTAGGATGAACTACCAGGCACTCTAGATAAGTGACCTCGTTTCATCCTCACAATTACCCAGTTTAGTAGATCACTAACTGAGTTTTATAGATGAGAAAGCTGCACTGATGGGAAACCTATTAAGGGCATAACTCCATTTAGAAAATGGAAGAGGTAAGATTTAAGAGGTTTAAGCTAGGACTGTTTGGCTGTAAAACCCACATTTTCTCTCCGAAAGTAGGCTACAGGGGAAAAAAAAAAAGGCCAAGAGCACAGACTCTCATAATGGCCTCCTTTCGTTTAAGGGGAGAAAGTTCTTGAAAGACTCTTGAAAGATTCCATCTCTAATCGAATATTTGGATTCTCGTTTGGCCCTGCTGCTTAGAACCATGATTCGTTGAACCTTCTGCTATTAATTCAGATACATTCTACTTCAGAGAGTCTTCTTTATAAAAAATAGATAAGACCAAGAGGCTGCCAAGTCCCCTCCAGCTGTAACGTAAGTTCTTTTCTCTAGAAACACGAGCTGCAATTCGTGGTTATGTTTGTTTCTCCAGGTTAATTTTTTATGAAGTCAATGCCACAGATGGATCTTTGACAAGATGGAAGCAGATAAGATTAAAATCGATACTCTTCCTCAAAGTCAATACTTACTTTAATATTCCTGACATTTCCTCTGTTGATTGATAGCATGAATTCATAGTTGCCATGGTTGCTGAATTCGGAAGCTAATTTACTTACTAGCTAGGATACAGGAGAATCAGTAAGTTTAGGAACAGTGTTTATGTCCCCCAGTGGAGGAAAAAACATTAACAATCCCTTATAAAATCATTAGCCAATATGCTTCTGGGGGTGGATAAAAAAGGGTCTTTACATGATAGAAAAAGAATCCAAGCATTTCTGGCTTTTGAAAATACATATTTCTGTAATTTACACAACTAGACTAATCTTAATTTTCACATTTCTTTTTGTTGTTGTTCTTAAGCAGGTTCAGTTGGGGGAAGACTTAAAGCTCATCCAGCAGCTTTCTCCTCAGTGGGCAAATCTCACAGAAGTTGCTCCTACAAACAGGGGGCGATGGCAGGGAACGTATGTTTTGGGGGGGTTGCCTTGCTGTGCCGTAGCTTTCTCACGGTATCAAGTAGGGATCCTAATGCCTGCTTCCTGGGGTTTCTTGTAAGTATTCAATGCGGAGTCTGAGAAAGGTCAGAATAGCGACTAAACACTGCAGAGCATGTAGTAAGTACCCCCCCAAAATGTTATCTACGATCACTCCTTTTTCCTTTTCCTTAAGTTTTAATTTTGATTCCAATTAGTTAATATACAGTGTTCTATTAATTCCAGGTGTTATCCACTATTATGGTTTATCTTCTTCTCATTGCTATTGCCTAGCCCATCAGTGAGCTCTCCAGTTCCTGAGGCATATCATTAGATTATTGGACTGCTTGGCGACCCAGAAAGCACTTTCTTAAATTAAGATAAGAACGGGTTTGGAAGTCATTATAACCCTTGGTAGAACTAGGCGGGAGTTGTTAAGATAGAAGCACAATGGATAGAATGGTCTTCCCAAAGGGAGCTCTGCAAGTCACTAGTTAACGGGTGATCTTTGCTGCTGTGAGCTGCCCCATCCCCCTATTTCTGCTACCACCACCACCACCACCACCACCACCACCACCACCACCACCACCAACCTTCCCCACGTAGGGTCTCTGGTCACATATTTAAAGTAAAACAGGGGATATCTGGCTGTCTCAGCTGGAAGAGGGTGGCACTCTTGAGCTCAGGGTCATGAGTTTGAACCCCACGTTGGGTGTAGAGATCACTTAAATAAGTAGAACTTAAAAAAATAAAAATAAGAAATAAAATGAAACAGGTTTATTTTAGGACTTCCCAAGGCCTTCAATAGGCTAACGTGGCTGTGGATATCTGAGAGAGAATGCAGTGTGCAGCATTTCCCAAATGTCTCCGACATAGGAAACTTGCTTTCTTAGAGTATTTCACAGGATGAATGTCTCCAGAACACACTTTATAAAGTCCTAAGCCAGAACAGTAAAAGGATTTTGCTTTAAGGAGACTCAAGCTGCCTGCCCCTAGCACCACCCACACACATACACCATGAGTAAGGGATGGTCTTGTGAACATGGAATTAAACCTGGCTCTATCCCTCACATCCACGGGACTTAGGCTTCGGTCTTCCCATGTGCGAAACCTGAACATGAATGTTGTCCCATGATGCTCACTATAGCAAAGCCATTTGGAAAATTAAATAGGGGAACTATAATTGGCTTTCTGTAGCTGTTAAATCAGATGTATTCAAAGAAATGAGAGGGCCACTCCCTAGACAATATCTCTCCTAGGAAAAAAGAACTCAGGATTTTCACTTCTTGCCAACCAGCATCTCCTAAACCATGTGAAATGTGGAACATAGGGTTCTGCTGCGTGGACGGGCAAATATCAAAGTGCTCCAAAAACTGGGACAAGATTATCGAGCATCTGTGATAAAAGGGGAAGTTCCTCCAGCTTAACTGGAGTGGCCTCCGGCTCTCCAGTCCCACAGCTTCTTACACAGACAACTGAATTCTCAGACTATCACTCAGTCTCCCTGACGTACTCCCTGAAGTTCAAGATGGAAAGAAGGGAATCTGCGTAAGTCATTGCTGGAAGGTTCAAGTAAGATGCACAGATCTGCAGATTCAAAGACACTCTCTAAAAGTCCGTGACTACTCTTCACATGCCCTTATTCAATTCTTTGTTGAAGCAACATTTATGGAAACCCCCTGCCATGCCAAGATAATATAAAATGTCAAAATTATACAAAGATACAAGGCGGGTGGTGGAAGGCTGAGGTACAATCTGAAGATGGGCTTATCTGCTGTTGCCTTGACAGGTGGGCGATTTGCGAAGGGAGGAGAGGTGGCCCCCGGGGAGACGTGGGCTGTAAACTTCTCAGCCACTGAGTAGCTGTGAGAACCTGAGCAGGATATTTTCACTCTTTTCTATAATCATCTACAAAATGAAGATGCTCAAACAGATCATCCCTGAGGCTCCTGAGTCATCTTTTTATGGAAATGGGAGTTGGACATATGGGAGGCCGTTCAGCCTGGATAAGAGGTAGCGGTGGCTCATACGCCAGCTCCCCCACTCCTTAACCATGTGAGCCTGGGACAGTCCCCTCACTCTCTACTTCTTAGTTTCTTCATCTGTAAAGTGAGTACATGAATCACAACTACCCTGAGAGAAGTGATGAAGATTAAACGAGGTAATCCATCTGGGGCTGCACCTTGAACATACTAACTGTTCCATTAATAGCAATTGTTATTCTTTTTCTGCTATTCTAATTATCACTTCTACTTTTTTTTTTAATCACTTCTACTTTTATTTCCGGATCATATATTCTCAGATCTGGATTTCAAATGGGCTTCTAATTTTATTACAGTGTACCAAGTCACTGACTTCCATTACTGGTTTTTACTAGTTTCCCCTTCTGAAGGCAATTTCGGTTGAAATTTTACATGTAATGTTTAATTCTGACCTAGGATCGGAGTCCAGGGTACGGTGCTCGGAGGAATAGGCAAAGCATTGGCAAAGAAAGCGGGTTTAGAGTTGCTCTGAAATCAAAGGTGTTTTTTTTCTCTTTCATTACCTGCACGACGCCTCCCATGAGGGATGCAGCCACGGCCATGGAGGTACACATCACGCCAAACAAGAGACCTGAAAGAAAGAAAAGCCATCGTCAAGCTGGCTTTGAGGGATTTCTCGAGCTCCTGGGCAGGAACAGTGTCTGAGCCCCTTTGGAAGGGATCTCAGTAAGAACCGTCCTGGCCACCCAGCCATCACAGGCCCCAAGAGGGAGATATGGGAGGCTTTGGTCCCAGTCGGGCAAAAAGAGCTGGAATCCAGCCACCAGAGATTTGCTCTCCCGGACTCAGAAAGTGAACCATCATGTAGACACAACATGAAAATGTGGAAAAGGCACTGGTCTAGACTAATCCAGACCAAATTAGTGGGATTACTGGCAGCAGTTCCCTCTAGCTGAAGAAGTTACTAGAGTACCTTTCTGGGATTCAGATAGTTCTTCAACTTTAAAATGTTTAAGTATCTATACATTTTATCTCAGAGGAATTGCAACTATGGAAAGTTTTTCTCATTTTTTCCTTTAGTGTTTTATTCATACCATCCTTCGGGCCCTCAGTATACTGTGCAATGATTTCTTTGTTTTCATATCTATGCAGGAGCGCCCCAAGGGCCATCAGAGTACCAAGCCCTGAAGCATCTAATACAGGGCCTCTAGTACCAAGGGAACTCACTCAGTGAAGAAGCGTATGTGTATTAGTCATCTTTTAAACCACCTTTAGAAAAAGAATTGTTTAAAAAAAAAAGAATTGTTTTTATACATCTTTGTTTAAAAAATCATCTTAAAATTGGGTTCAATTCCCTTATAACCTTTCGATTAAATGAAAGAGGGAGACAGAGACAAAGAATTAGAGATATAGACAGAGACAACAATGACAGAAATGGAGATAAAATTATTTTGTTCATTATTTGAAATTATCTCTCAGCTAAATATCCCGCTCAGTTGCCAACATGTCCTGTTATAGTACTGAGTACTGACCATATGTCAGGTACTTTATCTGTGTCAGTGCTACAAAGTCAGAACCTGATTCCTGTTCTAAAGATCTTACATTCCACGAAGAGATTACATATAAATGATGTATCCAACAGTGCCATAGAAAATACTTTGAGTTAATCATTATTTTATTATTATTATTATTATTATTATTATTATTATTATTATTATATTTCAGGTTCAGTACACGATATTCATGATACTTATTATCAGAAACTCACTCTTAAAATGAACTCATGCTAGTAACATCCAATGTAATATTTTCCAACTTCTCAATAAGACAGAAAAATTAAGAAGCTCACAACAACACTAAAAGCCAAGTTTCATCAATAAAAACATTTTGGAATTGTGATATTATTCTCATTATCTTTAAAGATGATAAACTGGAGCACAGAAAACAATGTTTGCCCTGATTCTGAACTGCTTCATGAATAAGGAGAACTCTGCCTATCTGAAGAAAATAACAAAAGTCATGTTTTCTGTCTACTACTGATTTCCCTTCTGCTGGGCCAACCAACAATCATCTGTTCAGATGAAATCCTAGGCAGTCATCCCTCTCTCCAAGGGTTCTACTTTTTTTGTGCTGACCAGAGAATTGATTCATTCCTCCCCTCCCCCAAAATATTATACTCCTGCCATATTATAATCAATAACAACCATGAAGGCAGGAAATTTAGAGGAAGTTAATGGAGGTTCCATAGAGGCCTGGAATGTGTAGCATCAGAAACAAAGCAGTCAATGTGGGAGGGAAAGAGTCCCACAGTTACAGCAAATACTATGGATTTTTCAAGTGCTACATCAACTCGGAGGATCAGACAATAAATCATGGGCATAGAAGAAATTTCTACTATCATCCAGCATGTTTATGACTATCTTCTAGAAATTGGAAACTGTACTGAGAGTAAGGCCCATCCACTATTAGCTTTAGTCCATTGTGCAAGATGGTGACTAGTATAGCAAGGCAATTCACCACCAGTTAACAAATATGTGGTCAGCATTGATCTCTCCTTGTCCAAGCATAAATAAAACAAAAAAAGAAATATGAGATCCATAGCAGAATATTGCCAAAGGAGTGAATATATTAACCTAAAAGTTCAAATACAAGGTAGGCTTTCTAGAAATAATTTACCCTAGGAAGCAAAAAAAAAAAAAATCCAGTATTTGGAAATTGGCAATTTTAATAGGATGCAAAAAACAAACAAGTTCAAGTCAAGAGAAAGCAAATGAGGTGAAAAATGGCAAGATAAGGGGTAACACCAATAAATTTAGATGAAAATGGGTCCAAATGGGCTAAGGAAGGACTATAAAGAGATTTAAAATGATAATTGACCGAGCACATCTACTCCTAAGTATTTATCAACTAGAAATGAAAATATGTTCACAAAAAGACTTGTACAAGAGTATAAATAGCACTTTTATTCATTATAAACTCAAACTGAAACACCCCAGGTCCATCAACAGAATCAGGAGTTTGAAAAAACTGTGGTATATCCATATGTCATACTATTCGGAAATAAAGGATGAACTACCGATATACAAAACAACATGGATAAATCTCAAAAACATGGTGAGCAAAAGGAGTCATACACAAAAAGAGTGCGTACTGTGATTCCATGTATATGACATTCTAGAAGAGATAAAACTGATCTATGAGAGAAATATCAAGAGTGGTTGTCCCCATGGGCCAGGGGAGGGCCGTGGGGCAGGGGTTACCTGGAATGAGCAAAAGAGAACTTTCCAGGGTAATGATAGTGATTTACATCACTATGATTTATATCATAGATAAGTGATTTATATCACTTTAGTAATCTTTGGGTTTCACAGGTATACGCATTTGTCAAAAGTCAGCAAATATATATTTACCATTTGTCTAAATCTTTGTAGGTAGATTTTACATAAAAATTTTAAAACAAGTATTAAATTCTAGTTAATAATGTATATGCTAAAATAATCATGTGGAAGTGTGCTGATATCTGCAATTAACATTTAAATGTATCAAACATGATATACTAATGGATGGTAGAGAGCTGGATGGTTACATGAAAAAGCAAGACAAGGACAATAGTAATGGAGAATCCAGGGGGTATGTAAATGAGAATTTATGATAAAAATCTTAAATTTTGCTGTAAGATTAAATTTATATAATAAAATGTAAGGAACAAAACACAATTGTAGAATTAAAATCATTATTGTTAAGAAATTTACTTTGTGGAGAATTAAAAATTATATCAAGAGAAAAATTGAGTTTTTCAAGTTTTATTGGAAACTCTAGATAGAAAGCTTACAACAATGTCAATTCTTCCCCCAAAACATTTTTAGATTTAATGCATTCCCATTGGGATGGAGGTGTGGCTAGGTGACATGCAATAAAGTATTTTAAAGTCAGTATAAAGCATTAATAAACACGTGTAACTCAAAGTTTGTTTTTCCAGGAAAAAAAAGTAAAGTAACAATAGAAAAAAAATTTAATTTTAAACTAAAATAAATGTGACAGGAGTTACTCTAGCAGATATTTTAAATAAAACACTATAAAGCTATAGTATACAAAAGGATGGTATTCATCCTGCAATAGATAATTTAATGAAAATAATATGTAGTATCCTTAAACCCTTACAGATGAAAGAATTTTATAGTGTATATTATCATCACTGAAATATTAACAAACAGTGAAGAGTATTGGATTCATGAAGCTTAGAGAATTGGCTATGTAAGTTAGATCCTCATCATATTTCACAAACAAATCGAATAATTTGACTACAGCTAATATTAAATGTGAAATATAAAATTATTTACAATCCAGAAAAAATAAGGAAATATATAAATGGGTTTTGCATGGGAAGAATTTCATAAGCATAAAGAAAAGGATAAAATGGTAAAAGAGGATGCCTGGGTGGCTCAGCTGTTGAGCGTCTGTCTTTGGCTCAGGGCGTCATCCTGGAGTCACGGGATCGAGTCCCGCATCAGGGTCCCTCCATGGAGCCTGCTTCTCCCTCTGCCTGTGTCTCTGCCTCTCTCTGTGTGTGTCTCTCATGAATAAATAAATAAAATAAATAAATTAGGAAAAGAAATAACACACATATTTGATCAAACATGTAATTATAATTTCTGTACATCAAAAATGTATTTTAAAAATCTGGGGGATATTCTCAAATATACAAAGGTCACATTTCCTTTATACATGAAGAGATTTTACAGGAAAAATTTCTAATATCTCATCAACAAACAGAAAGTATAAATAGATTTTTCAAAAAATTAAGATGGCTTATTTATCATCTGAGAGATGTTCAAATTCACTATAAATCAAAAAATGTAAGCTAAAGCAAAACTGTGATGTTATTTTGACCATGAACTTGGCCAATTTTTAAAAATACTAATGTGCACAGAGTGCACAGAGAAATACGTCATTACTCACTATTGCCAAACATAAATATTAATTGGGCCATGCTGGAAATATTTTTCAGAAGATACATCAAGAGCTGTCAGTGAATTTGTATCATTTGATCTGATGGTTTTTTTGGAGGTTTTCATTAAGGAAAAAAATTATGGATGCCATCAAAGATTAATGTATTTTGGTGTCATCATGATATCACAAAAAAAATCTAAAAAGTAACAGCATAAAAATTAAAAGGAAGCCACTTTGTAGACTACTAGGCAAACATTCAAAACCTATGAATAAGTGACACAGGAAAATGCTTACTATCCTATCCTAGAAAAAAAAAAATCCAACCAGAACAAAATCAGGTATGATTTTATTTAAAAAACTCATATGTTTTCTCCAATACCTACATTTTTTTTGTAGTAAGTGAATAAGCATATAATTCATTTGTACTTAAAAAGAAGGAAACTGTAAAATGATAATTCAACATGGTAAGTGCTACAGTGAGCATAAACGTAATATGCAACCCTGTGATTAAGCAAGGAGGAATTATTCCTGGAAGTGAGGTCACCAGGAGTTTGGTAATAAAAAATTCTTTAGAGAAAGAATTTGGCATAATCACCATGTGGCACACCTGAATCTAATACAACACTGTGTTACTACTACTACTACTAATAATAATAATAATAGTAATAATAAATATAAATAATACAAAGAAGGAAAGGAAATGATTTGACTTTTTAGACAAAGTCACGGCCACAGTGAGGAGAACATCTTCCCATGTAGAGGGGCGAATATGATCAACACAAGGCAGAACCAAGAGATGATGAAGGGATGAATATAGAGCAGAGGGCAAGTACGGAAGAGAGTCAAGTCTAAGGATGGGGAAAGGCACGCTAGCTGGTGATTATCTCCCATTACCCTCCTGGTGCTCTGGAAGTGTGAATCCATGTGTGAAATTCCTCACACACGTCAGTGTGTGTTCATGCCTGTGGGTCCTGGATTTTGACATGCACCACACGTACATTTCGTGATGTGGAGGAGAAGATCCACCGGCTGTACCTACATAAGCCTTTACTGATCCAGGTGCTCAGCTTGTCGGAGAGATGGGGAAAACAGCTCTTGACAAAATCCTCAAAGGTCACTGTTGCTAAGGCGTTGATGCTGGCGGCCACGGTGCTGCAGGGAGAGAAAAGCAAGAACATCGTCCAAGCTAAATAAAGCTGAGCAGCCTGCCCTGTCGCTCAGGGCAAGTAGACAAAGCAGGGCTCTGGAAAGAAATAAGAAACAGATACAGACATATGTCCTTATTCTGGGACTTCAGGGGAGCTCCATGGGGAGCTTTTCCCTCCTCAAAGCTGCTTCTGTGCTTGTGCTCTTGGATTTCTTCAAACCCTAGTGAAGAAGCTACATGTCTGTGCTCTAATGCCTACCAATGCCCCCGAACAAGACATTAAGTGAATTCGCAGGCATCGATAGGTTGTGTGTGCAGGTGCACGTGTATGTGTGTGTGTGTTTAGCTTGGACTTGAGGCAGGAAGCAGTAACTACCCTAATCCAGGAATCAGTAAAATGTGCCACTCATTAATCATTCACGCATTCATTCATTCTTACAATTTACACGTCTAGGCACCGGGCATACAATGGTCAACTACCAAACATAGACCTTACACTCTACTTAGCACCACAGACATTCAACAGCCAATTACACAACTGATCGCAGTCGTCATGAAGGAAAATAACAAGAGGCTAGGAAAGTGTGCCTTGCAGAGTCCTAAACTGAAGCTTAAGAATTCTTCCCTTAGGAGGTGATGATTGCAATAGGCACCGAAAGGACCCATGCAAATTGGGGAAAAGGGAACTTGGCATTCAAATGCCTCTAGATGGAAAGCTTCCCGCACTCAACAGCCTGAAGCCACCCGAGTGGTTAGAATGCAATCAGTCAGGGAGAAAGAAGCAAAAGATAAAATGGGAAGGGGGCAAAGGCTAAAACCACATAAAAGATTTGATATTCTCTCTGACTTTCCAAACAGAGTCCAGTCTTAAAGCCCTAAAACTCGTTTTGACGACAGAGGACCTGGAGGTTGGGGTTTTCCCTTCCAAATAGCATGAAAGCTTATCTAATTTCTCATACAGACCAGGAATATTTTAGCTAGTGGAACAGGTAACTATATTAAATTCATGTGATGCGAAATCACAATCACAAACAAAGGTTCCAGAAAAGAAACAAGCTGATGGGCAAAACCTGCCCAAGCTGTTGGTAAATTCTCCACTGCTATTCATTAGCTGACTGTTTTGTTATCCTCCGATGCTCATTTGAAGACAAGCTAGGGCTGTGCCGACAGCATGGAAGAAAATTCATTTTTTTTTCTTTTTTCTCTAATAGTACCATTAATTTTAGCTGTAGGTCACTTTAGTTAGAATAGCTCCACGTCCATTTTGTGCAAAATTAAAAGTTCCTTCCCTGAGTGGTAGCTATAGCAAGTAGAAATTTCCTAAGACCCATTTCTAGGGAATTGAAGCTGTAAGTACTCTGGGATACCATTCTCGTTTTCCTGAGAATCACTACATGGTGTGTGTGTGTTTCCTGCCAGACTTCCCTCCTATCTGCAGCTCCATGAAAATCCAGTAAGGAAAGGAGATGATCAGACAGAAGGAGTTTGATCTCAAAATACGACTTTGTCTCAAAATACATCATCTGAAAGTCTTGAACATTAGGGTTGACCCTTAAATCCACTGGGAAGGAGGGAGCAAAAACTTGAATTTGGCCCCTATGGAGCCTCTACTGGGTTGCTTTTGAAGTCAGGTATATTATCCATATGTCAACTTCTCAGATCTAAAGCTTCTGTAAGATGCTAGAAATCTTTCTTTTTTTAATTTTTCCTAACCATCAAGCACGATCTCTTTACTGTACCCCCATTTCTGTCTTTCCCTTTCTCAACTCAACATCCTCCTTAAGGTTGCAGCAAAAGTAATCTCTCTATAGCAGGTACCACCCAGTGTGTCCCTTTCTTAGAAGTTTTGGACTTGAGATCAAAAGAGCCATCCATTCTTTTGTCAATTATCTGTTGACAACTACAAGTTCTCCAATCTGGAAAGAGTCAAGAGTCGGTCTTAAAGTAAGAGAAAAGATAAGCAAAGCTCTATAGAGAGGGAAAAAATAAAAACTAAAGTGCTACCCCTCCTTGATCCTCTGGTGCTCCTATGTTCTGTCTGGAGTTTCCCTGAGATCCTAATCGCAATACCACAGAATAATGTCACTTCATGTATTTGATGCAAAAATCCTAAAAAGAATATTAGCAAAAATAATTCAGTAGTTCACTAAATTAGAATTATACCCAAAGCAGGTTAAAATCATTATGTGAAGTCAAGGATGTTGCTAATTTGGAAATCTGCCATCATATTAAGTTGCCAAAAGTTAAAAACATAGCCACTGCAAAAATGCCAAAAATTTAATAAAATTCAGTATCTCTGATAAAAACTTTCCTAAAAGTAGAATAAGTATATGCATTTTGTTCTTTTTACGATCTATTAACTTTAAATAAACATTATTTTTTTAAAAAAAATATTGATTTATTTTAGAGAGACTAAGAGAGAGCACAAGCAGGAGGGACAGGAGAGGGAGAGACAATCTCAAGCAGACTCTGTGCTAAGCACAGAGCTGGACATAGGGCTTGATGTCAGATCCTGAGCCGAAACCAGGAGTCAGACACGGAAGCAACCGCGCCACCCGGGCAACCCTTAAATGAATATTCTTAAATGTAAATAATATCTTTCAAATTAAGAATTGATATCACATCTAATGGTAAAATCCAAGAACCATTAACCTTTTCTCCTCAAAAAAGCATGCCCTACCACTTGGAGTCAACTGCAGACCATCAAGAAGAGAGACTTGACCTTACACGGGCTCAACATTGCACTTGGACAGGCTCCATCCCGGCCGGCCTACCCCAGCAGCCATGCTGCCAGTGAAAAGCCATCAGGCCTCCAACTCCTGGTTTCACCCCCAATTGGTCTCATAGTTCATGACAGCCTTCCCAACTTACTCCATTGCTCCTGGAAGAAGCAGGCTTCTCCTTTGCTCCCCCAGCTTGCCTACAGTTTTGCTTCAGCTTACTTGTCCCAGATGGCAATTCTCTTTCATTCCCCAATAAGCCCAACTTTCTCTGGTAAGATAATTGGCGAGTTTTATTTTTAAGGGTAACACGTCTAATGTCTTCCCATTGATCTTAAAATCCAAACTATTTCATAAAGTCTCACCAGTAAAGTTTCATCCCATACATTGCGTGACAAGTGAGGAGCACGTCTAACTGAAGCATGCAGGAGGGCAGCCGACACACAGTCAGTACGGGGTGAGCAGCGGTGGTCTCGGCCACCATCACCCTTGTCACCTCACTGTTCCTCCCATCACCACTGTCGTCATCATCCACATCGCCAGAGCTGCGTATTGTCAACAGACTAACCTCAGAGTTCCACTGAAGGCACAGGCCACAAAGAGTCCAGGCAGTCCTGGCATCGTGGAGAATATCTCCATGACGAAGTACGGCATTAGCTGAAGAGGTGGTAAAATGAGATAGGATCAGTGGTCTCATCAGCACAGTCTGAAGTGGAAAAATGTCACTTTTTAGCAAAAGAAAGTGGGAAAAAATACAAAAAAAAAAAATTAAAAATAAAATGAATAAAATAAATAAAATAAAATAAAAAAATAAAAAAATAAAATAAATAAAATAAAATAAAATAAAATAAAATAAATTAAAATAAAATAAATTATAGAGGCGTTTGCACAACTCAGGTTGTTACGTGCTTCCAGTTGAGGCTACAATTAGTCTGATTTCATGGGCCCTGAGGTCCAGCTTCAGCTGGAGGGGAGGTGGAGGCATGGAAAAGGGCAGCTGACATTAGGAAAAAGGATTAGATGCACTTTAGAAGGTTCAAGAACTCGTTTTATTTTTCTGATATTTGCAATGTATGCCGTTCCTTTGCCTGTGCACCCTTAATGTTAGCAGTTAAATCCTAAAAACGAATGCTTGAGTCAGGTCTTCAGGGTGTCTAGGTATTATGGTTCTACTCTGGAGTCAGATCTGTGAGAGAGGAGCCCCCCTGGGACAGAGGGACAGTGGAATGTACAGACGGGAGAGAGGTGATGGTGCCTCAATAAATGGAGTTTTTGAAAGCACTTTTAATGTAGTATAATGGGAAGACAAGCACAGAAGCTTTATAGAAATAAGGGTCATTTTGTTCAATATGAGAATAAAGCATCTGTAATCAACCTTGAGACATCTAGGGGAAAAAAGAAGGGCTGGATCGACAACCGAAGCCATGGGTTCAAGTCTAACCTCCACTCTCCCCAGCCTTGCCCTGGCCTGGTCTTCAAGGGCAAGGCGAGATACCTTTTTATGTGTCACTTCCCCTATTAGAACCTGGTGTGTGGTGACATCACCCAAGAGGAGAGGAAAGAGATCATCTCCCTGGGGCTCAGGAAGTGGCTTGGGATCCAGGTGGAAAAATAAAAAAGAAGAACCCTTATTACCCAGTCATGGCCAGAAGCTCACTCATTTCGGCCATTCTCCGCTGGTCCCAAGAGAACACAAACCTGGTCTGGTGCTGAGATAATGCCAGAAGTCCAAGGGTCACAGTCCTTGAAGTGGGAGTACATGATTAAGCCAGAGAAGACGGCACACACCAGAATGATCCAGAGACCCAGCAAGTTAAAATACAAGGCCCTAGAAGAGAACACATCGGCCTATTGGTAGTCTCTATGCCATATAATAGTGTGATGAAGACATCACCAAAAATTCAAGGTAAGAATTTGGGGGGCTTTTTGCTATAAAATAAAATTCTACAGCCTTCAAGAATCATTATATTTTATACAGTCACCATTTTTGTTCTATTTGGGAATGTTACATTTTTAGACTGATGACAAAATTGAATGAGGTAGGTTTTTGATGGCTTTTCTTTTGAAATCAGGAGTTTTTCTGCAAAATCTCAATGTGTGGTGCAAGATCTATTTTCTCGGATGAAATTTCACATACCGATCACTCATATTATATAACTTACAGTGATTTTTCCCCCACTCAATTCATAAAACTGTCAAAAAGTGAACTTACATTTTAACACCTTTTCTTCCAGAGGAATAATGAGATAAATGTAGAAATAGACACATTTTGGAAATATTCACTTTGGAGACTGATTTAGATGAAATGTAGAGTTGAGGGTTTTTTTTTTAAAGAGAATAGAAAGTATGCAAAACTTAAGGTCATTTTACCCATATTCTGGGGAGCAATTCTTTTCACTTGTACAACACATGGATACGCTTCACTCTAGTTTGAGTGCTTTGGCAGTATCCTATGGTTATTTTGAATTCATTGTTGATTTCTGAAAGTCAAAATATTACTAGATTTCTTTTTAATATATATATATATATATATATATATATATATATATATATATATTTACTTAGAGAGCCTACAAGCGAGCAAAAGGCAGAGGAAGGAAGAGCATCCCAAGCAGGTTCAATGTGGAGCTCAGTGTGGGCTTGATCTCACAACCCTGAGCTCATGACCTGAGCTGCAATCAAGAGTCTGATGCTTAACGGACGATGCTACCCAGACGCCCCACTAGTTTTCTTAATTTCAAGGAAGATTTGAAAGTAGGCTGGATTTTTATAAACAGCCTCATTCTGGAGAGAATGTCAAAGGGCCAGGAGAGCAACACTAGGGATTTTCTTGGATCACGTCAGTGTTTGAAGGGAATCAGACAGATCCACATTTAAATGTAAGGATACAGGAAAACTTCTAACTCTGGGAAATGAACTAGGGGTGGTGGAAGGGGAGGAGGGTGGGGGGAGGGGGTGACTGGGTGACGGGCACTGAGGGGGGTACTTGACGGGATGAGCACTGGGTGTTATTCTGTATGTTGGCAAATTGAACACCAATAAAAAATAAATTTATTATTATTAAAAAAAAAAAAGAAAGGGATCCCTGGGTGGCACAGCGGTTTGGCGCCTGCCTTTGGCCCAGGGCGCGATCCTGGAGACCCGGGATCGAATCCCACGTCAGGCTCCCGGTGGATGGAGCCTGCTTCTCCCTCTGCCTGTGTCTCTGCCTCTCTCTCTCTCTCTCTGTGACTATCATAAATAAATAAAGAAAAAAAATAAAATTAAATTAAATTTAAAAAAAGAAAAAGAAAAAGAAAAAAGAAAAAAAAAGAAAAAAAAGAATAAATGTAAGGATACACCTTAATTTCAAAGCCTCCAAAAACCCATCCTGTACGAGTGTGCCTAGCTCTCAAAAAACCCTTGAGTATATGAAGTTTTTTTTTTAATTTTCATTTATTTATGACAGTCACACACACACAGAGAGAGAGAGAGAGGCAGAGACACAGGCAGAGGGAGAAGCAGGCTCCATGCACCGGGAGCCCGACGTGGGATTCGATCCCGGGTCTCCAGGATCGCGCCCTGGGCCAAAGGCAGGCGCCAAACCGCTGCACCACCCAGGGATCCCCTGTATATGAAGTTAATCTGGTTAAATCATTACCTCGTTTGGAAGTTTCTATTTGATACTATTTACATGAGAAAAGAGACTTATCCTAGAAGTCACTTCCTTGAAGGTATTCCAGCAATGTTTATTATCTGAAATTATATGTTAATTTGCTTATTATTAATTTCCCCCACTCAAACAAACACGGTGCTATAGAATAGTGCTGGCACATAGCAGACATGAAATTATTTCCCTTTTGGTAATAAATAATTGAATGAATGAATGAATGAATGAATGGTAGAATGGTACACTGTGATTATACTCCTTGTATCATTTATTTTTTTTTGAAGAACATTGGACCTCGGGTCAGAAGACTTTATCCTTAACGACCACCTGCCCTTAGACAAGTCATATAACACCCTGAGGCAGTTATGTCATCTGTAAAAAGAGTGTGAACACACCTGCTTTCCTTCTATTATAGGGCTAGTACGGGGACTGAATGAGTTACATTCTGTAAAAATATCCATACAGAGGACATCCATACATTATCCAGAACAATTTTAAGCTTCACCAGTCAACGAAGGAAGTCAACCAAGGGTAAAACCGTACTGAATGTTAAAGACCTTGTGTCGTGACTTTGTTTTTCATTAGAAATGGACTTTGATTCTTTACAGAGATAATTCTCCTACTTTTAACTAAAGCCACTTCATTGTTTCACTCAAAATATATGGATTAGACATCTCTGTGTACTAGGCTCTCTTAGGTACTGGGGTATAGCAGTGAGCAACAGAGAACCCTCCCTCATGGAGGTTAAATTCCGGGATTGGAAGCAGATCATCACTGAAATGAAATAAATGAACACAATGATTTTAGATGTGAATGAGGAAGATAAAAGCAGCAGGAACAGAACAAAAGTGACTTGTGTGGGTGCGCTCATCTTAGCCAGGAGATGGGGTGGATGTGGAAAGGGACCTGAGACTCTGCATCAGCACCTACTCCCCTCAAAGCAACATGTACGGTCAACCACCTTGAAAAGTAATTGGGGGCAGCCCGGGTGGCTCAGTGGTTTAGCGTCGCCTTCAGTCCTGGGCGTGATCCTGGAGACCCGGGATCGAGTCCCACGTCGGGCTCCCTGCATGGAGCCTGCTTCTCCCTCTGCCTGTGTCTCTGCCTCTCTCTCTCTCTCTCTCTTTATATATTTCATGAACAAATAAATAAAATCTTTAAAAAAAAAAAAAGAAAAGAAAAAGAAATTGGGGTCTAGAAACAAGAGGAGGTGAAGTCAGCTTCCAGGGAGCACATCTAAGATGACATGGTGGGTGATATTATTTCTAGATATGAGGAAGACGGATCAGGCTTAAGATCAACCAAATTGGGGATCCCTGGGTGGCGCAGCGGTTTGGCGCCTGCCTTTGGCCCAGGGCGCGATTCTGGAGACCCCGGATCGAATCCCACGTCGGGCTCCTGGTGCATGGAGCCTGCTTCTCCCTCTGCCTATGTCTCTGCCTCTTTCTCTCTCTCTCTGTGACTATCATAAAATAAATAAAAATTAAAAAAAAAAAAAAAGATCAACCAAATTGTCTCCAGTGCGTCCTCGGCATTCCTGGCCATGAATGATGTGCATATATAATGAGCCCACTCGTGGTTTCACCCCATGGACGCATGGTCAGTACAAACACTATGGATCTGTTTTCACCTACATATGTTTCAGGGTGTATTTTTCCCAAGTAGCAGAGCTTTTCCTAAACTCTAATGGAATGTCTTAATGACACCAGGCTCTCAGATAATTGAACAGAAGCAGAGCATTTAATCAACATTCTGCAGAGCCTCCTATATGAGAGCAGATTGGCAGCCGGCTCCAAGTGGCCCCCAGCTGCCCCCGTAATGACCTTGAGGCTTCAGTTGTGTGACAAATGACACATCCCCGCCGCGCCCTTCCTTCCAGCTGTGTGCACTTCACCTGGACTGACCATTTTGACTGATTTCTGTTTCCTATTTGATAAAGTGATAATCTTGTGTGGAGGGTTTGCTAACATTGTTTATTCTAATAGGATATGAATATGTTACCAGCAAATTAATGGAATACTAGATAACACATTCAGTGCTTCCTTCTGAGAGCGTGTGGAATAGATAAGTAATAAATTCTCTTTTGGAATCCAAGCCACAGAAGGGTGAGCCGTGTCGCAGCAATGTTATCTTCTATCCATTCTAAATAAAAAACTATGCATTGAAAGTATTTTAAAGTCAGCTGTGAAAATATTCACAGTGACTGTGTCTCACTCTAAGAAAAGTTGAGGACATCCTGACAAATCCGGGGATGCTGGAAATCTGGACAGTAACAATGAGGATAAAATGTCCATTTCAGATGCAGTGCTAGCTTATTTCTGCCAGTCGTGCAGAATAATACATGACTTCCTGCAACCCCCAGTCTAGAGCATGCGATGCCTTGCAGGGCTTGGAAAAGGCTCCCCGAGCTGTGCCTGCTGGAGTCCCTCGGGGCAAGCAGTCCTGGCAATACTAGGGGCTGCTAGCTTGGCGAGAGTTGCCCTGGGGAAAGCCCATTATGACTTCTTTTAAACCTCTCCTTGGAAAACTTAAGGATATATCCATCAAAAGAAAAATAGTAACTCAAGAGACCACAGGCTGCATCAAGCAAATCATAAGGGCCATCTCCTCCCAGAAGCTGTGAGTAGACAATCTATGCTATTTACCTCTGCATCGTCACCCACGGCCACCTAATTTAGCCTACAAGTTCTCAACAAATGGAGGCAGTAAATGATGGAGAGCAAAGGGAGGCAGACGTGAGCTCCAATCCACTTCTTTGTTGAGATGGGAGTAGTCATGCCGGCCTCAAAAAACTGTTGAGAGGGTTAAAGCAAACTTTCCATTTCTCTCTCTCTCTCTCTCTCTCTCTCACACACACACACACACATACACACAGAAGCGTATAATAAATACCCAATAAGGACAAAGAAAACTGAAATGTTCATTTATAACTTACAGTTTTGCATGTTTTTCTGTTTTGCAAGAGATGCATCGCTGTATGGTCGACTGATTAACACCATAGATCCCAAGCCACGTAAACGTTCCTCCCACTGAGATTGTCCAAATAGTGTGCCGTCTGAGAGGATCTACATCAAAGCTACGAGCCAGAGAGAAGTGAGTGAACAAACATGCTCCTTTGATGCCCAAATATTGCTTTAGTTACGGAGGTCATACAGCTAAATCTTTATAAAACATGGGAAAGTAGTATTGCACCTACTCAAATATATTTAGTCGGGATCCATTTCTTGATTGTTCTATTACATTGGGTAATCCACCAGCATGAGCTGATCCTTGAATGAGAACCGTTAAGAATCCCACAATCATGACAACCATCTGAAATGCATCTGTCCACACCACTGCTTTTAATCCTCCCTGAAATGGAGAGAATGGATGTGAGTTCTTAAAAAGGAAGGCTTCAAGTCTTCCAATTCTTTTTTACAACCTCTCTGCTGGTACAATCTTTCTTTCTTTCTTCCCTTCCTTGCTACCTTCCATCTTTTTTTTCTTTCTTTCTTTCTTTCTTTCTTTCTTTCTTTCTTTCTTTCTTCCTTCCTTCCTTCCTTCCTTCCTTCCTTTCTTTCTTTCTTTCTTTTTCTTTCTTTCTCTCCTTTCTCCTTTCTTTCTTTCTTTTCTTTCACTACATTGTAAAGAATGGGTAGGAATTTACCAGGGACAGAGGACAAGAGAAGGAAACCACATGTGTGAAGGATGGAGATGTATGGCTCCCTGGAGAAATGAAATAATACTAGAATATATAGATTGAAGCATATACAGAATGCCCAAGGGGAGGTTGCTGAACCTGCTACAGGCCAGAACACAGATTTGGACAAGGCTACTTAAATGATTTCTCAAGAGTAATGAGACAGCATTAAAGAGATTTACATGATGAGAGATTTTATTTGTTTGCTTCATAGTGGTTTCAGGGGTGGTTGTGTAGATAGCAGATTGCGGGACCATGGAAAAGAAGGAGTGAAGAGATACACCCAGATGTGATTTCAGTAGTCCGTGCCCAAGATGGCAGAGGTTTGAAGCAAGGCAGAGATAGAAAGAAGTGGATGGATTTGGAAAACAATTGGGAGGTCCAATCAACACAACTTGTGAATAATTGAATACATATGATGAGGAAGGAGGGGAATTGAGGATGATCACCTAGGTCTGGCTTATGCAACATGAGCATTTTTTTTTGTTTTTTGTAAATTTAGTGACAATAAATAAATTTGGGGGAAGTGAAATGGTAGAAAGATGAGAAAGAAGAAAAGAACTAGAAAAACACAGATTCTAGACATTCATGGAGAAATGGTCAAATAGTGAGATGAGCAAAGCAGACTTTCTAGAGGGTAAATCTCACATCAGAACTCAACACAGAGTGATGAGCAAGAGGTGAGCATGCTGGTTATCAAAATTGGATCCTCTTGAGAATCACTTGCAGAATTTGAAAACAAGCAAACTAACAAAAACCGATATCCTAGCGCCAACTCCAAGGATTCTGAATAAATTGAGGTCTGGGTTGGGACCTAGTCCTAAATGTTTTCTCAAAGCTCCCACAGGGATTCTAGTGTACAATTCTAGTTGAGAAACACGTGGGCAAGAGGAAAGGAGGGGGAGAAAGAAGCTGCCGGAGTAATCCAGGTAGAGAATCCCCCAGGACCACAGTGAAGGAGGAATGAGCAAATCGGGAAAGATTAAACAAAATGATATTTTTAAAAAAGAAGTGCTTTGAAAATGAATAAGCACAATGAGAATGGAAGGATGTGGTATTTTTAACATTGAAAAATAGAATTATCATCCCCAGTTACTCCTCCAGAGTGTCAAGAACTTCTCTGAAAAGATGACAGGCTTCATCTTTACCTTGAGAAGAAAGAAGATATTGGGGTTGTCCCATCATTTCTTTTGCAATTAAAGTGCAATTTAATAAATAGACATTAAAGTCCTGCCAGAGGCATTGTATTTGTATGTTGTGTTCTCGTCCTGATTTGAGGAATAATCAATATTTTCCTCCTACCCCCTCAAATAGCGGTATCGTGATGTTCTCTAAAGATACTAAGCCTTCTAAACCCAAATTGCAACACCAGATTTTAGTGATATGAACATCAAGTGTCCAAGACCTCGGTTTTCAGAGGCTACTTGCTATTGGTTATGCAAAAAATATGCATGAACCTGAATCTTCAGCTAGCCCTGAGGCATGAGGACAAACCACCTTATCAAATGTACATCAAAAGACAGATTATAGCCACCATGAAAATTTCTCTGACTCCATAACTCCTTCATACAGTGAGACTCACACACACACACACACACACACCACTGACCTATAACCCTGATCGTGCGGGGTCACTGATATATGTAATCAGTTTGTTTGTGTGAAATCTAATGTTTACTTCACTAGATTGCAAGTCCCTGAATGGCAGGAATCACTTATTATTTTAATCTCTCCCGCTGCTTGTCTTAGCTCTGCTATGCATCCGCAGGACCATAAGGAGCCTGCCACCTGAGCAGCAAGTGGTAGACCAGTGAGCCACCAGCATAATGAGATCCGGAAGCCTGCAACTTGGCTAGAGAGAGGAGAGATGGGACAGAGGTGTGGTGAGGGATTAGCTGGGTGGACTGACGCACATCATAAACGATTTCCAACACTAAGAGGCTTATACTTTATCTTGTGAACAATGGGAAGTGAGAAGAGAATTGGGTCAGTTAAGTGGCATAAAGAAACGGGTGATGATTAAGATTAATCTTCCAGAGACATGGGGGGGGTTGGGGGGGAAGCACTGAAACCAATTAAGAGTTAGTAAGTTTAGTTCAGTTTAGCTTGTTGTGATCATTAAAATACGCAGACATGTTTCTGACATCTTACTTTTTGGTCTCTATTTGTGCTTTCTCTATGCTTTTTTCCTCTTCTCTTGCTTAAATCACTTGAGGTTTTGTTTCATCATGTTTTATTTTTTTTATTTTTTTTTTTAATTTATTAATGATAGTCACAGAGAGAGAGAGAGGCAGAGACATAGGCAGAGGGAGAAGCAGGCTCCATGCACCAGGAGCCCAACGTGGGATTCGATCCCGGGTCTCCAGGATCGCGCCCTGGGCCAAAGGCAGGCGCCAAACCGCTGCGCCACCCAGGGATCCCTGTTTCGTCATGTTTTAATTCCTTTTCTCCACTTTGACCATTTTATTTAAACAAGTCCTCTTGAGATTTTGCCATAAAATTTTAAGTTAGAGTCTAAATTTAAAGAATGTGTTAATCCCCAACAATTCAAAGAAGACAAAAATCATCGAGTCTGATTACTGTCTTCCTAATTTACATGCTAATTGTTGTCCAAAAGATGGTTATTCCTTTTCTTAATCCCAAAATTACATCTAATAATAAAAATAGTAGTAGTATATTTTACAATAGTATAAATTATAACATATCATTAGATATGTAAGTTATTAGATATTATTGATATGTAATATCAAGTTGTTATTTTTTATCATCAAGCACCAAAAAAACCATTTGACTGGACTTCTTAAAGGTTTACTATTTTATTTTCTGATCATTACTTCTTCTATCCAAAACTGGATCATTTTCCTTCTTCCTGCAGTACTTCCTCCAGGTTTTTCTCAGGGGAAGATAGATTGATGGTAAATCATCCTGGTTCTTGACAGTTCTGAAAAGTCAGTATTGCTGAATACACAATTATAGGTTGACAATTGTTTTCCATCAATGCTTTGAAGATATTATCTCACTGTTTCTGCCTTCCATTATTTGTTGCTAAGAAGTCTGTCTTCAGTGTCCCTGGCAATGCGTCTAGTCATCCTTGTATGGGTAGATGCCTCAGAGCAACTAATCTGTCACATATGGCCAGACATTTAAGGAGCAGAAGCTTATTCTTAACCTACGTAAGAGATGTGCGTCTGGAATAGAACAATGATAGTGAGAATGGAATGAAAAAAAAAAAGACAAAACTCTGCAGTGCAAAGAAATGGTGGAAATTGTGTGTATGGAAAGGAGAGTTAAGGGCATTTCCAAGTCATATATTTCATGATATATGTTAAAAGAGTATCTGATCTGCACGCAGTGCCAAAATACATGTATGGCCTGCTCTATGATAATATAGGATTACTTTATTTTTCTCTATAGAGGACGAAAAAAGTCCAGTTTTCTGAAAACCACTGTCACACTTTTACCTGGTTACTTACAGCCTCTGTATGTGGGTGCCAAAGATTCAGATGAATGAAGATTCCCATCACAGGGCATGATCAATAATAGGTGCTCAACGAACGCTTCTGAACTAAACTGATTTTAACAGTTATATAAATATAGTGCCAATACCACCCAGATTGCCTGGTTAAAAATGGAGCATATGGTAAGCCAAATGTTAATGTAACGCAAGCTTATCCATCAATAAGAAAGAACAACACGCTGTGGAACCCTCAAGTTCCCAGAACACCAACCATCCTTGGTCGTTCGTACACACATTTTGAATTTCTCAATCACTAGGTGTGACATGTATGCTACCTATACGGTTCATAGTTGCTGTGAAAAAGCACATTTTGGTTTTGTGCTTGTTACGTGTAGGGTCACTTATCTTCTGATCAAGGAGGTAGTTCTCCCATTAATTTTTTCTTTGCCAAGCCTTTCTCAAATGAGCCCAACCCAATTCTACTGAAAAGAATTTTAAATAAAACGACAGCACTTTCCTCAGGAAACTGTGACAGATAGGCCAGCATATTTCTATTTAATTTTGGAATAGCAAATTCTGCTGTAATTAGATGCCCTGTTGTTGGAGATTTGCCCTTATCCCATATTAGAACATGGTATTAAATACTTTTTAATGGATAGATACATACCAGGGTACAGTAGAATGTGCAAACAATTCCTGTGGCAAACACAGAGCCCCAGAGATCAAACCCCGTCACTAGAAAAGAAGAAGAAATATTGAAAGAAGTTTCTCCGAGGAAAGTAGAAGAGCAAGGTTTATGAAGACAAAGTCACAGTATTTTTGTCAGCGTTTTTTTGTGGGCAAATGGAAATCGCATTAGAATTTTCTCTTATTAAATTCACCTCTGATAAAGATTATTTTATTACATTGTTATATTTCAACTCAGTCCATAATTTTAGGTATGGCTAAAAGCCAAATTTTTCCTCCAAAAATTCTGTAGCTGCCCGTCTTTGTACCAACTGTTTGTTTGCTTTTTCTTAACAAAATTAGTCTGAGTACTTTGAAACTACCTAAACATCAGCCATGAATAAGTATTTCTCAGTATAAGCCCAGAGCATGATTAAATTGAATATTGAAGTCTTTTAATATTATAGGTACCTTACAAAATTTTTTTAATCATTTAAAGCTTTTTGCTCTTAGGGCTCTCCAAAAGGCCAAGTATAAATCTTAAAATGATTCCTACGAGCACCTTTCACCCCTCTATTTATTTTTTTTTAAAGATTTTATTTATTTATTCATGAGAGGCACAGAGAGAGAAAGTAGAGACACAGGCAGAGGGAGAAGCAGGCTCCATGCAGGGGGCCTGTTGTGGGACCTGATCCCGGGTCTCCAGGATCATGCCGTGGGCCGAAGGCAGACACTCAATCGCTGAGTCACCCAGGGATCCCTCACTTTTCTATTCAGATTATCTACATGAAAGCACTGAGATGGGATCGTATACTACAAACGTGCTTAGTGGTTGTTCATATGCAATAACCAAGACCTCCATCATTTCAGCGATTAAAAAACACAACAAATGACAATCAAACTTGGTGTTTGAAACCATGTGGGCAAAATCAAGTAACGAATATTTGCATTATTTTCTTTTTCTTTCTTTTTTTTTTTTTTTTTAGATTTTCTTTAAATTCAAGTTAGTTAACACATAGTGTATTATTAGTTTTGGGGGTAGATTTAGCGATTCATCAGTTGCATGTAACACCCAGTGCTCTTTCCAGGGATTATTGGAGCTCTAGATGGTGATGACTATAGTAATTAGAGCCCCCTAAGCACAAGAATGTCTCCCTGACAAGACGGATGTTTCTCAAGATGAGAATGTAAACAGACAAAAGATGGAAAGTACCCAGGGGAGTATCAGTAACTCACCTTGATTGAGCGCCAGGGCGGGGGCATACACCACCACTCCTGTGTAGAGAATCTGTAGGGTGAACAAGAGTCAGGTGAACAGTGTGAGGAGTGACATGGAAGGGGAAGCTGCCTCCAATGGTCCTTATATCCTTCAAGAGGTGTTTCCCTCAACGTGGTCACTACACATCTCATTGGCAACCGCTCTCATCTTGAAATCATATGATCGCCATCATTAGCATGCAAAGGGGATAATAAGATCTGATGGAGGAAGAGCACTGGACTTCTAAGATTGCTGTGAATTTTGAGATTTTATGGCTAGATACGGCATATTTTTGGAGGACACAAAAATAGGCTTCAAGGTAAGGTTTTGATCCAACTTTTCTCTACCCACCTCCGCCCCCACGCTTATGCCACCATGACTCAACCTCCTTTTAGTGGCCTACGGAAATAGGGGAGAGGACAGCACAGGGAAAACTGACAACACAAGTGATCTACTTAATGGTTGGACTCCCCCAGTTGCAGCCACTACACTGAAGGAAGTGGGAACAGTCCCATTTTATTTTAAATGGGATTTCACCATTTAGAGATTCAGGCAAGGGTTTTAAAAGGCAAAAGTGTCTGAGAAGGTCAGGGAGCAGTGCCTTCTTTTCCCCTCTACTAAATCCTTCAATCGGTGAGGGAGTGTTTTGGTTAAAAATGGCAAGAAGGTAATTTTCCAGCAGGAAGTACTGTGTGAGTTCTAGGAAGTATATATACCAACTTGGAGGACGGCCTGGAGGCGCCCAGAGCCTAGGAAGCAGGAGAGAAGTCCAAAAGGGGAGAATGGGAGTATTGTCTTAAAATGATTTGGGGCAAAAATAAATAAATAAAAAATAAATAAATAAACAAACAAACAAACAAATAAATAAATAAATGATTTTCGGCAAAATGGGCATTTCTGGTTCAATGCAGTTAACTAGTGAAAAGCTAGTGAGTGGACCATTTCATATCCAAAGCAACTTGTACGAGGGAAATAAAAGTTTCTAATGAGTTTTTAAGGCTACATTTTCCTTTGTGGTTTATAGTAGACATTTGTCTGTTATTTATCATCCAGATGAATATACGGGGTCCGTACCATGTGGACCCCTGCCAGTGGTCACCCGTCTCAGAAGTCCTACCCGTGAGGAAAGGAGCTGCTTCTTGGCGTTTGGTCTCTGCCCCCCTGGAGTAAACAAACCTGTGTGTTGTCACCGCACACAGTCCACCCCCTGCGGCCCTTCCCCTTACCGTCTGCACGATGTAGATGACAGTGGCCGCGTAGCGTACTGGCTTATTGAATCGTAGCTGTAAGTACTAGAAACAGAGAGAAGGACAAGCAAAGAGTCAGCATCAGAGCTGCTAAGAAGGTGCTTTATTTTCTTGGATTTCCCTGTGTTTAGTGCTTTGGGTTTGTAATATGGCTTTACTTGAGAGAAGAGGAAAACTACAGATTGTTTGAGGTCAAAGAAATGCCAGAGCTCTATGAAAGCTCCATTCTGGCTTAAGCTTCTCATGAGAGAAAAGACAACTGGCTTTTTCTTTTTAAACTTCTATTGCTTGAATAAAAACCCAGACCCTCTCACTTTCGACCCAGGGGTCATCCTACTGACTATACTGAAGCCACTGTTTCCTTTTATATCCCATGGCCCCAAATTTAGCCCACCCTGTATTCCCTCTTTCCCAGGTCACTTCAGTAGCTCCCAGCTGATCTCTCTAATTCCGATCCTTGCCCATCCATTCCATCAACCATACATCTACCATGTTGGTTCTCCTAGAGCAAGGCTCTACCCATGTTGCTTTTTATTTTTTCTTTAAGATTCTATTTATTTATTCATGAGAGACACAGAGCAAGGCAGAGACATAGGCAGAGGGAGAGTCAGGCTCCTTGAGGGGAGCCCGATGAGAGACTGGATCCCAGGACCCCGGGATCACGCCCTGAGCAGATGCTCAACCACTGAGCCACCCAGCCATCACATGTTGCCTTTTTACTTAAAATCTTCAATGATTCTCCATCATTGACAAACAAGGTGCGCATCCCACACTTGATACTCTCCACCCTCTGATCTATACCCTTCTTATCTTAAATCACACCACTAAGCCTCCCGTTATTTATTCTCCACATCAAATCATTGTGTGTGGCTCAGTCAACATGCTTTGCACTTCTCAGGCTCTTCCTTCATTTGCACAGACCCTTCGATGGGAGAGAATCTTCCCCCCAGATTCACCAATTCTTAGTCATCTTTTAAGGAGGCTGGCCCAGCTGCCATTCCCACCCCTATGCATACTTTCTCCTCTGAGCTCCAACAGCAATTATGATCAACTTTTTTTCTATATGGCATCACTTGACCACCTACTCTACTGTCTTGTGGATTGACGTTGGATCCATAAATCATACGGTATCTGTTTCCTAAAGCGACTGTAACAAATTGCCACGATTTTGATGCAGCTTAAAGTAACAGAAGTTCTCTGGAGGTTCTGAAGACCAGAAGTATGAAATCGATTTCACTGGGCCAAAATCAAGGTACTGGCAGGTTGGAGGCTTTAGGAAAGAACCTGAGATCACTTAATGTTAAAATAATTTTTATTCCTTAGCCTCTGGTTCCATCACTTCAATTCCTGCCTCTGTGGTCACATCGCTTCTTCTCCTGGCTGTCAAGTCTTCCTCTGCCTCAGTCTTAGAAAGGTACATGTGACGGTACCTAGGGCCTACCTGGGGAGATCCAGGATAATCTCCTCTTTTAAGATCCTTAATTTAATTACATTTGCAAAGGCTTTTTTTTTTTTTTTAATCAGGTAAGGTAATAGTCATAGGTTCAGGGATTAGAATATTGACTTTTTTTTTTTTCAAAGAAAGGGATACATTTTTCAGCCCACCACACTTACCTTCCCTGATACATGTAAACAGTGCTCTAAGGATTCATTTTTGTCATCTTTTATATCTTCATTCATTCAATAAATAATTATTAGCTGACTTCCATACTGCATTCTGACATACAGTAATACCAAATATGATATACTCTGTGCCTTAGGGAATTTTATGGATTAGACAAAGTGACCATTAACAAATTTATTCTAATAAAAATAAAGTTTCAGGTATGCTGTGTGCTAGAGGAAGAGCTACTAGGAACTGTGAACACACTGAACAGCTGGATCTGGTTTACAGTTAGAGGTCAAGAAGGGTTTTCCTGAGTAAAGATTCTAGACAACATTGGTATTTGTTGCTGTTATTATTATTATTATTATTTATCATAATAAATATGTATTAGGTGAACAAAATAAGTGGTAAAAGTATGACTTGAGGTTTCAATTTCTTGGCAGGAGTTTCTGATTGGTAGTGGTCCTGTCTTACTTGCATTGAAGAAAAAAAATCATTTTGATTAAATTAGTAGTTAACTACCAGATTTGTCCTATTCCTAGAAATGACACAGAAGTGCTGTGTCATGGTGTACAACGGGGCCTTCTCTGAAACCCTAGAAGGGACTCTCTTAGCAGAAGGGTTACTCAGTTTCACACTACTACACCTGCTCAACCCTTACCCCAAGCACATATCATTCCTGTCCACAGACCCTCTTTCTTTCAGACGGTAGATTCAGTACCTGTGAGTCAGGACACAGGCCAGTGGCCGAATGACGGAGGACACCAGGTATAAAGGAAATGATCTTAACGAGGTAAGGAAGTCAGTGAGGAGGCAAGTCTCAGATGTCATAGGACAGAAAACCATGCAGAACTTCTGTGGTGAGGACAACTTAGGTTCCAATCATACGTCTTTGGGAAGATTCATTTATTGCCCTAAACAATGGCTTTCTTTTCTAAACCTGTTGCTCATAAGGCTCCATGGCATAGTACATGATAACGCCAAGTCCAGGGACGAGGACACGCTGGGATCTTGGGGACCGTAGCCGTCAAGTGGGTGGCACTCAGTATTCCAGGACATGCTGATGGCCTCCCAATGCACCTGTGATCCTTTGCTTCAGGGCTTCATCTCAGCCCTTGCACAGGGCAGGCTGGCAGCGCCCGGGGCTGTTATCATTGGCTGAAAGCCAGGGACAGAAGGAGTTAGACACAAATATTCAGGCTTCTTTGCCCACCAGGAGGGACGACCCTGAGACAGGATCTGGAGGTCTTCCACAGGTCCCCAGTGAGATGGAACCTCAAGTGCTCACAGGGGTAACCTGCTCAAAAACACACCTTTTATTGGCTTCATTTTCTTCCATATTTTCATCGCCACCAATATTCAATGAAATCACTTCCTCCAGTATGACTTGCATTCAAATCCTTGTCTTAGGGTTTTTTTTTTTGTTTGTTTATTTTTTAATGCTTCTGGGGGAACATAACTTAAAGCAAATATAATCCAAGTGGTGACTAAAAATGCTCATGTAAAAAAGATAGGTTCTGCTGATGGGAACTTTTTGTCCCAAAACATAGAACTCAAGGTAGCCAATGGAGGACAAGACTAAGTGTGACATAGACAAGCTGTCTTGTCTGAGTTCCCCCAGACCAGTGAGCCGCTAGCTAATGCAAGCGCTGATGGCAGGCACATTCAAGGCCCCAGTGAGACCAGGAGGAGAACCTTGCTATTTTACTGAACCCTTCTCAGCCCAGACCAAATTGCTGGCCCATAGAATTGTGAGCAAATAAAATTGCTGTTTAAGAAATTTTTTTTGGAGTGATGTGTTACACAGCAATACATAAGTAATATGAAAATTGGTAGTAGGAGTGGAGAAATGCTGTAACCCCAAAGCCCCCAAATATGTGGTATTAGCTTTGGGACTGGGTGGCACCTGAAGTTTGGGACAAAAGGGAAATTATGAAAAATGGCAAGACAGTGAGGAAACTGCTATAGGAACCTGCACAAAGTCAAGGGTTTTAGCCTCTCGGTTTAGTTCCCCTGATGTCAGCCAATTCAGTCCAGCTGGAGAGGCAATATTGAGAAAATAATATGTGAAGAAAAAAAAAAAGAAGAAGTGGATCAGAAGGAAGACTCCTTAAATTCTAGTTTGAGCTTTGCCACAATCTCACAGGGACCTAAGCCTCTGGTTTCTCATCCTTGAAACAAGAGAGACAATTGCAACTGCGAAATTCTACATCTGAAAGACGGCATTTACCCATTCTTTCAATTACTCCCTCCTTCACTCAATGGTCCTCTTTGATGTGTATTTATCTATCACTACAGCCGATAATAAAAATGGAAATTCAAGCAAAGAGATGCATGCTTGATGCCTGCTTTTGAAAATGGCAAAGGTAACACTTCCCATCATTGTATTTGATTATTTTGAAGACCTCAGGCCTTATAGAGCCACATTCTTTTCCATCTTAGTAGATAGTAAGTTCACTTCTCATGTTGGTTTGAACTCAACATGGAACCAGTCTTAACCCCTCTCTTTCTCTCACCCCCCACGTCCACCTCCTACAAGAATCCTGGTGCCTATGTCCCACTCTCAAATATAGCCACTTGCATCATCTCTTCTCTTGCCACTGGAATACCATCAGCTCTTGCTTGGGCTATAGGAACCGCCTCTGAACCAGACCCTTGCTTCAGCAATCAAAATCCTAGACTCATTCCCAACATCAAGCTACAGCAACACTCAAAAAATGCAGATCACATCGTGCCACTCCTCTGCTCAAACGCTGCCATGACCCATCTCATGGAGAGTAAAGGTCAACACTTACAAAGACCTTCAAGGCTTCATAGCATTGCTTCAAACCCTCTCAGACCCTGGATATCCATCATAAAGCAATCATTTTGTGACGTCACTTACTATGCCAAAATAATATTTAATAATGATATCCTATACCTATATATCTAATTTCTGAAACCTTAACTATAATTACTACAACACCACCAATGTAATGGAAAGGCAAATTAAAAAGAAAGAAACTTAACCCCCCACATTATGTCACCTGTAATGCTTAGGCACCACTCTGAAAGATGACATTAAAAAAGTAGTAGCTTGGGGGACGCCTGGATGGCTCAGCAGTTGAGTGTCTGCCTTCGTGTTGATGCGTGACCCCGCGGTCCTGGGATCGAATCACGTATCGGGCTCCCCTGCAGGAGCCCGCTTCTCCCTCTGCCTGGGTCTCTGCCTCTCTCTCTGTGTCTCATGAATAAATAAATAAAATCTTAAAAAAAAAAAAGTAGTGGCTTGTGCATTACTATAATGAAAAAGTTTGGGTTAAAGAGAAGTAAGTAATTCAGAAGTCATTTAGTTTAAGAAGTCCAAGAAAAATGAGAAGGCAGGCACACACCAGCCTATAGGCTAGTGCTGAGGGCGAATAATAACAGACTGGGTTTATCAGCCTGTGATAAGATAAAGAAGGAAACAACGTTAACTGGAGTGGAGACAGCAGGATGAGGCTAATGACAAACCGTCCAAATGGAGATAATGAAACCATATGACACTGCAATTGAGCTGAGCCTAATCTGTCACATGAGGGTGAGGACAAGCCCTCCTGCTTCGACAAGGGGCAGGATAGTAGTACAGTTGCACAGGTGGCGCATCTGGCTCTGGAAATCCCACTGTATATCAAAGCATTTAAGTCAATTGGCAATTGCTGCATAATACTCACCCCAAGACCCACTGGCTTAAAAACAAAGGATTTGATCAACTATGCTGCAATTTAAAAGAAGCAATCAAAATTTAAAATAAACATTGAAAAGAATTTAATATTTTTCATGATTTTGCAGATTGGCTGGGTTATCTCCCTACTTGCTTCCCCAGGGCCCCCGGGGGGTTGCCATCACCCGAAAGGTCAGCTGGGTGAGAAGATCCAGGTGGCCTCACTCTCAGGTCTGCTAGTCGCGTTGGGTGCTGGCTGGGGTGCCTCTGTCGTCCTCTGCGTGTCCGCTCATCCCCCGAAGCCAGCCCGCCTAGCCCAGCTTCTCGCCAGCAGTACCAGGACGGCATTGCAAGGGGGCGAGAGCAGAAGCCATATAACCTCACGAGGCCTGGGCTCCAAATTCACACATCACTTCTCTTGGTCAAAGCCACATCCTATGGGTCAGAGCAAGTCGCAAGGCCCTCACAGATTCAAGGAGTAGGGAAACAGTCTCCACCTCTTGCAGTCCTTAGGGCTTTAAAGACCCTGGGAAGAGTATCTATGGTTGGGTAACGGAATGGAGGATGAACAAAGAGCTTCTGCAAAGGGCTTGAGTGGTATAAATTTGGGGACAGTAACAACAGGAACAACAACAATAATAAGTAATAATACAAAACGCTTACGTGGCACGCACCATTGGCCAGGTTCTGTTAAAAGTGTTTGAATGTAACACCTCATTTACTCCTCCTGGACATCCTTTGAGACAGGTACATTTATGATCACTCTCCCACAGACGTGGAAATCGGGCACAGCAAGGTTCAGCGATTTTCCCAGTCCTGCCGCTGCTGGGCGGCAGTGCCAGCATGTACAGCCCAACAGAGTCAAGAGTCCATGATTCTTTTTTTTTTTCCTTAGGATTTTATTTATTTATTCATGAGAGACCCAGAGAGAGAGGCAGAAACACAGGCAGAGGGAGAAGCAGGCTCCCTGCGGGGACCCGGATGCAGGACTCAATCCCAGGACCTCAGGGTCACGACCTGAGCAAGGCAGATGCTCAACCCCAGAGCCACCCAACCGTCTCAAGAGTCCATGCCCTTAACCCTTGTGCTGCAGTGCCCATTCTGACACAGCAAAAGGCAACCCCCAATCACCCCGTGTGTACTTTACGCAATCTGAAGTCCTTACTAGGGTAGTAAAAATTAAAATACGTAGAGGGTAATAAACGTCATAAATTAAATTCAACGAAACCCTTGCATTTCCTGTACCTGTGTTACCTTAATAATTATAAAGGCAGTCTCAGATCTCCTCGGGTACATATTTGCAGTTGGTTTACTGTAAAAACTGAACCATTTTCCCGAAAACCAATTAGTAGCACCGCTGGAACAGGGTTGCTCAGAAAATTTTTCAATTGACCTCAAGACAATGTTTTTATTCCACTTTGTCTTGGGGCAAATACCCTACGTTTTAGTGCATGTACACAGCTTCTTACTTTCAAAGGTTAACATAACCAGAGAGCAAAGTGCTTCGTGACTTCTATCTGCAGGAGGTTTTGAACACGAGGGCGTTGAACAACCACCGAGCACGAAGTGGTACAATTACTCCTCGTACGTATGTGTCTCACATGCCCAAGACCCCCACTGTCCCTGCTTGGGCCCCCTGCACTCCAGTAGTGGGTGCCTCCTCTCAGTGTGGTGACCAAATTACCCCACAAATATTCCAAGCCCCTCCCCGTGTCTGACACCGCACCCCCCGGAATGCTCCTCCACATACAGGGACTCCCCCCTCCACTTCTTTGATCTCCTCTCTCACCTTTCTCCCCCTGGCTCACTCCTCTGGAGCACACTGATTTCTTTCCTGTCCCTCAAACACGCGAGTCTTACTCCCTTTTTAGGGCCTGGGCATCTGTGGCTACTGTAGGTTGGGGTGTCTCTCCCTCCCGGGGTGCCAGGACTGGCCCTGGTCTCCACCCAAATCTCACTTAACCACCCTGTATGAATTACTGCCGTCCCTGCTGAGGCAGGACCCCTACAATCTACCTTTTCCTATTTACTGTCTGTCCAGGGCACTCGGCAGGCCAGAGGGCTGCAAGGCACGTGCAACCTCCTCCAACTTCCACTGCCCGGCTGGAAACACTGCCACTTGCTAGTGGGCGACATGGGGCACGTTGCTTGACTCCATACGTCCAATGGTTCTAGTGTGTTAAGAGGGGATGATAATGATAGAACCAACCAGGAAAGGTCATTTGAAGGGCAAATGCTTGAATACATGTGAAGGACCCAGAGCAGGGCTTGGCACACAGTTAAATGGCCAACACTTTTCTGTTATGATCGCCTTACGCAGTATGTTTATTAATCACCTTCCGGTACGTTTATTGATCACCTTCTCTGAGATGAAGGAAGCCCCATGAGAGACGGGTTTGGTCCAGGGCTTTCTCCCCCAGCCCTAGAGGGCGCCCGGAACATCGTAGATGGTTAACGAGCATTGAGTGGTTAACTGAGTTACTTAGTTGTACAAATGATTTTCCACATTTGGGTAGTTGGTTTATTTATTTATTTATTTATTTATTTATTTATTGAATTTAAAGACTCTTTAACACTCAACCAAATCTTCATGAAAAAAGGGAAGTATCCTCTACGTGGAAACCGTAGCTGATAACAACACTCAGTAACCTGCACAGAGTCATATTCTTCTTAAGCAATGGACTTTGAAATTGCACTCCTTTCTGACTCCTCTCTTTCTCCTCTGTCTCCCTCTTTCTAACAGTTACTGAGACATTTTTTTAAAAAAACAGTAGCAACGCTTTGGGGAGTCAAACATTAATAGCTGAATGGAAAAACCAAGGATATATTTACGTTTTCCGAAAGTACGCTAATGAGCAACGAGGGTATGTGCATAGACTTTGTGGGACGAAGCATCAATCGAGTCGTTCCCACTTGAATTACGCCCCAGACAGTAGCTGGTGCATTACCTACCATCCAACCTACTGCCTACCTTTGGTGGGGAGGGGAGTTTGGATATTCTGATCACCGACCTACCTTTGGTGGGGAGGGGAGTTTGGATATTTGATTATCTGTGGAATCACAAGTTTTAAAACCTTCTGGAAAGTATTCATTTGCTGAAGTGGCTTTTGAAATCCAGAGTCACCCTTTATAATCATTTAGTTTACATAATAATAAAAAAGAGGTGTGTTAAGAATCCTCTGCTGTCACTTGGTAGAGATGGTGTTGGACAAGGAAAACAAACCACTTTCTCATAGAAGCTGACTTATGATCACACCTACATACTGGGCACATAAACTCAATTTTTAACGTGCTATTTTAGTTGAGAATTATTGCAAGATCAAGATACCACTGCCTCATTTTGTTTTCATTAACATAATCCCCATATTTGTATCATTTAGGAATCTCCCCTCATTAAAATGTTTTCTAATTAAAAAAAAAAAAACATTGCTATGTTTTTTGGTATTTCTACCAAAACTGGTAGAAATAACTTTTGTTAAAGGACTCGGCTCGGGGATCCCTGGGTGGCACAGCGGTTTAGTGCTGGCCTTTGGCCCAGGGCGCAATCCTGGACACCCGGGATCGAATCCCACGTCAGGCTCCCGGTGCATGGAGTCTGCTTCTCCCTCTGTCTGTGTCTCTGCCTCTGCCTCTCTCTCTCTCTGTGTGTGACTATCATAAAAAAAAAAAAAAAAAAAAAAAAAAAAGGACTCGGCTCTACTACATGACAGAAGGGGATAAAGACGAAATGGGTACTCAGTACACCATTTATCTCAATCTTGAGTTTTCTTATATGGAAAATGGCAACATTTGCAGCGTCTCTTTTGCATGCTTTTCAGAAGACGGATGTTACTGACACAGATAATAAGATCAACTCCTTTCAGGAAGACTGTCCTACAAGTTAGACCAGGAAGCAGGTATCATCCTTGGGGTAGCCTCATGGGAGTGGCTCCATCCTTCTTCATTCTACAGATGCGAACGCAGTTGTGTGTATGGCCAAACCTAAGCCTTGCCCAATAACACCCACATGTGCTCTTCCTGTGATGTGTGATCATCCTGAAAATAAATGCGCTTCTCAACAACCCTGTGTTATCAAGGTGATGTATGCTATTGGGGGGGGGTGTCCACATGGGGAGAAAATAACTACTCTTTCTAACGTGAAGAAGCAGAGCTGTCTTACCTCGTAGGTGCTGGTGATGCCAGATCTGTAGAACACAGGGAGAAAGAGCTCCGAAGTGAGGATGATGACAAAGGTGTAGGCGATGAAGAAGAGCACAAAGGATGCCCCAAAGCGGTAAACCTCCGAGGGGGTCCCCAGCACAGTGACAGCTGACATGAAGCTGGCTGTCAGAGACAAGGCCACGGGGCCAAAGCTCATCTGCCTTCCCCCGACCAGGAACTCTCTTGAAGTTGCCTTTTTCCTCTCCTTAATAGCAAAGAACACCCCAATCCCGGAGGAAATGACAAAGAGGGCCGCAAACACGACATAATCCCAAACTGCAAAGCTTTTGGTCTCCATGCTGGGCAGGATGGCACCAGAGAGGTGCTTCCAACCAGGGCTCAGGGGGAAGCTGCTTCCAAAAGCAGAGCTCAGGACAGTAGATGCTTTGCCGAGAGAGATCAAGGTGATTTTGGGAGGAGACTGATGACCATAGGCACTTGAGTGGGTCTCCAGACACCAAGCTGTATTCAGGGAAGATCTCAAAGTTGACTCCAAAGAAGAATCTGGTAGTAGTATTGGTACCGCCAAGTGAGAACGTGCAATCCGACCCGGCCAGGAGCTGTATGTTCCCCTGCTAAAACGGAGAGGGAGTTCAGATGTGTTCTGAAATTAATAACCACGGGGGTGGAATGGACTTCCAGATAACATGTTCTTTTATCTTCTGGATTTTTTTTTGATTTAAAGTTAAACATTACTGGAGAAAAAATGGAAGTGATACAAGTTGAACATCTCAGCATTTTTAAGTAGTTAAGTGGAATCTGCACTGGGCAACAGCACCCTCGGGGGTGTCTTTTCCCCCAGTGAGGGAGGAAGGAAGGGTGGAGGCAGGGTACCTGCAATTGCCAGAGGCAGTGGGTGTGGAGGGAAAGGCGCAAGGGACCGGCAATCTGGAGACCTTTGCTCAAGTTGGCTCCACTCTAAGCAAGCTGTGTGATTGTTGCAAATCATTTAACCTTTCTGACCTTCAGCTGGAGCATGAATAAGACCGCAAGGGGTTACTATGAGTCTTCAAGTGTCTCAAACTTTCTACCCTCTTTCCCCCATCTGTTAATATGAAAGCTGATAATATCTACCTCATTGGCTCTTATTGGTAAACGTTTACAGTGGAACCCTCCTGAACATAGTAGTTGATTCTCTCTTAGCTCAGAAAATGGATTTACCAATAATTAATAAACCATTTATGGGGCACCTGGGTGGCTCAGTCAGTTAAGCATCTGCTTTCGGCTAAGGTCATGATCCAGGGTCCTGGGATGGAGTCCTAAGCATGGGGCTCCCCACTCAGTGGGGAGCCTGCTTCTCCCTCCCCCTCTGCCCCTCCCCGCCTTGTGCTCTCCCTTGCTCTCTTTCTGTCAAATAAATAAGTAAAATATTAAAAAAAAAAAAACACCCACCATTTGTATTCCTCCATTTTATCTCCATCTCTCCTTCATTTTGACATTTACAACTCAACACTTGTACCTGAGGTTAACTCAGAATTAGTTCTAGGACAAATAAGAAAAGGAAGGTGAAAATCCAGTTACAGACTCCTATTTCTGCTCTTGTTAGACCATCAATTGTCCTGAAGTATCCCCACTAAGCCTTTGGGGGATGGTTTCTCTATTTTGTTCATACTTCTCCTCTTTCTCGATGGTCTTCCCTGACCCTCGCCCTACAAAGCCTGGTTATTCCACAAGATACAGTTCCTGTCTCCTCTGCTGTGTGGAGCCTTCCCTGACTCACACCTGCTCGCTCCACCCCAGCCACCGTGGGAGCAGCCCCTCCTGGGACTGTGTATCCTCCACTATTTTAAAGAACCTACATGCGTGTCTGTGAGTCTGTCAGCTGTTGTAGATGACCAACTTTTGGAAGATAGGGACAAGGCCCGGTCCAGAGTGATCAAGAAACAGTAGCCACTGTAGAAAATAAGGAAATAATCAACAAGGCAAAAGAAGAAATTGTAAATTATCCAACATGCCCAAAACCAGAAACATTTTCTGCCAAACAGAGGAAATTCTAATCTTGCTTTTGACATCTGGATAATTGAACGTATCTGTGATGATTTGTTTGGTCTGGATATTCTCTTCTCTCTCTACTGTGCTCCATGGATTTGGAAGGGCATTGGAAGCACTGATGGCCAAAATATACTTGTAGTTACAAATAAATACGCAAAGACCGCCAGGAGCTATCAGTGTCCTGTTAAATTTCCTTCTCTAAACTTGCAGACTTGACATGATCAGTGTTAATGGGAAACCAGGCCTTTAATATTTTTATTTTAACCTAAGCTTTTAATTATTTTTATCATGCACCATTCTGATTATGTAACAGAGTTTTGTTTGTAACAGTCTCAGCAGAAAATCGGAACTCTGGCTTTCAGAGATTTGACTACCTTTTACTTTAATATTAACACCAACTAAGTGTTAATATTCAATCCACAAAGGATGTAAACAACTTGTTCTGGTCAGGTGAATATTTGTTCAAAACATTATCATTATATCTATGAGGTCCCAGGGTTAAACACCAGCAGCTTACGGTTGACGAGTCCATGAGTGCTGCTGATTTTAATGAATCAGTGTCAAGAAACAGTATTGTCTACATAACTTGCATTTGTCTTGGATGTCAAGACAGTGGGGAAATAGAGCGGCTAATGGTTTGGTATGGGAAGGAAACTCCATGCCTCTCACAATAACATATTCCTTGCTTTCAACATTTTGCTGACTATGAGGCACAGACAGCATCAATTTATTAATTTAATTCTCAGTTATCTCCCATTTTTTGAAAATCTGTCCATCCTATTGGTAGCATTCAGTGTCTTCAAACTCTCTTCCTCCTTCCCCATGATATTCACTCTATGCAAGGTTCATGGTGAACCTATACAAGGTATAGGATCAACTTACTAATAACTTTTCAGGGAAAACAACACAACCAGCACATGCAATGGGTGTATCAATTATTTTTTAAAGATCTACTTATTTATTTGAAAGAGAGAGAGAGAGAGAGCAGGGGAAAGGGGAGAGAGAGAGACAAGCAGACTACCTGCTGAGTGGGGAGCCTATTGGGACCCAGGACCCTGAGATCATGACCTGAGCTGAAATTAAGAGTTGGACACTTAACCAACTGAGCCACCCAGGCACCCAATGGCTATATAAGTTAGAAGGTACATCCCTATAACAAAAAATATTAGCATGGAAGGGTGGGAAATGTACTTCTTTGATCTGAAGAAACCCCAGTATCTCCTGTATCATTTTGCAGGAACTCCAAATGCAAACATTGAAACTTGTTCCTTAGTGTAAGGTGGAAACCTTTGTTAGAAGGTAAGACAACATTACCGGCTCCCCCCAACACACACACACTCTCCCCTAATGAGGCTCCACTATCCAATTCCCACTGCATAATATGTTAGATTTGTTGTTGTTATCAGTAATAGTCTCCTTGGTGTAAAATAGTTCTGCACTTTGCTTGGAGCAAGTTCTAATGGGAGAAAGCAAGAGAGTTTGAGAACATTCAATGCTACCAAAGGGAGGAAACAGTAAAGCACTGGCAAGATTAGACTTCTGGGGGTATAGTGTTGGAGACTAGGCATAGGAATAAAGACAAAAACAAAACAAAACAAAACAAAAACCAGTACATGAATCTATCTGGTGGCAGAGACATTTCTCAAAGCTAGTAAGACTATCTTAAAACCAGTGTAAGGAGAACCAAAGGGGTTCTAACAATGAGATTAACATTAAATGTTAGTATTTTTTCCAGCTTTATTGAGATATAAGTGACATGTAGCATTATGTAAGTTTAAGATATACAATGTGATGGTTTGATACACTCATATATTGTGGAATGAGCACCACAATAGGGTTAGTTGAATGCATCATTTCCCATAATTACCTTCTTGGGGGGTGGGCGGTGAGGACATTCAGGATCTACTCTCTTAGCAACTCTTAGGTATATAATACCATATTGTTAACTATAGTCACCATGCTGTACATTAGGTCCCCAAATAAATGTTAACTTTTTGTCATGTTGTGCTGGAGTGTAATTCCCTTCTTCACCTCAACCTTTATGGAAAAGCTGTTACATCACTGGTATCATATTGATGTATATTCATCATTATACTAAAGGGAAAAGAGATTGTGTTTGTCTATAGGTTCAAAATACAGAAGGAGGAAGGAAAACTATTGAAGGAAGTATGACACATAGGGGAAATTGAGGACCCAGTAAAAACAAAAATTGGGTGGCTGAGTCGGTTAAGCAAATGACTCTTGATTTTGGCCCAAGTCATGATCTCAGGGTTGTGAGACTGAGTGCCATGGTAGGCTCCATGCTGGATATAGAGCCTGCGTAAATTGCAGAAAAGACCTCCTGACAATATTTATGACCTTTGAGATTGATTATTCCATCAAAGTCAGGAGATTGAGCTTTTTTGTCTTTATTTTTTTGTCTTGTGTTTGTCTTTCTCTTTTCCTTCCCTTCTTATTCTTTCTTTCTCTTTCTTTCTTTCTTTCTTTTCTTTCTTTCTTTCTTTCTTTCTTTCTTTCTTTCTTTCTTTCTTTCTTTCTTTCTTTCTTCTTTTCTTTCAGCTTCCCTTTCCTCCTTCCCTCTCTCCCTCCTTTCCTTCCTAATATAAAAAGAAGGGTGATCTGAGAAGGTTAGAGGATTTGGGGCACTGAGGAGTTAATACTTGAATTTCATTTACATCTTCTCACTAGAAAAAAAAAAGATTGTTCCCAGACCCTTGTGTAATATAGTGGAGAACATCCTTTACCTGCAACAAGAGACCAGGTTTCTTTCTCCATCCTGTCACTAAGCTGTTCTATGATTTTGTTACTATTTTCTCTGGTTCTTAGTTACCACATTTGTAAAAAATGATGGTATATCCTATTAATAATTAGATATTCAGATTAATGTAAGTAACTAAATCACTTTTCAAGTCTACTCAGATGTTGCCTTCTTTGATTAAACTGCAAACAACCACCTTCAATCTTCCTTTCCTACTCTATTTTTTCTTCAAAAATGTATCCTCTACTAATATAATTTGTAACATTTTATTTTTTTAAAGATTTTATTTATTTGTTTATTTGAAAGACAAGGGGAGCACAAGTGGGGAGAGAAGCAGAGGCAGAGGGACTAACAGAACCTGTGCTGAGTTCAGAGCCCAGCGCGGACCTTGATCCCTCAACCCTGAGATCATGACCTGAACAGAAATCAAGAGTCAGATGCTTAACTGAATGAGCCACCTACTCAGGCACCCCACTATATAATATTTTAAATGTTAACATCCTTCAACTGAAATGAAAACTTTCTAAAGGGATTTATCTACTTTGTTTTCTAAGGTAACCTCATAATCTAGAAGTTTCTGTCCCTTAACAGACATCCCATACATCAAACTAAATTATATAAATTCCAGGAGTCGGGATCCCTGGGTGGCGCAGTGGTTTGGCGCCTGCCTTTGGCCCAGGGCGTGATCCTGGGGACCCGGGATCGAATCCCACGTCGGGCTCCCGGTGCATGGAGCCTGCTTCTCCCTCTGCCTGTGTCTCTGCCTCTCTCTCTCTCTCTCTCTCTCTCTGTGACTATCATAAATAAATAAAAATTAATTAAAAAATTGTTTAAAAAAAATAAATAAATAAATTCCAGGAGTCCATTCCATCTTTATAATCTATGTTTAATCCCTATTTTACTG